GCATACATTATGCACCCGTTTCATTTTGCATTTCACCTACTAAATTGATCAACTACACCATCACTGAAACGGGGTTCACCATCAAACCAGTTCACTACTCATTGTTCAATTACGCCATGAACTAGTTTCACCTTCATGAAACTTGTTTCATGTACATAGATTAGTTTATTTCGCTCCTGATTTGATAAATTCATTCCTTTAATCCTTACAATCTTAAAGATTCTGTAGCAGATTACAATCTTCAAGATTATGAATCATATTCATCATGTATCCGTTTCATCATGCAATTATTTCATGACGAACAAAATACATTATGCACCCGTTTCACTACTCTTGGTTCAATTACGCCATGAACCAGTTTCACCTTCATGAAACCTATTTCATGTACATTAATTTTCTTATTTCACCCGTGATTTGATGAATTCATTCATTTAAACCTTACAATCTTCAAGATTCTGGAGCATATTACAATCTTCAAGATTCTGTAACAGATTCATCATGTACCCGTTTCATCATGCAATTATTTCATGACGAACCAAATACATTATGCACCCGTTTCATTTTTCACTTCACCTACTAAATGGATCGACTACACCATCAATGAAACGGGTTCACCATGAAAATGTTTCACTACTCATTTTTCAATTATGACATGAACCTGTTTCACTTTCATGAAACCTGTTTCATTTGTATTAATTTCTTTTTTCAATCATGATTTGATGAATTCATTACATTATGCCTTACAATCTTCTAGATTCACTAGCATATTCAATCGCATCATAATATATTTAGTTCAAATTTTTAAAATTATAATATAATTAAATATTTAAATGTTACCATTTATAAAATTTCCTTTATTACGTTTCCTTAATTACGTTTCCTTAATTAAGATTTATTAATAATTTCCATATTTAATTGAAAATATTGTAAATGACCGAAATATCCTTATTGATTAAATTTAATTAGAACAAAATGGAATTTTCCTATTGGTCGAAATTAGTTTACACGGTTTCTTAGAAATGCACGTTTTTCATTTGAACGTTCCCCCATATATCTATAGTTCTCGTATGAACATGAGAATGGATACATGGTATTTATATCGTAGGAGTTAATTAGTTATTCGTCATTGTATTTATAATTTACAAATTTAATGCATAATCATAAAATATTTTAATTTCTATTCATTCAAATCTACAATTCACAAATGCTAAAACTATTTATAAATCTTGATTTAAACATCTACACGTATTTTCTAATTGTTTGACACCTTTACTAAAACATACAACAGTAAATTAAAAATATTATCGAACGACTTCTAAAAGTTATAACCGGTTTAAAAACTTTATTATGAATTATTATGTGATTTTGTTCAACTATGTACCCTGTAAAAAGTAACGCCAATCAATAGACATGGCCGAAAACTGATCCTGAGCTGGGCCGAAATCGGTCTTGGGTTGAAACTTGAAACAATAACAATTCAGACCGGTCCCGATCCCATCGAAAATACTAACTAGTCCTGGACCGGACCGGACCTTATTTTTGAATGAAAACCATAACTAGTCCTTATCCGAAACCGATCCCAATCAATTTCGGGCCGGGCCGGACCGGGACCGAAACATTTGGCCTATCTCTACTAGTTAGGCAAAGGGTGTAGAACCTTTTTATCTTTAAATATTGTAACCAATAATTAAATATTTATTAACAAAAAGATACAATTTCATTTGCTCCCAAATTCCTTCCCCATTCACATCATCATCATCATCTCTCTCTCCTTCCTTTTGGAAAGCTTTACCTAATTCTCTCTTTCTGCTGCATATATAATTGTGCTTCTGGCTTCTTGTTGATCCTCCTGAGTCCTGACATCTTCATCTAGGGATTACTTTCCTCCTGATCATTACCCAAAGAAACTTGTCATCTTGTTCATCAATGGCTGCAACAAACCTATTATAGCCACCCTTTGGGAGTTCAAACAATATATACATACATACATACATACATATATATCTGTATATGCACTTCCAGCAGGTAATCAAGCTCTCTACCTACTGAGATCTTGCACTATACTATTCAAGGTAGCTACCTACCTAACTAGGGCAACAAAAGGTACAATCATCCATTCATCTTTATGTTCTTTCATTTTCACAAGAAACCCTTTTGTTTTTCTTTCTGGCTAATCTTTATTTATACTTCAAGAAAGTCACCCAACAAAACCCTAAATGATACATCACTATATATATATATATATATATATATATATATATATAACATGCAAAGATTCATAATTTGAAACAAAAGCTCTACTGTTTTCTTGGTTTCTGCTTCAATGGGTTAAGTTCTTGAATTATATATATATATATATATATGTGTGTGTGTGTGTGTGTGTGTAGATCTATATAGTAGGCTTATAACTATATACAAAGATTCTATCTTTCTTTCTTTCTTTTCATGTTGACTTTGATCGATCGATCTAAAACCATCATCAATGGCAGTGTTTTTTCATCTGTCTTCGAATCCTAAAAGGAGAGGGTGGGGGACAAATGGGTCTGTACTGAAAGATCTTTGTATGTGTGTGTGTGTGTGTGTGTGTATATATATATATATATATATTCTTGTAAGGAAAAACTGTTTGTTGCAGCTTTTCTTGAGAATAAAACGGACCAGTTTTGGGAGGATTCCAAATACGTACAGAATAATCACAAAAGAAAGCAGCAGTAAAATCATAAAGAAAATAATGTAGATGACAGACAGTACTAGCTAGTGATGTCTGTAGTCTCATCTTCCAGCATCATATATACCATGATTTCTTGAAAGTGGTTGAGGATTCAAGCAATACCACATCTGTTGCTATATCATTTGGGTTTAAATTCAAGATTGATGTCTTAACTTGGCATGAATTTACCCCTTAATAATTAATCCCGAAACCCTATTGCGGTTTTGACTTATGATCTCAATGTGAAAGGATATACTTTTTCACTATGGAATTTGTTGATCTTGATCTTTAATGGGATTGAGAGCTTTGTACTTAATTACATCTAATTGAGATAGAGAGAGAAAATTGGTACAATTTGGAGCTAAAAGTCTAAGAAATCAAAGTCAAATTCACATGTGAATTCGAAAACTGATGGGGTTTGAAGTTCTAAGGTCAAAGATGATGACCTATTATGAGATGGGTGTATATGGGTTTGCCATGATGATCATGATATATAATCTGCATGCTAATTATGGAAATTGGTTGTTCATATGGTATATATATAGGCACATGTTCAGTTGGGAACTTAACCTCCACGTGTTGCTAACCGACATTCATAGGATATTCATTATGAATGGATGTATGATTCATCATGAATATTGTAAGAAATTCACAATTCAGGATGAATGTGGACAAATGGGACACGTTTTCGCTCCCGTTTGTCCCTTAGAAGTGAGAATTGCAACTTAATTCACACCCATGACTTCATTTCTCAAAATATGGTTTTTAATCATTGTTACAGAACATAAACATATGGCTTCTTCTAGCCATCCAAGTGCTCCCTGTGCTGCCTGCAAGTTCTTAAGAAGAAAATGCATCCAAGGATGTGTATTTTCACCCTATTTTCCGCCTGAAGACCCGACGAAATTCGCCAACGTGCACAAAATCTTCGGGGCAAGCAACGTCAGCAAACTCCTTAACGAGATTGCACCTCACCAAAGAGAAGATGCCGTCAACTCTCTAGCGTATGAGGCCGAGGCACGTCTAAAAGACCCCGTTTATGGTTGTGTTGGTGCGATTTCCGTACTCCAAAGACAAGTTCTTCGACTACAAAAGGAACTCGATGCAACAAACGCGGATCTTATTCGGTTTTCAAGTAACCAAAATACATTAATGACTCCATCATCAAGTTCAGGAAGTTCTCTACAAAACCCTCATGTGTTGCCTCCTCATTATGGTAATTATTCATGGAATTATAACCCTAATTAAGGAATTGAAAGAAACGTCTTAATAAACTGCTATATATGACGTAATTTTATAGAACCAAACAATTGAACGACCTACGTAAAAGCATTGCAATAAATTTATAAGACATTTTTGGACGTCTTAAATAGTTTTTAAGACATTTTTTTAGAAATTTCTTATAGGACATTAATTTTTATAACAACTTTTTTGAAATAATGTCTTGTAAGCTTAATTAATAGGACGTTTCAGTTCAAAGTTGTCTTAAAAATCTATTAAGACACTAAAAAATGTCATGTAAACTTATTGCAACGCTTTTAGATATGACGGATATCTGTTTGGTGTTATAAACTTGGGTTATAAAAAAGTGGTCTATTATGTATCTGATTAAAGTGTTTTAGCGTCCTGTAAACCTGATTTTGTTGTAGTAAGAAGATAAAGACAAGATGATGGTAGGTGATATTGTATGTGAATATATGATCATGTTTTTTAAGATATGTGTTAATTAATGTTATCTTATGTTGTATCATGATCAGACCCTTTGATACCCTTCTACTGCATTCGTTTTCGTTTTAGGGTCTATTTGTTAGCAGCTTAATAAGTTTAATAAAACTCCCAACTTATTCTATCATATATACATGACTGTACAATGCTTAATGATATAGAAAATGACTTATTCAATAAGCTCTTAGGATAAAGCTTTATGCGGAAAACCAAGTTCTTTTTGAAACATGTCGTCCCTCCTAATTCAAAAAACACGTTTCTTTCATAAATGTAAAGACTTTAAAAAAAAAACCCTTCTTAATCTATACAGACAAATTTATTCATGCACGAATTAAATTTTCTAAGTGCCCGTTTATCAAACGCTTACTCGGGTAAGTGAACACCAAGTCACATTACCTTACTGGATGAATATGGTAAGAACCAAGAATCTTACTCGGTAAGAGCGAGACAAAGACCAAAAGTCTTACCCGGTAAGTGAGGGCGACTCTTACCACGTTAGCGCTTACCGGGTAAATTGTTGCATACGATACCGTTTTGGTGGACTAAAATCTTACCCGGTAAGTAAATGACGGTGTTTAAATTTGCCAGTAAGCACTAATTACCGGGTAAGTATTGGGTAGACAGATTAAGATCTGATAAGCTAATGTTTAATTGAAGTAAGTTTTCCCCAGTTATAAATCAACACACAAAAGGGTGCTTACTCTTTAGGGTTAAGGATTGATTCCATTTGCAGTAGAAAGAACATTAAAAAAATTAAAGACAGAAAAGATATGATAGAATATATATGATTAAGCATCACTTAATTATAATTTAGAATGGATTTGCAGCTTTTTAATTAATTAATAACACCTTAATCATTAATCACTACTAAATTAATTAAACATATGCATAATTGTCTCTGATAAGGGAGTAGCTGAACTGAATTAAGTCAGATCCAGAATTTTTGCTAAACAGGTGCACCTTTAAGATGGATTAAAGATTCGTAAGATCGTCCAATATCTTTTTACCTGAATTCCACTGTTTCAAAAGGGTTTTTTAAAATGCTTTTTGATTGATTTCGAGCTATTTTTTTCGGGGTTTTGGTCGATGTTTATTTTATTTTCTAATATTCAGAAGTACCCTTCAAAGTTTAATATATACACCTTTCATACCTAAGAATTTTGATGAAATTCAGTTGAGCAACGGGGGACCCACACCGCCCCTGGATTAATTGATTAATTATGGTTGTGTTTTTTTTTTAATGACAAATTGTATAAAAAAGTAACGTAGTTTAACTTGATTCAAAACTTCTATTTTGGTACCTTAAGATGTAAAGTCTTAAACATTTAAGTACTCGAGTTACCATGCTGATATGACGAGTGATGTGATATTCAAATCAGTATTATTTGCTGAAACATTAACCGGATACCACATCACTCATCACATCAGCATGGTAACCTAATGCTTCAACTGTTTACCTGGTACTTAAATGTTATGAAAGTTTTGAAAGTACGTTATTCAAAATAAGAATAAAGTTAAAAAACGTTACTTTTTTCATGCAATTTGCCCTTTTTTTAATTGAGAAATTAATAATTTTGGGAACTTTAATTAGGGTATGGAATTTCTACATAGCTACAATATTCCATTTCTCAGTTCAAGATATTGACTTCTGATATGAACAAGGTAGGCTGGTAGGTGGGTATGCTTTTATCTGACTAGTAGGACAGACAGTTCTCTCCTTAGCCTTAGGGCAAGCACGAAATCAATTAACAGCTTCTAAAGAAAAAAGGACGACTTAAGACAACAAGAACGGCCAAAAGAAGTAAGTCACTTGCAAACCCAGAAAGAACTAAAAGAAATCGATGATGTGTCCCGACCAATCAACGAAGAAGCACTAGCAGATGAGATTGGACCTATATAGACTCGGAAACACAAGAAAAGACAGTCTTGGGGGTCCCCAAAACATAGTGAGAACTAGCCCTTTGAGGAGCTCTCTAAGCTGTCTAACTCTCTATTACCATATGCAACGAGAAACCAGGTTCAATAGCTGAATATAGTATGTAAACAACTGAATAGAAATGAGCACTTGCAGCTGGTGAAGGAGTAAAGGGTTTCAAGAAAAAAAATTCTCTTTAATGCGACTGTGGAAAGGCTGTTCCTGCTACATTTCGCTAGATATATCAGTATCTACTTAAGGCCTACTTGTATTTTACTAAATAATTCTTTAGCTATTTTGAGAAAGTCTTAATTATGTAGGCAGGTGTATAGTCAAACATATATAATATTTTTAGTGTTGAAATGATCGATAAAAAACAAGTACAATGTATAATTTTATGTCTGTCCGACAAAAAATTCAAACCTAATTATTGTGGCACCTATTTCTCTGTTTTCTCTTTAAGAATGGGGGGCAAAAGACCTCTTGGGGGTCCTTTTGTCCTTTTCTTGAACAGTTATTTTCATGACTGATTTAAGTCTTTTATGAAAAAAATCAGAACTACAGATAGAACAACTGTTGATTTAATCGAGAATTTATAAATCCTAATCATAACTATACATATAATAGTCTTTATAATAACAGGGTTCATACAGTATTTTAGCTTCCAAATATGCACTAGTCTTAGAAAACAGTTCAGCTTCCTCCGTTTTGTACTGGTTATTTTCCTTGAACTTTATGTTTATTTAAATTATATTATGATAATTTGATTCTATTTTGGTAACTTACTTTCAAAACTTCCATTTTGATACCTAAGATGTAAAGTTTTAAATATTTAAGTATCCGGATAACGGTTGAAGTATTAACCGGTTATCATGTTGATATGGCGACTGGCGAGTGATGTGGTATCCAACTCGGTATTATTTGCTGACGTGGTTAGTGACATGGATCTTTTTCAATCTTATAAAACTAGTCTTTTTTAAATCTAAAATTAGTTTTCAACCGGTTACCTAAGTACTTAAATATTTAAAATTTTACATAATAGATACCAAAATGAAAGTTTTGGAAATACGTTATCCACAATAGGAATCAAGTTAAAGTACATTACTTTTTCATGCAAGTGGCCATTTATAAAACATAAAGAAAGTATAATTTTAATCTCTGTGTGACTTATAAGAACATTTTTAAAATTGTTATATTTTTGCTGACAACTAAATATATTGAATAATAACAATTTTAAATAATTAATTTATTAATTTTAATTAATATTTAATATTAAAAATAATAATTTATATTAATTAGAGATATAACTGAAAAAGAGTGATAAAAGCTCATGAAAATTTCGTTAAACTTAATTTATGATTGCCAAAATTGACCTCGTTGTTTTTTTTGAATTAAAATAATTTAATCAATTAAAATATTAATAAAAAAGTAATTTCATATTTAAAATAAATAAAAGAAAAGGAGGCAATCAACACTGTATTTACACAGAAGAAGACTATTATTAACTGATCTTGTAGGATCTTCTAACAATCATCCCTCGTGAATCCACAGTAATTCTTTTCTATTTTAATTTCATATTTATTTTTAATTTTCTATGATAATTAATAATAGTGGGGTTGCAATATTAGTATGTATATATATATATATATATATAAGGTTGAGTTCACGTGAGACCAAAGATTTTTCGTGAGACCCGTGAGACCAATTTATATTCATTGATCAACTTTATAAGCTAATGATCTAATGGTCTAAAGTTGCACGGTGACAATTTTGTAATTATTGAGAAGTCTCGTGGCGTTTATGAATATTCAGATCTGACGATTGTAGATCTAATCCAATGGTTGAGAATTGGTCTTACGGGTCTCATAAAAAACCATTGGTCTCACATGATCCCAAGTCTATATAAATAAATATATATATATATATATATATATATATATATTTTGTGTGTGTGTGTTTGGAGAAAGAGAATTGGGATCACGTAAGACCAACATGTTTTCGTGAGACCCGTGAGACCATTTTTTTACACTTGAAATTCACAGCAAAACGCGGTGAAAGTAACCTTCACAGTGTTTTTGTTGTGAAAGTTCGACTTTTTTTTACCTTCACAATGTTTTGCTATGAAGTTTTAAGTATAAAAAAGTGGTTTCACCAAAATGGACTGTTCTCACGTGAACCTAACCATACAATATATACACACACACACACACTAGTTGTGTACCCGTACAATGCGGCGGGAGCCGTGAATTTTAACGATTTTGAAGTTTCATTTGTTTTATTAGAGAAGATTTAACGATAATATAAGTTAAATTTGGTCTTTACATATTAATACAATTTGAATAAATAAGAGTTATGGTTCCAATTACAGTCTATCGATGAAAAAAAATTGTATGACAGTTTAAAATCCAATATATTTAAAATCTAACATATTTAAACGACTCCACAAATGTGTTCGATTTACACCAAGAGCAAAGAATCAAGAGATCGAGAGCGAGACCGAGAGTTTTAGAGCAATTGAATAGGAGATGAATGAAAAAACTTTTAATATCTCATGATGAATATTAGTTTGAATCTCACATTGGGGATGGGGAGAAGACATAACGGTATGAGAGGATGAAGAAATGAGTGAAATGTGTTAAAAGTATATTGGGAACATGAAAATATTAAGTAATAATGTGCATTTGTAACTTGTACTATATGTTATTTTAATTGTAGATTAAAATATTTTAAAACTAAATGCATAAAGTAGTAGTACTTAATGCATTATGAGTTGTTTTTAAGACTTTGTGCATTAATTTTTTTTTTAAACTTTTGATAAATCTGGTTTATAAGGTAGTGTATATATATATATATATATATATATATATATAAAAGACCAATTTATGTTCATTGATCAACTTTATAAGCTAATGATCTAATGGTCTAAAGTTGCACGGTGACAATTTTGTGATTATTGAGAAGTCTCATGACAATTTTGTGATTATAAATGTTTAGATTGTAGATCTAATCCAAGGGTTGAGAATTAGTCTTACGGGTCTCACAAAAAACATTTGTTCTCACATGATCCCAAATATATATATATATATATAGTTTAGAAAACTAGTTTATTAACCTTTTCTTTTTGACAAGACTTAGGAAATTATAAGTTATTTATCTGTCAATTCTCAAAATTGGATCTGAATTTATTATGATATTCATCTGGTTAAATGAACAATTAAAAGTGGTTTGTACTACTATATTAACTAGTTTGCAATTGATCAATGGTCTCTACTATTATATTAATATAAAATTAAAGAATTTGGTGTCAATGTTATATAATATTTTATCCCTAATCAAAACCTGTAATAGTAAATAAATTACTTCATTATGATGGACGAGTAAATACGTATTTTTTCCCACATTTGAAATTTGGAACATACGCTCCGGTTATTATAACGTACTAAAATTATACAGATATTCATACATATGATATAATTATAAGTAGATACATATAAAGATAATATAAAACTATATACAATTTTATATGTTAGTTAATATAATATATAAATCTGTATTTCATTTTACCCTGATCATATAACTTGTGAATGTTAACCGCAAGTGTGGTGTCCGATTGGTTTGAGTTCAGATTCAAAAGGTCAAAAGTGTCTGGAGGTCCCAGATCAAAACCAAAGAGGAATAAAAATCCCCTTGTGGCCACGAAGGTTTAAATGCGGTTACTCCAGACTACCCGCGAAGCGGATGGTCACCCATAGGATTAGTCGACTCACATAGCGGGTTGGATATCCATGTTATATATCAGATTAAACTATACCCTCATACAAATATTTTTTTGTGTATTCAATGTTTGAAAACTTCAAAGAACTGTTTCAAGTAAATATACACTACTAAATGGAAAGAATTTTACCTACGGACTTTTCCATGGGAAATTCGTTCCTAAATGGCAATTGGTCATTAAACCGTTACAATAGTTAGTGGGTAATTCAAATTAATGATAGATTACACAGGTATTACTACCGAACCATTGGTATTTTATGGATGATCTGTAGGTAATCACCTGAGGAAAATTTTCAGGGTGATTTTTGTAAGTGAAAGTCATTTGTTTTGTAGTGATTAAAACTTCATGGGTCAAAATGAACTATTTATAAAGTTAGAAGTAGTGAAGTGTAAATATAGAGAGTCTTCATCTTATAATGGGTCAAGTCTCTCATCTATCACATCTGGGCCCACCTTCTAAAGGTCAAGGCCCACATTGGCCCATCTCAATCTCAAGACTTTTATTGAAATGTTTAAAATGTTTAAAATTTCATCATTTTCTGTATAATTTTATTATTTATTTATTTTTATTAAACTTGATATTCAGCCTGCTATGCGAGCCGACTAATCTCAGGAGGACCACCTTCTATACGAGCCGACTAATCCGAAGACGACCACCCGCTTCGCGGGTAACCCGAAGTCACCGCATTTGAAGACATAAATATCTTCATCTGGTCTACATTCATAGATGACATCATGGTTTTTCTTTTGACGGACTTTTTTGATAAAAAGTCTTTGGCGTAACGGTATGTGAGTTATTGGTCTCTTTGAAGGTCAAGGGTTCAAACTTCACCAAAAGTAAGAAGAGTGTGTAAACTTATTTGTTCTTTTTGTCGTATATAAATATTATATACTTCAAAAAAAATATTTTATTTGCCTGTTATTTTTACTACGTTTTGAGAAAAGATGAAGCATGATAAACAAGACAATTTACGTATAAAAAAAACTGGTTGTTTTCCCTCTTCATACAAGTGGGGCTTTGAATTCCAACAATAACTGAATAACTTGTCATTCATGTCTTGCAGGTTTATATGCATGTATACATCTGTAAACTCCTAACATCTACAAAAGCAAGCTTTTAGTACAAACTATACAAATCAATCTCAACCATCTATCTGATCTGATGAATATCTAACTGCAACCACACAGGAAGGAAAACTAGCTGTCCCTGTTGAGTTGTAGCACTTGTTTACTATGGAAATTAACACAGGCTAAAAGAGAGAACAAGAACGGGTTAACTCAAATCTCGTAGATAACACTGAAGCGGGACAGTCTTGTGGATGATGAACTCTGTTTAGCGCTCACTGGTGAGAAATAGCGCTCTCTACTGTTAAGGGGATGCAAGCAACAACTATATACATGAGGGTACATTAGTCTTTTGCTGTCAAAAATATATTTCGTAGTCTAAATAGTTAGATTATAATAAATGAACCCTGGTTAACTTTCGTAAATACTTCAGTCTTTGAATATCTCGATTGTTTCCTACTTTGAGTGTAAATCTCGTATGGTTTGTATTTAATTGGGACTCTACTCCCATATAGTGATGGCCAAAAATCGATCCCGGGCTGGGCCGGGCCTTACCGGTCCCGGTCAAAAAAGGCGAGCCCGGTCAAGTTTTATTGTAAACGGTTATGGGCCGCCGGTCGCAACCGGTCCCGGTCATTAAAAATTAATATTTTTTTTATGATATATATTTTTAATACATTATAAAATTTGTAATTTGGGTCTCTCAAATACACTTTTAAAATGTGTTTTATTATAATTAAAATTACATTGTCGTACAAAATATAGTGATAAACCGAGAATTGTGAACGTTTTTTTGCATTTCTTGCGAATCGAGAACTTAGTATGTAAACCCCTCAACCAACACACTTATATACAGTGTTTAGAAGGTAAAAAAAATACAAAAAACGGTGGTAAACAACTAATTTTTTGAAAAATAATGACTGTATTTAATATAAAAAACTACATTTTTGAAAATTTTGGTCGGGCCGGGTCGAGCCATAACAATCCCGGTCCCACAAAACCCCTAAATCCATAACTGTTCCTAGACTTCGGTCCTATAACCGGTCCTTATCGGGCCGGTTTCGCCATCACTACGGTCCCATATGTATTATGTTATGGAGTAAAAAGTAATCACTTTGATTTTTCTTTTAATGGGCCAAGTGGTTTGCTTTCTAAACACATTATAAATGGGCCTTTTAGCCCAAATAGGCCCATCCTTAAAGGACTTTAAATAAATGGGAATTTATTAAACAATTAAACATTTACATGACCTTCCAAAAAAAGTCATCTTTTTTTATGTAAAATCGAAGTGATGAAGCTTAAGAAATTAAACTTGACCGTTTATTAAAAACTTATCTGATAAATGTTTACCGGTACCATATGCAATAATTTACCTGATAAGCTCATATCGTGGTAAGAGTTGTCGTCTTCATTTACCGGGTAAGATTCTTGTTCCTTGTCTCGCTTTTACCGGATAAAATTCTTAGTCCTTGTTATATTCATCTGCTAAGGTAATGTGACTTGATAAGCGCTTACTCAGGTAATCGTTTGGTAAATGACCCCTAATTTTTTTTCCTGGGTTATGTTTCATGCTCATAATATGTCGAATTGAAGCAAAGGATGTCGATTAACATTTTACTGAGTAAATTATTGCATATGATATTATGATGTCGTTTTAATAGATTTAAATCTTACTCGATAAAGTAAGTCAGAATATCAATTTTTACTGATAAATGTTTATCTGATAAGCATTTAAATAGACTCGTCGTAGGTCAACGACTCGGGTCAATACTTTAACACGATTAATTCATAAAATTAATTTATAAAAAAAATGAAAATGTGGCTCTTCCCAAACATTCTTAAAAAAGGAAAATGAAACATGTACTTCATGCAAACCCTCGTATCTCCACGTCATCATACACGTGTCATCACCATACACCTCCACCTCTTCTTTATAACCCCTTCCACCTCTTCCCACCATTCCAACTCCAATCCAAATCCATGGCTACCACTTACGACCGTCACACTCAACACACCGCCGGCGCCGGTCCCGGTCCCGGCCCCGGCCGCTACGATCGGACCGACGACAGACTCGTCGGCCCTTACTATTACAAACAGCAACAAGGCCCTTCCGGCAGCAAAATATTGGCCATCATCACCATGCTTCCGGTGGGTGCCATCTTTCTTGGTTTATCCGGCCTTACCTTTGTTGGAACCTTAATTGGACTCGCGGTCGCAACTCCACTTTTCGTCATTTTCAGCCCGGTTATCGTGCCGGCGATTCTCACAATCGGGCTGGCGGTGACAGGGTTTTTGACGTCAGGAACTTTCGGGTTAACGGGGCTGAGCTCGTTGTCGTACATGGTGAACATGCTCCGGCAGACGGCTGCAACGGTGCCGGAAAATGTGGATTATCTGAAAGGAAGGATTTCGGATGTGGGAATGTATGCGGGTCAGAAGACGAAGGAAGCGGGTCAGAACATTCAGCATAAGGCTCATGAAATGGGAACCGATCGCGATCGTGATCGCGAGGGTCGTGCCGGAGTTCAAGTTCAGGCCGGTGCCGGTGCCGGTGGGGGAGTGGCCGGGGGCGGGAAAGAAGGTGGGAAAGGTGGTGATCGGACTTAAGAGATGGGATTTGAAGATGGGAATCTGGAATAATGTGTTAGGTGTAAAAGCTTTGTGGTGTTTGTAATAATTTGTTTTTGTTTGTATGTTTTGTTTATGAAGATTTGGTTTTTTATATCGTGAAATGTAATGAAAGTTGGTCGCCGGAGATGAATAAAGGTGCCGGAGCCACCGTATGATGATGATCTCCGGCGTGGAAACTGGCAGATCGTAAGTATCACGAATTCATGGTTATATAAACAACTCCATTGAACAATATCGGTATTCATATGTGAAGCTAATGGTATTCATTATGAATGACTAGGCATAATACAAATGAATACAAATACTAGAGAAGGAATTAAGCACATGTCCATTAGTAGCTTAATGGGACTCGTGAAACTTCTGCGGTTGGCTATACGTAGTTCTTTGGGAGGAAAGAGCTTAATGAGTTCAGTGAGTAGAAAAAGCTTAATGAGTTTAACTAAGACTCCATTCATTTTTTATAGAAAATAACTTATTCATTAAGTTTCTATTAAGGGAGTTTCATGTATAAAGCTAAAAAATGTCTTAAAGAAAACGTTTTAATGAAAAAATCCTCCCTAACAAAATCTTATAAATAGAGATCATACAGAATGTTTTCTATTTTATTTATAGATGATTTTAATATTAAAAAAAAAACTAACCAACACTGCTCTTTGTTAATAGGATTTAGGATAACGTGAGACAAGACTGTTTTTGTGAGATACGTGATACAATATTTTTATACTTGAAACTTTATAGCAAAACGTTGTGAAGGTAATACAAACCTTCTTTTTATCTTCATAATGTACGTTGTGAAGGTAATAAAAACCTTTTTTTTTATCTTCATAATGTTTTGATGTGAAGTTTCAAGCATAAAAAAGTTGTATGAAAATTACAGAATGGGTCCTTACAAAATTTTCCTTACGGATAGAGTAAATGTGGTTTATTCTTCGTGAAGTTTGGTCATGGGTATTCTCGTCTTTTCACTCTTTTGGTCAAGGATATTATCGTCTCTTTTTTTTCTTTTCACGGAGTTGTGTTCTTAATTTGTCTCCTTCTATGATAAGAAAAGTAGATTACGTACGGTTTTTATCTATATCTATTTAGTTTGTTAAAAATTGTGACTATCTTCCTTATAGTTCTGAAATTACGGTTTTTTTTATTTTATTTATGGTTTGTAATTTATAGCTATTATCATCCTTTAAATATAAGACACAAAAACAAAGTATAAATCACAAAATGACAACAATAAATTGTAAAATCATACAGACGAAAACAACAATAAATTATAAATTATAGGAACAAAAATAACAATTTTCAACAAACCACATGAACGAAATATGATCTACTTAAAAAGTTACACAAATTTTTGTGGAGGGGTGAAAAAAGAGAGTAAAAAGACTAAACTACCCTCACATAATGAAATCTTTTTTTGGACAAAGTTAGGCAAAATATGATTGGTATGACGTAAATTACTAACAGAGTTAGCCTTAGAAATAAAAACACCTATGAACTGTAGAACGTATGAACATAAACCGTAATTTTAAAACAAAAGTCATAATTTTAACCGAAACATAAATAAAGCATGTTTTTGAGAAAATTTTTTTATAACAATTTAAAATATTTATAAAATTACACATCTACCCGCTCAAAATATATCCCATTAACAAATAAATAAGGTTATATGTGTAAAAATGACAATTTATTTTCTTTCTCCTGCTAAAAAATATAAACATTTATTTTATTTTCTTATATATTCAAACTATAATAAATAAACTTATCTTGTCATTTCTGTAAATATTTTAATTAATTCGTTTAAACGTTATCCGAGTCATATTATCTTGCCAGATGAATATAACAAAGACCAAGAATCTTACCCGGTAAAAACAAATATCAGGAACGAAAGTCTTACCCAGTATGAATGTGACGACTTACCACGGTTAGAGCTTACAGGATAAATTGTTGCATACGATATCATTTTGATGGACTACAATCTCACCCAATAAATAAATGATAATATTAAATTTTACCCTGCGTGTGGTCCGTAACTTTATAATCCACCATTTAACAAGTAAAAAATGGAAGGTAATGATAAAAGGAGTTCCATATAACAAAAGTGAAAAGGCAAAGTGGTTCAAATTATGTACATAAAATCAGAAACCAAAATAAAACCCAAAGAAGAAAAACAGCAAAAGGTTAACGACCAAACCAAGCCCTTGGTCCTTGGCTTTCCACCCCATCCGTCATTAACTTATCCAACACCACATTCAAGTCCACCGCCTGTCCGTTTTCCGTCAACTTCCTCACCGTAGCCCTTACCTGATCTCTCGGAAATCCCATATTCGTCACCTTATCAACCACATCATCAATCGGAACCCTATTCCCACCGTTACCAGAACCAGAACTAGAAGCACCACCACCACCACCAACTGTCGCAGCAGTAGGAAGGGCCTGAGGTAATATCCTAGCGGTAGGAAGCTGCGGGTAGCCGCTTCCACTGCCAGGTGAAGAAAGTTGCTGGGATTTCATAGGTGACCCAGGTCCACTTCCGTACTGAGAACCACCGAAATTGTAGGGTTCACTGAACCCAGGTGATGGTCCATACTGGCTGGAAAACCCTGGACCAGACCTGCCGGATGGTGGTTCATACATTTGGGAAGGGTTCCCTTGAAATTGCTGTGTCGGGGGGCCACCCCCAGGTTGGCGGATACTCGGTGGATAACTCTGAGATGATAAGTAAGGTGGTTCTTCGGAATGGTGGTTCGGTGGCAGCTGATTCTGGGAGGGATTGGGATTTGAGTGAGGTGGGTGTTGGAGAGACATTGGAGGTGGTTGAGAGTATTGCATATGAGTTGGTGGTGGTTGATACTGTGGCTGCGGTGATGGTGGTGACACCTTAGGGGGTTGAAGTTGAGGTGGCGGAAGTTGGTATTGCTGTGGTGGTTGTTCTGCAGTTTGAGGTGGTGGGTAGTAAGGATCATGGTGGGAGATGGGAATTATATTCTGAGGAAATTGGTTTGGATGGTGGACCGGAGGGGTCATGTTCTGTGGTGGAGCGTTAGGAAGAGTAGGCGGAAGTTGGTGTGGAAGGGCGGGAGGAGATGGTTGTTGATGAGATTGTAGAGGTACGGATGCCGCCTGCTGCTGCTGCTGCAAAGATTCAATATGACCGGCAATTTGGGGTTCCGGTCGCTGTTCAACCTTCGAGATTTGAACTTGTGAGAGCTGCAGCTGAGTCTCGAGTATTTCTTGCTTATCCTTCACAACCTGTACACCGGACTGTACCTGCACGAAATTATTCATAAATACCATGATAATATGAATCGAGGGGACAAGAAAAGGATTATACGGCACAAATTTTCCTTCTTAAAGCCGTGCTTGGTACTCAGACAGGACGGGACCGGACGGGCGAGAGGTAGGGTTTGGGAGTAAGATGCACTCGGATCTTACCTCTGCCCAAGGGGTAGAGAGGTTGTTTCCATGAACACCCTCGCCTTGCAAAAGCGAATATATCATCCATCCCAAGATAAATGCCCACAATGAAAATGGCACATGGTTTTAATAGTATGCACTTTTTAATTAATTAAATGACAACTTTACCCCTGATAATAGGAGTAATGAATTACTCCATCAAGGGTAGAATTGGAAAGAGACCGACTTTTGAGAATGGACAGTGATTTTGGAACAATTATTACACTTTTTAATCAACTAATGACAATTTTACCCTTGATAATAGGAGCAACGAATTTCTCCGTCAAGGGTAAAATAGGAAAGTCACCTACTTTTGAGCGGACGCTTATTTTGGGGACAAACTAAAATAAAAATGTGGACACCTGTTTCGAGATGGAGCGAGTATCTTCTAGATAGATGGTACCCGTTATAGATGCACAAGACCCGGGCTTCTTCGGGACTTTGCACCTTGCGGTCGAGTGGCTTCGCTCCTATACTAGAACCTGGGCCCGGTACTTCCAAGCCCGTTTTTAGTGAACGAAGAAAAAGAATCGGGCTCGTTAAGGCTCAGGCTGGACCGGGCCAGGCTTTGTGGTTGAAAAAAAGGCTCGCTTGAGCTTTTCCAGGCCGGGTTTTTTAGCCCCGGCCTACCTAAAAAATTTCGGCCTAGTTGGCCTTTGAGACCTGGCTTGGACCAGGGCTTGGAGCTCAATAGGCCCAGGATTTTTAAAGTCGGGCTTCAGGCTTGGGCTGTTTTGTGCATCTCTAGTACACGTCAATCGAGTCCAACTGCATATGCATAATAAGAATATTTACCTCTCTAATCATGTTCTCGATCTGCCTCAATTTCCCATCAGTATTTCCATGGTTGTTACCGACAGATATTCTCAAATCATCCACAGAATTCTCCAGGTTCCGAGATCTGCTCTCGAGTTGCGACAGTCGTGCACTGACACCTTCCAATGCGTGCATCAGATTATCAGTGTGTTTCTTCATCGTTCTGTCAATCTCTGATATCAGAGCTGCATCACAGATAGTACGATCCTTCTCCATGGCGGCCTTAGAAGGTTCAGAGGAATCAAGAGAACCATAGTTCTGTACAAGCAATAAAAGGTAAACACGATTAACGATGCAGAAAATGGAAGTTGAGCATAGTAATCATGATAACGAGCTTCAAATTAGAGATAAAAAGTTCTCAAAGGGAACCTGCATCAAAATTGTAAGTGTATAACAAGCCTTTATACACACCTATCTTTCTCTATGTTTCTTCACTCGTCTGCAAATCTAGATTCAGATGTACACCAAGGGATTGATTACTACCTGCTTACCGCCTCTTACAAGGAAAAAGAGGCGCAGCCCTTCTTACCAATCCATGATGATGACCTGGTAAGCTATGGGAAGGGCTCTTGTTCGGTCAGATTAGGGCTGACCCAGACTAAACTCTTAACATAAAGGCATTAATAGTTGAAACTCCTCAAAGTGAAATGTTAGATACATGAATCGTCTTATTTGTCTACAAAGATAATGAGATTTGTTGAGTATACGAATATTGACTTGCATATGAGTTCTGATTGAAAAGAAAAGGTAGTTGTGTATCTGCCTGTAGGTAAAATAAGATAAGTTTTATCGGATGAGAATAACTAAATCTATTTAGGGACTGTTTACCAACACAAATTGAGTAAGCACTAACTGGGTAAGGGGCCGTTTACCAAACGCTTACCCAAATAAGTGCTTACAGGCAAATTTGAATGAAAATAAATGGGTCAACCTGCTTACTCATATTGACTTGCATATGAGTTCTGATTGAAAATAAATGGGTCAACCCGCCTACAATGAGGAAACGAGTTTCCCTTGGTAAAGCTGGTAGGCAAGGCTTTTCTTCCACCCCAGACCCGAATGTCAATCCCGTTAGTGTCATTTTCTTAGCTTTTAGTTTTTAATTTCATATTTATTATGTTTCTGAAAAATATTTGCAATATAAGACTTGAACACATAACCTCACATTTGAAAAGCAATGAACTAACCAACAAACCGATGATGATTTTGTGAAAAATATCCATATAATTGTTTCTTATAGTCAAATGGTGCCACCGCTTGAGAAATATTCTAGGTCCATCTCTTGCAAAATTTATGCCTAAACTCATAGTTTCCTTGATAAGAAACTGTCCCCTTAACCTCCCATGTTATTTTGTTTTCTCTATCTTGTACTTTTACTCGTTTGATCATTAATTCAAGATTATAAATGCCTGCCACAAGACCAAATTACTCTCTTGACAACCAATCAAAGGAAACTTCAGTAGCATATGCACAACAACAAAAAAAATTAACCACAAGGGTGGTGCCTGATTGGTTTGAGCTTGGCTCCAAAGGTCAAAAGTACCAGGAGGTCTCAAGTTCAAATCCAAGGAGGAATAAAAATCCCCTTGTGGCCATGGAGGTTCAAATGCGGTGACTCCGGGCCATCTGCAAAGCAGGTGGTCGCCCTGGGATTAGTAGGCTCGCATAGCGGGTTGGATATCCAGGTTAATCAAAAAAAAATCATGAATAACTATGTTGTTCAATAAGAGTGAGGTAATTATCCCTTTCATCTATACACCGGCAAAAATAAGTTAAATATCAGCAGAAGAATAATTCACATCCTATCGAAGTTTTACCTAAATTCAACACAAGAATAAATCATATCCTATCGAAGTTTTACCGAAACCCCAGCCTAAGCAATTGATGAAAACCTACTCCCAATGGCTGGTTGAACGTCAATCAAAGACAAAACACCATTCCACATCTTCCGATCAAAGAGTTTTACAAACGAATTCCCGAATCAAATTCCTTTATAGTATTCTATATACAATTATTTGATTGATCTTAGTATACAGTTTGTTCTAATTGTTTCGATTTTGCGTGTTTCTGAATTGGGAAAACCAGAAGCAAATTAGATGAATACCCAAACCCCAGCATAAACTATTGATGAAAACCTACTCCCAATTGTCGGATTCTAGTCTCCTATAACTACCACCAACAAATCTCTGAATCAATACTAGTAAAAGCACAAAATATGAACAGTACAGAAACCGAAACATCAACAGAAAACGAAATTTGGCGTAAACGACTTACCCGAGTGCCAAAATTGGTCTTTGATTCAGCTGAGGTCCAAACCCTAGTTCCACCAACGTTGCTGGAATCAAAATTAGCCGGCTGCAATGTCGCGATCGGACGGATAGGCTGGAAGTCATAGTTAGGCAAGATCTCATCCTTCTTATCATCGCCGCCGCCGACGTCATGGTGATGATGGTGGTCATCTTGAGGTGGATGACTGTTCAGATCCATGAAATCTTTGTCTGCGTTGTTTTTGTTTTGAGAACTCGATAGATCCATGATCTGCTTATCCATAAACTGCGATGTATTCATCTAATTCGTTTCTAATTTCCCCAATTCAAAAACATGCAAAATTGAAACAATCAGAAAGAACTGGATACTTAGATCAATCGAATAATTATGTATTGAATACTATAAAGGAATCTGATTTGGGAATTCGATGCTAGAACTGTTTTGATCGGAAGATGTGGTGGATATTTGGAATGGGGTTTCGGTTTTGATCGAGAGAAGTGGAAGACAATAGATAGTTGCTTGAAGAAGACGATCAACGCGTATTGGGCCTTTACAGTGGATTTAGCCCATAGGCCCATATGAAGAGCCCAAATCCATGGGTTTTTTACGGGGCAAATTGCATGAAAAATAACGTACTTTAACTTGATTTCTATTTTCGGAAACGTACTTTCAAAACATCTATTTTGATATCTAAGATGTAAGGCTTTAAACATTTAAGTACCCGAGTAATCGATTGAAGACTGATTTTAAATTAAGAAAAGACTAATTTTAGATTTAAAAAGATTCATGTCACTAACCATGTCAATAAATAATACGGAGTTAAATACCACATCAGCATGATAACCGGTTAATGATTCAAAATCCACATCATATTGTTTTCGTGAGACCATCTTTTTACACTTGAAACTTCACAGCAAAACACCGTTAAGGTAACCATCATAGTGTTTTTGTTGTGAAGATTCTAATTTTTTTCCTTCGTAGTGATTTGCTATGAAATTTCAAATGTAAAAAGTGGTCTCATAGGTCTCATGAAAACAATCTGGTCTCACGTGAACCCAACCCTATATATACTTGGGATTATGTGAGACCAAGGGTTTTCCGTGAGACCCGTAAGACCAATTCTCAATCATTGGATTAGATCTATAATCTGAAAAATTCATGATCACAAAATTGTCACGAGACTTCTTATTAATCACAAAATTGCCACCATGCAACTTTAGACAATTAGATCATTAGCTTATAAAGTTGATCAATGAATATAAATTGGTCTTACAGGTCTCACGAAAAACCATTGGTCTCACATGAACCTAACCCTATATATATGTGTGTGTGTATATATATATATGTGTGTGTGTGTGTGTATGTATGTATATGTATGTGTGTGTATGTATGTATATGTATATGTATATGTATATGTATATTAGAGGCGGTTGAGAGTAAATTTGGGAACATATTATTTACATGTACGGTTGATATTGGTTTATAAAGTTTGTAACAGTTACATGGTTTGTATTTAAAACTCCTTATATATATTATTGTAAAGTATTTTGAGGTAGAGACTTAAAAACCGTTTTATATGCAGTAAGTATTATTTATCAATGCATATTATTTACAATTTCAAGATTATAAATAAATGGTGCACAAGTATGACTTTTTAAAAACTACGTGTTTAAATTCATATAATTAACTGATAAGCATAATCAAATACATGAGAAACACCTTGTTTTAAATACAAAAGATCTAAAATATAACTAGGGTAATCTAATAGAATACCTCATGGTGCACAAGTTTGAAATATCATTTCACTTCTAATTTATAATAGGTGATGATGAAGTCTGAAACTTGAATCAATAAGACTGCTTGTTTTTGTAAACCGATAAATATTTGTATTTATTTAAATTATCTATTTTACCTATTTGTTGAATTTATAAATAAATTTCTACAATTTTACATATTTATTCATCATCATTACGAAACTTACATCTAAATCATATAATTAACATTCATTTAAACAAAAATATGTCATGAATGGTATTTAACACATTTAAATCCTATTCAAATACATCAGTTGTGAGATGTGAGGATTAATTTGGTAAGGATCGATTGAGAGAACTGATCAATTAAGATTAATCAATTGAGAAATGTCGTTGTTGAGGGTTTGAATAACAATAAGAGACAAATAAGATGTTGGTTTACCTCTTACCAGATAAGAGAACAATAAGACATAAATGCCTCTAAAATTTTGAAATAACAAACAGAACATTAACGAATCATTATAATTCTCATATTAAAAAAAATATTTTAATATAAACGATTACAATTAACTTGAAAATAGAAAATATATACATTCGAAAAAGTAATACTGATATTTCAAAAGACGTATTCAATGATCGACAGACTTGTGATAGGCCAAGCCACTTGAACCATGACCATATGCTCCTCATACTTGAACTCCACATTGTCCCCGTTAATATGACATTTGATCGGTTTTTCAGATGCAAATACCCTCATTTCTCCGGCACCTTTGACCTCGACTCGAACTGTACATGATCCATCGACGTTCGACAAAATTTCAACTGATTGGAGAGCGCCACCGGAGTTCAACATGTTCACAAGCCCGATGGGGGCGAACTGGATCGATTTGTTGGGCATCACAGTGATAGGAGATATAGTTACGAGCTCGAAATTGAATGGCTCTAGTGCAATTTCAATGTTGTCGCTCGGTTTTGCTAGGATCAGCTTCTTTTCATGGAACAGGTATAATGCGAAGGCTTGGACACCATCCACAGATACCGAGGGTTTCCCTTTGTGCCATTCGACGTCGGTAGGGCCGATAGTTGAGGTCACGACATGGGAGTGCTCTGAAGCGCATTTGTTGCGCCTCGATTCACGACACCATCCTCCTCCTTGGCAGTTGAACGCTCCAACGACTCCGGTGTACTGATCATATTATAAACCATAAAATACAAAAACGTAAACATTTTTTACTATGTTGTACCAGTATTAAACCATTTTTTCATTTGAATATTTATTCGACATTTACCTTGTTCAAATTCCAAATTTTGAGCATGGTTTTTCCGTCGTGGAGTGGGTCTTTGAATAAACAATCGCGGGTCGGGAGGGCATACCACTGGCAACGTAAGATTGACCCATCGGGTAAAACGAGGCTCCTGAGCAAGTCGAAGTTGTGTTTCCCGACAGAGTCACTGATATAAATCGGACCACCAGAAATGGCTCGAGACGCGGCGTGAAACTCAGCACAAGGATGAGTGGACTGAAACATATCCCAGTCCGGTTGTATAAAGTTCCCCATCCACAAACTGTTATAAGCACAATGTACCATGTGACACCCTTGTAACCAAAATGTACCGTTAGGGTCACCTGATGGATCGGTGCACCAAAAATCGTCCCCTATTAAAAACATATGATAACATTGGTAAGGTACAAGTCATTAATGCAATGGGTACTGAAAGGTACAAGCGATAATGAAAAAACGTACCAACACGGCCCAATGCTATGGCCTCGGTGCCAAGGAACATGAAGTCGTTACAATGCTCCATACTTGCAATTACGCCGTTGCCCTTGAAGTGTTTTCTCATCGACAACGTTAACGCTTTGTAGTATGCTTTTGCGAGCTCTACTCTTCCACCGTAATCTTCAGATAACATCTCCAATAACTATGGGGGAAAAACAAGTAATAAAATTTCGTTTTATTTTTATTATAAAATTGTAATTTATCATATAATATTTGATCGATAATTCTTTTAAGTATGTATTCTTTTAATATAATATATATATATATATATATATATATATATATATATATATATAACAAAGCCATCAGCCACATAAAAAATTGAGCCACGCAAAAACATTCTATAAATCTATTGTAACACTTTTAGATATGTTACTTTATAGTTTGGTCCTCTTATCTTTTTATATATATATATATATAAAGTATCGTGTGAGAATGAGAGTTAAGATGAAAAAATAAGAAGGGATATGGACCTTTGATCACCTTTAATCTCAAAACCACCTACAACAAGACACTGTGAAGTAAACTTTCACAGTATTTTTGCTATGAAAATTCAGTGTTTTGTTGTGAATATTTATTATTGTCTTGTGGTCTTACGAAAATAAGTTGGTTTTTATATATAAAAACAAAAATTAAAAAAGGAAAAATGGAATGATAACGCAAAACGTACATGAATGACGTCAACTTTGACTCCGTCAATGCCAGCGGACTCCAAATGCGAGTGTAGACCTTCATACAGTTGATCAACTTTTTCTGGTGGGACCAACCCAACTCCATTATTGACGATTTTATCAACGGCCAGATCTTCCATTGTCTTCTCGAGTCCAGGCGATAGCATGGGCTTCACTACACTTGATTCTGGGAGCCCATGTATATTGGGCCTTACCCCACCCCAATATCCACAAAGGGCATGCCAAACATACACATACTTTACACTCTTAAAATCCTCTTTGAGATCCCTAACAAAAGCTCCCATGCCTTTGTTAGGGGCCTCAGGTCGGGGACTCTCGTATTCTCGAAACTTGTAATTTTCTACAAATTTCGTCAGCCTGCATGGCATCTGTTCACCTGCAGCTGTTCGGTTCATGCCTTCTGAGTCGATCGGATCGTCGTCGTGAGATATGGACTGCCACCCGTCATCGAGCAGCAGGAGTCCAGGTGGGCACCCACCTTCGACTAGACCTTTAACGCCTTCGATGACTCCATGAGGGTGAACGGTCAGATAGAAGGCATCCCATGTGCACCATCCAAACTTATCGATAATACCAGGTGGCGTTTTCTCCTCCAATAACTTGAACGTTCCAAGGTGCTCTTGGACAACTTTCATTGCTTTCTCCATAAGAACATATGGGTCAGGGCCCGCCTGCATGTAAACGACGCTTCTGAAAGAAGTGTCTGAAACTTTTGTTGACCCACTCTCGACACAGACATCCACAAAATCGTTGTTTCCGGGTTGCAGAGCAGCTCGAAAAGGACCTTCCAGTAATGGGAGTATCAAAACATAAGGACGTCCAGAGTCAGACTTTTCAAGCATGACCATCTGCGTCTCATGCTCCAAGTCTCGACCATTCGAACCAACCCAATGTGTGGTCCACCAAACCTTGAACCGGAATATACTCATGAACCGAATACCACTGAGCTTCCCGATCGGGACCACATGTCGACTACTTGCTTCCGAAGCATCGAAACCAACAAAGCAACCACTTGAAACCCCAGAACAATAAGCATTAACATTCGAAGGGACGTCAGATAAGATGACGTGACTGTCAGCAACAAAGCTCGATCCAGCCAACGTCACTGTAGACGTGTGGCTAACTCCAGCAACCATTTTAGTACCGTTGGATTCGGTTTCGAACAAGGTGGGTGCCATTTGTATGAAAAATAGAAGAAAAACAAAATTGTAATTGAAGGGTTGCTTTTGTAAATATGTGAAAAGATGGAGAGTTGTGTTTTGATTGAATACGGAAGTTGTGGTCGTTATTGAAGGGGGTTGGGGGGCATTTATAGGAGGGTGGGGGCGAAGCTTCATTGGAAGGTGTATATGGTCGGCCCCTTTCCCATTTTTCTTTATGTTTATTTATTAAATTGTATTTAATATATTTAAGCATTTATTTATTTATTTAAAAATATAAAATAGAAATTCAAAAAGTTTCGAATAAAATATCGTAATCGAGTCCTTTGGAATAAATCTGCAGACAGAAGATCTTATATTTTTAGTTGATTAAGTTTTCCATGGCATTTATGACATTTAGTGGATATATCATCTTTAATAAATAGGACATATTCAAACGAAAACGCTAATTATTTAAGAAAACAAGAAAAATGTTGTTAATGTACAAAATCGTATGCACGCATGCATATATATATATATATACATATATATATATATATATATATATATATATATATATATTCACGTACAGAATCATACAAGTTCAAAAGTTGTTCGCTTCATTTTTTAGACGTTAATATACAATCACCTGTGATTTTGTACATTAATGACTTTTTTCTTGTTATTTTAAATAATTAGCATTATCGTTTGAATATTTCTCTTAATACATACACATATGGACTTGGGATCACGTGAGACCAGTCTGTTTTCGTGAGACCAGTTTTTTACACTTGAAACTTCACAGCAAAATGCTGTGAAGGTAACCTTCACAGTGTTTTTGCTGTGAAGGTTCGACTTTTTTAAACATTCACAGTGTTTTTACTGTGAAGTTTCAAGTGTAAAAATGTGGTCTCACGGGTCTCATGAAAACAGTCTGGTCTCACGTGAACCCAACCCTACACTTGGGATCACGTGAGACCAGCCTGTTTTCGTGAGACCCGTGAGACCACCTTTTTACACTTGAAACTTCACAGCAAAATGCTGTGAAGGTAACCTTCACAGTGTTTTTGCTGTGAAGGTTCGAYTTTTTTAAACCTTCACAGTGTTTTTGCTGTGAAGATTCGACTTTTTTAAACCTTCACAGTGTTTTTGCTGTGAAGTTTCAAGTGTAAAAATGTGATCTCACGGGTCTCACAAAAACAAGCTGGTCTCACGTAAACCCAACCTTATATATATATATATATATATATATTTGCATCATATCATGAAAACCTTAAACTAGGAATTAAATTAGTCATTAGTTAGATAGTCGGTGAGAGTTGATAATGGAACTCGAAAGGAGCTTCGAAAACTCACCTATTAACTGGACACGTGGCATGGATAGAAGGGCATCCATTTGAGCCATGGATTTGGGCTTCAAATCCACCGACATTTGGATAAACTTATCAATCAAGAAATGACAACGACTAATAACTTACCCCACAAGTTAACTAATCTGGTGCCGACCACTGACCTCACTAACGTTGATTCAGTTAAAATAATCATTACCTAAAAGTCTCCCCGTCAATTTCGCTTTATTTTTTTAACCTATCTTTGACCATCCTTTCCCATGATTATGCATGTTTGTTTGACAGTTGCTAAATGGTTTGATGAAAAATAATTAAATGACTCTCATGATATAATATAAAATGAAATATAATTGTTTGGTAGTTGTTTACAATGAAATTAGGACGCTGAATGGTTAAGGGAGGCACACGATACAAAATCATTCAGAAGGTTTTAAAACCATTAAGAGACAGATTTTTTTTTTTTTGCCAAACAAGATTCACCTCTTAACGGTTCAGAKGATGCCTCTTAATGGAACTATTAAGAGGTAAATAAACAACCCCTTAGAATCTAGAATTGAAACAAAACTGAAGAGACTGTTTATCTCATAAGCGTTTACAGGGTGTTTGTTATAAAAGAATCGAAAATTTTACCTGATAAGTGATGGAAAAAACTCTTACACTATTAGCACTTGCTACGTAAGTGACGTTTACCAACAATCCATTTTAATAGCTAAAAATGTTACCTGATAAAGTAAGTAGAAAATGGTGACTCTTGCCGGTAAACGCTTCTTAATAAGTTGGTAAACGGTGCTTAAAGGGTGCATACTAAACTAGGACAAAACAAATAGTTTCATAAAGGGATGGGCTAAATGCACCCTTACCTATAAATTTCTTCCTCACATGTATCTACATCAAAACCTATTTTCTACATTCTCAATGCATGAATTGACTTGATTCTGACATAAAGGGATTGCAAATGGCATTACCCATAGGTAAATTACTGAACTACCCATATCATGGCAATTCTTCCACCCAGCTTTCTCGTCTGTGTACCAAACACACCCTTAACCCACAGATTGAGAAAGATTTAAAGAAAACACTAAAATGAGAATAAGAGAGTACATATACAGACCACACATCAAACCAACTCACACTTACAGGCTTCTTTTTTCTTTTCTTTCTATCCTATCCACCTCTTTACCTGCCAGGTTAAAAGCTGTATAAACTCCAGCTCTTTACCTGTCAGGCTAAAGCTGTATAAACTGCTTTTTTTTTCTTCTTTTTGATCTTTTTCTACAACATATATTCATTTTGTTACAAAATACACACAACAAAGGTAAGTAAGAACTCTAGTAAAGAAAAACCTACCTGGCTCAGGCTGTTTATCAAACATACTATTTCTATACACTTCACCTCATCAAGGAATGACTTGTAGCTTCTTTAGAAACACCTAGTGCAGACTGGATAACAGAAAACAGCATTTCAGATGGATGTTTGATCTATTTGAACCGAAAAGAGTCTTTAGCCCCGTGGTACCCGGGTTTAGGGGCGAACCTATGAAGCCCCCAGTGCGGTCCTATACACTCGCTCAACCGATTTTTTCACGTATACTTTTTTTTGGGTATGAAAGGTGCACGCACTAAACTTTGAGGGTGCTCTGGGATATTAGAAAATGGAGTAAATTATGATCTTTCGCCCCTGTGGTTTGTTAATAATTTCGATTTTTTGTCCTTGTGGTTTAGAAATTGTGATTTTAGTCCCTATGGTTTGCAATTTATTGCTATTTTTGGTCTTGGACTAATTCTTACCTTTAAGTACAAGGGACCAAAACAGTAAAGAATTGTAAAGCACAAGGACCTAAACAACAACAAATTGTAAATCATAAGGACGAAAATAGCAATGAATTACGAACCATAGGGACGGAAACAGCAATTTCTAAACCACAGGGATGAAAATCGCAATATTTTACAAACCATGGAGACTAAAAACATAATTTACTCTAGAAAATACAAAGAAAATCAACCAAAAAACAAAAAGAAAAAAAAAACGGAAAGTCCCTCGAAATCAACCCAAAAAACTTAAAAAAATCCCTCAAATAGGTGGAATTCGGCTAAACAGACATTGGCGTTAACAGGCCTTTGATCCACCCTAAAGGTGCACTAGCTCGGCAAAATATTTTGGTCCACCACTGACCGGTGAATTGGTAGAGCCCAGCCTCTCAGAAGGCTCAAAAGGTCATGAGTTCAAAGCTCACGAAAGGTAAGGAGTGTATGTGGGTGTTTGTTGTATATAAATATTATATACTTCAAAAAAAAAGTATTTGATGGTTATAGTTACCAAATTAAGAAGACGCAGAGCAGCAGGCCGAGTAAATTTCCGAGCAAAAAGGAAGCAAGGGGATGGTTTTCCCTTGCTGGTGCACCATTCTCTTCGGTATTCTGTCTCATAGTAGATATTGTCGATATCCTGCCAATTAGAATACAAAAAATGCAACTGTTAATATATAGCATACCACAAGCTAAGGTCTCGTTTATTTTGGGCATTCCACATTTTTGTTTCCCTCCGAAACGTAATGTATAAAAATAAATGCAGATGATATCGAGAATTCACGAAAATGGTATAAATGGATGGAACCTATATTTAGGGGGGGCTTACTAAACGCTTACCCGGTAAGCGCTTACCGAGTCATTTACCTTACCGGATAAAAAATGGCAAGGACCAAGGACAGTAAGGAGGTTAGAGAGTCGACCACTACTTCGTTTAGTGTTTTTGTATCTTCTCATAGGCCTTTATACCCTTGCATGTTTCTTTATCATTGTTCTCTCATGTTACTATTTCTTCAACTATGCCAACCTACGTTTCTATCATTAATTATCTCCTTTCTCAATCTTTTTACTTTTTGCATGTTATGTTGTTCTTTATCATCGTTCTTTCATGTTACTATTTCTTCGAGTATGCCAACCTACGTTTCTATCATTAATTGTTATATTTCCGTCTCCTTTCTCAATCTTTTTACTTTTGGATCCATTTTTTGGTCATAAAGTCATTTTCTCAAAAAAAAAAAATACAAGGCAAGGTCTTCATGGGAACAATCTCTCTACCCCTCAAGACAAAGGTAATGTTTGCGTACTTACTACTCTCCCGAGACCCTACTCCATGTGGGATTTGCAGGGTTCATTTGGTTTGGTTTGGTTTGGGTCAATTGATACCGATAATAGGAACAGTAGATCACAATAGGGCACATTTGATTTGTTTTCCATTTCACATCTATGATCATGAGCTAATGAACCATATGTTGCCAATGCGAAGTTCTAAATGAAGCATAACTTTTAGACAAATTGATTAAAATGATAGAAACTTGTTTTAATTTGCTATAAGGTGTGAAACAGCTTGCTGATTTACCTTAATAGATTGAATGAGCATGGGAGTGGCATCAGCCAATTTGTAGGTCACGGGATGCCATCCTTGCCGCTCACGACCTTTGTTGGATGAAATATCCCATGAAGTGTGAGTTAGAGTCCTCCTCGTGATTTCTCCTTCAAGGCCTTTATGCTGGTTATTGCAAGTCAAAATTTAGAAAACATGGGTAAAGATGATAAAGTAAGAGAAAGGAACTCAAAATTATATCACTTCTCATAAAAATATAAGAAGTAACTAATCTAGAGCCTGCTGAAACAACAAACCTTTTCTGCCAAGTAATTCTTTTCTTATGATTGTACTTGCAGGGCTCTTTAAATTTGGTGATTGAACCACCAAAAAATATGAAATTGGGTAAGAGTGCAGTCTGGGACCTCTAATAAGAGGTTCGGTTTGGGTAAGCCCCGAGCGAAAATGGTTGTTTACCAAGTGTTTCCTAGTAAGTGCTTACCGATAAGAAATACCTTTATCATCTTGTGCTGACCCGGTAAGTGAAATAGTAATGCTGACCGGGTAGGTGCTTGGTCAGCACCATTAGTCAGATCATTCTTTAGGTAAACTAGTTGATGCCGACCGAGTCAAAACAGGCTATAAGTTATTAATTACAAAATTTAGTTCTAGTAAGGCATACTGATAGTTGCTGCTAAAAACATTAAGGAATTGTCACATGGCACTGAGATATCAATTCTTTTCTCAAACTAATGCTAGAAGCCGGTTATTCGACGGTCTTCCATGCACTCTGTGTGTCCATAAGTTTACTGGTGTGGGCTTCTGGCTGGGGCAGATTCAGAGACGAAGGGTCTATCCTTCCCCTTGGCCTTTCCATCATATACGTAAGCCTTCCAGACATGGTTGTTTATGTGGGGTTCGATTAATGTGGGGACTGAACTTCAAAAATGCAATTAGTTTATAGATTATATCTTTACTTCTAATTAGGTCATTAATGCTAGTTATTGTTTAAAAAACTTACAAAATGGTAACATGGCGCTGATGTGTCAGTTCTTTTCTCAAATTAATGATAGAAGGCAGTTATGATCTTATTACAAAATCTCTTGCATCTTTTGTTGATTTGTAGTGATTTACATATCCATAACAGAAGACTGCAGAATTTCTATTTTTGAGAAGACCAGTGTTCTATAGGCTTATGGACACAAGAAATACAAGTTCTTAAGTACATAAATGGAGAAATACAAGTTCTTAAGTACACAAATGGAGTCCATAAATACAGATGGCAGGATATAAATACATAATCACATAACATAAACTTACAGCAAGTAATGTTGCAACATAATGTTCATCAGGTATACAATTGTGCTCCTTTGAATTATCAGCAGGCTGCAAAAGAAATAACAAGATCTATTAGTGGAAACTGTCTTTGAGATGTACCCGAAAGCAGTTTTTCTTGTTATTTGCTATTCATTGAAAATCTTTATCAAGGGAGCTCTCCTTTGACAAGATGATTACCATGAATATACTATAAAGGCCATAAGCAGGAAGGAATCACACAAAATAAATAAATAAACTATAATATATACTTACAACAGGACGATCCCGCCAAAACTCGGGTAGTGATTTCCTCTGTAGGCAAGAAAGAGAAGTCACTGATTAACATGGTTAAATCAATCAAAGAAACTACAAAGCCTTCCATTGTAAGGTTTTGCAAATAATATTAAGTATATGAGATGAAAGATATACTTTATCAAGGGAACGTTGTCCTTTTAGGACAAAGTTTACATCATTGATTTTAAACAAAGTTGAGCACATAACTTCAAAGAAATTATATGAAAACTGTATATACCAAGTTCTTCCAGAACAAATAGTCAATCATTGCTGAAATAAGTGATTATTTACAGCACATGTATTGATGATGAACATCAAACCACTGTTTTTGCACATAACCCTCAAATAACCTAGTGTTCTATAGAAAAATATGTTGGTTTATGAATGCAGGGGGTATGGTATAGATTATTGCAGGCTTCCATATCCAAACCAATTGGTGAGGAGTGGCATGACCCTTGGATTAAAGACGTGGAAGAATATATTTTTTAAAGTAGCGTGGGACATGAATTCCTGAAGACTTATAGCCCACTTAAGGTTGTTGAGGCTAGCACATGCTATCTAACCTGGTTCACATGTGAATAGAACAATGCATCCCAATCACACTCAAACATCTCAGAATCAATTGGTCATGGATGAAGCAAATATATAGTGTAGAGTTCATTAGTTTCAAGTAAACCGCTTCAAAAAAGTTAATTTCAAATTAACATGCGACTTAAACTACTGCCAAAAAAACATTGTTTATGCTACTTGCCTGGCAATGCTGCTGGAACATAGGAAAGACAATGCCATCCTTTACAATAATCTCGGCATGCTTTCTGGTCAGAATCGCCCACTGAAAGAAGGTAATACAAGTATACTACAGGTACTTAGATAGGAATTTAAATTACCATCACATAAAAAGAGTGCTTTCATGCCACACCATGTGAGCTGGTTTTATGAGCAGCAGCTTTACCTGAGATCCTTTCCTCCAATGATTAACAGGGATAACTGGATCCATTTTGGGGTTGTAGCGACCTTCCTTTGTATCAGCAAAGCTGTTCAACATTGAGTTTAAGGTAACATGTACAATTTATAGGCTTTTGCAATAGGGAGATAAATGTTATTTCAAACATATATTTTGATATGCATCTTTTTAACCAAAAACAAGTAGCTGAAACCATGCAGCAAAAGTATAATCATTACCTGTCCACGAAGCTAGTTGATGTTGACATTATGTAATCATATGTGTAGCTGAAGTTGTACAAGGGAATGCAGCTGAATAAGATTAAGAAGCTTTTAGCATAGTCGATAGGTTGATCAAACCAAAGAGTAACCTTTATGCATTGAAGTAAATGACTACGAATTACAGAAAACATGAAGCTCTCCCTATTAAAGATCATTAATATGAAACAGGCTTCTTTAATTTCTTTATAAAGATTATATTTCACCTGTCTGAGAGGAACGCAAATCGTTCATTAGAAGGATCCATGAGTGCATGTTGAAGCAAAATAATCTCTGCTTGTATCATGCTTGCTTCTCCCCAATATACCTACAGAGGGGCATAACACTATATTAACAGGCACTAAGATTTAGCTAAACTTTAGGCCTTCCAAACCCCTAAAACTAGCCAAGAGAACAAATTAATTGTCACATTATTAACAAATAAACTCAAGCATTGAATTCAGGGCAAAAATAAGACGAACCTGTATACTATTATTAACTTGACGGTCCAAAAAATAACCAGATCTTGTCGTCAATTTGTTAAGTAGGAAACCAGGCCTAGAATGAACGTAGATTGAAAATCGATTGTCATTCTCTCCCTGCAAAACAAGGAAATTCTCTTAAAATAAACATACCTGAAACTGTTACATTGACATCATCAAGAGCGTTGGTGTATGCTTGGCTTAAAATTAATGATAAACAGAGTAAAAGCCTCCTGTCCCTGAGGTCTAAGGATTATCTTATGGACAAACCCAAATATGTAAGTCCATAAATTGCTTTCATATTTACCGTTTGTGTGATTATATCTTAACCCCCTATTATACCCTTCAAAGATCACCAAATAGGTTGTTTAGAATACCCTTCAATAACGGCAAACTAAGTGAACCCGGTGGACCAAAGCAATTAGCACCAATAGATCATGGACAAATATAACATTTTAGCTCGAAAATTAACAATGAACCGTTACAAATTTTCATGGGTGTGCAAATCTGAATTAATGCAAATGAGACAAAATTGACCATCAATATCCTAAAAATAGAAACTTTATATGAAACACTTGTCACCTGAGTTTGCAATTTTTATCCCACATCATGTTAAGTAGCGCCAAGCGATTGCACATACAAACAAACTCATGAACACCAACATGACACCTTTGTCCGCATCTAAGGGAAAAGCAATGCACTCCCTCTCTCACAAAGTGGAGATGTCCTTTTGTTCGAGGAAGTCAATTTGTGAAATCTCAAAATTCAAGGAGATAAAATTCTTCGATTTTAGTACATGCAACTACTATTATTCTTTAGAATTTCAGATAATTGGCTGCAAAACTCGATTATTCTAATTCCAAACAAAAGAGTAAGCGAGTGAATTGAGCAGTGAATTACAGAGTACTCGAATTTCAAGCTGAAAATATAAATGTATCATTAGATGAATAAGCAATGTACTTGATCGAGATCGAAAATTACCTGAAAGAATTCATCCCAAACTAGGTCTAGCGGAAGCCGGTTTCGAGCTAGGAACAAGAAAGCGATTTTAGGTTTTTGAACGAACAGAGGAAAGATCGAAGAAGCACCAATTCGACTGTACTGTGCCTCCATTAACAAAAACGTGGAGAAACAAAAACCTACTAAAAGCAGTGCAAAGATCTTCGTCTTCCATTTGTGCCGTATCAATAGCTTAGGAGAAATAGGCTTCCGCTTCATTGAACAACAACAATAACAGCAAACTCAGCTCAGTCAACGTCCTTGTTCCACCATTTCCCAAACCACCAAAAATACCTACACACTCACTGTGTGAGTATGAACCTATAACAGATAGACTCAACGTTTCATCCAGTGCTTTCGAGAATCCAACAAGACCAAGATCCAGTTTTACCAGCTCTTCAATTGGACAAGTCGAAATCCGTGAAAAATTGCACCAATGGCGGCAGAAAACGAGATCGCAAAATCCAGCAAGAAGCTTGTGAGTCGAGCGTCACCGAGTCAATGAATTAGAATCCTGGAGACCCCGGTGGAAACCAACAATTATTGAAGACCAGCAGCAGACGCCATTAATAGAAACCAATCAAGCTCATGGGTGAGATGAGTTCGTAGGCCGTCTTAATCGAGCCATCCGACATCTCTAGAACTCTTGGGTATAATTGTTGGTTAAATTACAATTTATAGAAAAAAGTGAATAAAAACCGAATCTTTTGGATGATTAATTTCTTTTTAACCATTTTTTATTGAAAAACCATTAAACTTTCTTGTTGTTCATTCTTCATATCGATTATCACGTTTTTGGTCCCACCATCGATTTCCATCTTTTTGATCTATTTTTAGGAGGTTACAAGTAGTTTTACTTTACGACATTTCTAGTCGGTTACGTGTAGTTTTTTTGGTTAAAATGATGTAAGTAACCCATTGTTAAAAGTTCCATGGTTTTATATGTATACATAAAGAGAGTGAGATCGAGTCAAGTTTATAATAATTGTGACCAAATAAAAGAATTAAAAAATTTGTCAAATTACATGTGATTTTACACTAAAATCATGTGTAGATTACTGGTGATTAACGTGACTTTGGTTGCGACCTCAAGTTAAGTGTAGAATCTCTCTTACATTTTACTGTTAGCGTTTACAAATCACTTGCATTGATCGGTAGTATAAAATCACATGTGATTTAATTATTTTTGTATTCTTCTATTCGGTTATTGTTCACGTTTGAACCCATCTTTCTCTCTCTATATATATGTATGTATATATTATATATGTATATAAAGAGAGTGACCAAGCAAGATAACACGGAAACAATCAAATCACACATGTAAAATCACTTGTGATAAGCTCTAGCAGTGTTCTGTGATAGTGTGTGATTTCAGTGCAAATTCATTTGTAATTTTGTCGTTCTTGTATTTTTTTACCATTTTTTTTACCATTTTTTTTGTGACCATCTATACATATAGAAAGGAGGGAGTGCTATTAGAAGCCCATAGTTGATTTGGAACCAAAAAACCATCAACAGTTCACCATGTGCTCGGTGTTAGGATGAATATTCATCATGTTCATAAAGAATATGATATGGACATGCTATTCATCGTAATTACTTTTATGATGAATCATGGATCAAATGGACTCCTCCTCCTTCTGGTATTTCGAAGTCGGACACCGATGGTTTGGTTCCCAGTCAAAGTCGTGAAAGCAAGATAGGGGGAGCAAATACCTCCGATCTCTACCGTATGTGCCAAAGAAGAATTTTCAGCTCCCAAATAAGATGACGCTACCGAGACAGAAATTAGGAGCTGCTCAGCTGGTGAGATCGATGTAGGGATTGAATCTGTATGGTTATCCAAATACTTTGACAGGGGAGGCCGAGTGATTGAATAGGACTTGCTAATTGTTCCTTTTAATCGTAATCAAAGATTAAAAGAAACAATTAGGGTGTGCATTGGGCGGAGAAGGCGGATTCGGGTGGGAAACCAAAAATTCGATCAGATTTCGGATATGGAAACCAAACCCCGGATTTTGGTTTCTAGTTGGGGTTGATCGGGTTTGAGTCGGGTTCATATAGTTATATGCAATGTACAAATTTGGTGGTTTGCATTTGATCACTCATATATATATACACACACTCAATCGATTTTTCAGGATGATAAAATCGATAGTAGGTTTAATACTTAGAAAAAAATACGACCAACTACAAATTAGGATTATCAAAGAATAATCAGTATTTTTGTTAATTTTATCGTATACAGTGTAATTTTTCTTTCACACATGGATTTAATGAAAACATTTGATTTGATATTTTTTTAATGTAAAAATAAAAACCAAAAAACAAATATTTCAAATTAAAATAATAATTAAAAACAAAAAGATTAAATTTTTTTTTTAAAAAGGAAAAATGTTAACGTATGTTTTGGACTTCTTAATACAGACAGAATAAACTTTGGGGGTGTCAATTTGAGGGTAAAATCGTCATTAATCATTAAATGAAAAGAATTTTGGTAACATTAAAAAAGTGATTATTTTTTCCCAAGGCGTTTATTTTATTGCATTGGGACCATTAAGATGTAGATAGATGTTATTGTGACTTAAAGATTTGGGATCATGTGAGATAAAACGGTTTTTGTGAGATACGGTTTTTACAATTGAAAAATTCACAGTAAAACATTGTGAATGTAACTTTCACAATGTTTTTGCTGTGAATATTCGGCTTTTTTATCCTCACAATATTTTGTTGTAAAATTTCAAATGTAGAAATCGTGTCTCATAAAAACAACTTTGTCTCACATGAACCCAACCATATATATATACATATACTAGAAGGGTACTCGTACAATGCATCGAGACACATTTTCATTTCAATGTTTCGTTTTATTTTTTATCCATGTCGATATAATACGATTTTATATGGTTTTAATAAAGCGATAATGTTTTTTAGTTTTTAATATAATATAAATTTGAAAATATCATATAAAATTTGCAAAAAGTATATCAATATTAGTACAAATTAACTATTTAAAAGTACTTATTTGTATATTTTTTTAATTCAATTTTTATTATTATAATATAATTTAACGTAACGAAGTAACTTAATTTAGGTTTAATAATATTTTTTAATAAATATTATAATTAAGTATTCTGTTAGATTTCAATAATTATCCTAATTATATTTTAAAATGAGATGTTTATCCTCTACTTGATTATGTTTATCCACAGTTAGTTACACTATTTCAAACATAAAGCTTTAATAAGTCCTATTTATACACAATTTACTTGTAATCTTGAATTTTAAGTAATATACATCATTAAACAATACTTCATGCATAAAAAAATGGTTTTTAAGAGCTTTTGTCAAATGATTTATAATATAGTATATATATATAAAATAAAAATATAAAAATATATTATAAATTGATAAAAAAAATCAATATAGTTAATTATTAGAAAAAATTACGTAGTATTTAGCTGTATTATATAATACAAAATCATTTAAAGAGTTTTAGAACCATTAAGAGACATATTTTTTTTGCCAAACAATATTCACCTCTTAACGATTCAGATGTTGTCTCTTAATAAAACTATTAAAAGGTATTGTTAGTAGGGAAAAAACCTACAAATCCAAAAAAAAAAAAAAAACTAGAATCCATGCAAGAGATGACTTTTTGAATTTTGATTTAATTTAATTTAAAAGTCAAAAGTGGAATGTTGCTTTAAAAATGCAACTAAGGATTGCTTGGGAATAAATGCAAGTAAATAATTGAATAAAAAGGTGGATGGGAGGTTGCTACCTTTGATGGTTACTTGCTACCCTTTGATGCTTCATGAATCATCCCACTTTCATATCATCATCAAATAAAGCTTTTTTCTTTTAATATTTTCTTTTTGAAAATTCCCGATACGCTCAACGATGCATCGTTTAAGTATCTGTATTCATCGGTTAGTTGTTTACGTCATTATACAGACGTAGTAACTTCATATCAATAAACAACCGATGGGTATTTGCCCCTAACGGGAAGGGAATTGTATGTCTTGACTGAGGGGCAGTTTACGAAACGCATACCTGAGTAAACGCTTACCAAACCCCATTACCTTATCGGATGTATACGACAAGGACCAAGAACCTTATCCAGTAAGAGCGAAGGCAATGACCAAGAGTCTTTCACGGCAAGTGAAGGTGGCGACTCTTATCACAGTTAGCGCTTACCGAGTAAATTGTTCCGTACTAACCATTTTGGTGGACTAAAATATTGCCCGATAAGTAAGAGATAGTGTTTCATCTTGCCGGTAAGCACTTATCCGAATAAGCATTTAGTAAACGACCCCTTATAGGATGGGGACAGAGGATGGTTTTCTATCTCAAAACTGATTTCGAGATGATATTATATGTACTTAATATGATCCTAATATACGTAGTAATTATATTATTATCATGTTTTATTATTTATTGAACAGACACCCAATTGATTTTCCATACTGAATAAGTATCCTTCCCCGAAAACATGTAGGGATTAGACGGGGAAGGGATGAGGAGTTGGGGACACCCACTTCCTCACCTCGTTTCCATCCCTAACAGTTGCAAAAACAAGATGCATGAGTGAATCGACTCGCCAAGTTTCGATCGAAATAAAGTTCCCACAAGAAAAAACGTTTTTTTATTAACCTGGATATCCAACCCGCTAGGCGAGCCGACTAATACTATGACGACCACCTGCTTTGCATATAGTCCAGAGTCACCGAATTTGAACCTCCGTGGCCACAAATGAATTTTTATTCCTCATTGGATTTGAACTGAGACCTCCTGATACTTTTGACCTTTTGAGCCAAGCTCAAACCAATCGGACACCACCCTTGTGGTTCACAAGAAAAAAGCATTTATTAGTTATAAACTGTTAACGATCCCAAATATTTGCTTATATGTCGAATATAAAACGATCAACGATTTGACATACAATATCACATTAAATGGCAATGCCTTATGCTTAAATAATGGGCTATGGAGAAGAGGTTACTTATAACCCATGCCCTTTTATATTGGGCCTTGGACTAGTTGTTGCATAAATGCAAAGAACATATATAACAAAATTTAAAAATAAAATAAAAATGAGGTTCTGTTATCTATTTTAAAGAAATTATAGAGAATCTATTATAAATATTCTAATAGATTATGTCAAGCTGTAGTAAAATGCCACTGAAAGATACTGATATTTGGGTAAAAAGTTGATTACTAGCAACCCAACAGCTCCCACACGGTACCCGCCTCCGAAAACACCAACGTGAGGGTATATTTTTTTGGCTTATTAAGCGGCAGAGGCTAAGGAGCTGGGATTGGACCTATGGCATGTCTTTATTTGTATAAAATTACTCTATTCCTTTGATAACTGAGCTGCACGCCACTGAGTCGACATTTATGATGTAATATGCTTTTTCATGCACCTGGACAGTGCATGACATGATTAAATTAAGACACTTGTTGTTTGACATTTGGTTTGATTATTAGATTGTAATTGATTGATTATAGGGATGAAAATTATAATTTCTAAACTATAGGGATGGAAATCGTAATTTATAAACCATAGGGATGACAATCGTAGAAACGAAAACAACAATTTCTAAATCATAGGAACGAAAATCACAATTTCTAAACCAAACGGATGAAAATCGTAATTTTTAGCCAACCACAGGAAGTAAAACGTATTTTAGCGATTGTTTACCAAACACTTATCCAGGTAAGCGTTTATCAAGTAACTTTACCTTACCCGATGAATATGTACCTAATAAGAGCGAAAACAATGATCCAGAGCTTACCCGATAAGTGACGATGATGACTCTTACTAGGGCTGACCCTAGCCATAGACCCAACGGTCGACCGCCCAAGGACAATCTATATATATATAGGTTAATTTTTTATTTGGGCCCTCAAAATGTTACCGTTACCACAGCCCACTCTGTCCGGCTGTCCATCGACCATCGTCTCCTCACTCTCGGTCTCGCTCACGGTCACGCACTCACGCCCTTCACAGTTCACTATCGCTCTCGCCTGCGGCCTGTCGGCTGTCGCTCGCTCACGGAACTCACAAGGAAACCGATTCAGTTCACCGTTCACGATTCACCATTCACGTTGACCTAATCCGCTAATCGGCTCACTCACGGTCACGGAACTCACTCCGTCGGCGTCTGCCTCTCTCCCTCTCCTTCTCTCGACTATCGACTTCGACGACTTGTGAGGTTAGTGACTTACTGACTTAGCCACTTAGGGTTATTACTTATTTACTTTACTTATTGGGATAACATCCATGCTCATTTTATTGGGAATGGATGAACCGATGATCAATGCCTACATCCCATATTGATTTTCAGCAGAAACCAGGCCTTTATAATTTTTTAATTGTACCATATTTCTAAATCTTCATCCACTTGGTAAATTAAATGTATTGRTTGACCCAATTAGCTTCTCCCTCAAAGGTTTTCAGTGGATGAGGATTAGTTTAGGATCAATAGGGACCATAAGTCATGTGGCCATAGTTAATACTGGACTGAAAGACAAACTAACTCTACAGTACTAAAGCAATCTAGGCATCAACACACACTAGAAAGAGAGTGGAGTAATTGACAATTTGATAGTGAGTCCAGTTGGTCATGGTTGGGCTTGCTTACAAACTCAGCCACCATATATTGGTCTTGAAATCGCCAAGTATATCCTGTGGTTAACCTTGAAGAAGTTGATATTGTTACCCTTTAATGACCGGAGCGTCCAAGTCATGAAAATAGCCTCTTTGCTATAATGCAAGTGAAGCCTGCACACAAGTCGTCCATAGTAAAGTCTGGGGAGTGGTGCTTGATGGTCATCAGTTTTTAGTAGTAATGTATTAGTTTAGAGTAGATTATAAATTCTTAAGTCGTAAGTAGGTGGACAAACTTTTTTTCCTTAAACGGTAAGCTATGATAATGGCTTAGAGTAACACAAGAATCACCAGTTAACTAAAATAGGTAACAGACAAATTGAAATTTCTGAATCAAATAAGGCTTCATGTAATTATGTTGCTGGCTAAAATTAAAGGTAACATGAACTGTTACTGTTATATTTATACCTCCTCGCCTTGTATGTGAGTTTGTATGTCTCTTTGTTGGATTGTCACAAATTGATTGGTTTGCTTCCATTTTCAAATTGGAGAATCTTCCATTTTCAAATTGGAGTTGCTCTCAATCTTCTTGTTAAAAGCAGTACCCGATGCTTATAAAGCCTAGGTACAAAAAGCACTACCTCTATGCAAATTAAAAGTGATACATACGATATCTTACTACTTTCGTTTCAAATGAGTTATTCTGGGATTAAGAACGGGCAGAGTTACTCATATTTAATGGAAGCTGTCTCTTTGCAAAAAAGCAAGGGAAGCTTGACTAGGTTCCAAACCCCTTAAAAATTTGTGCCTTCTTGAGTTCTTGGTTCATTGGAGCAGGGGCATTTTTTTGGCTCTCTGCCCGGGGCATTCAAAACCATTGGACCGGCCCTGACTCTTACCACGGTAAGCGCTTACCGAGTAAATTATTGCATATGATACATTTTTAATGAACTAGAGTCTTATCCGGTAAGCAAGTGATAATGTTGAATTTACTGGTAAACTATAACCGAATATTTAATTGTTTGCCATGTTAACTCGATAAGAGGAAGCAATGAAAATAAGCTACTTGAATACCAACCAGCCCTAGGCCAAGATTTTTCCCATTTCGGCGCCTTCTGTTTCCCAATATTTTCCCCCTTCTCGTTTCAACGATTTCTGGGCGAGTTCCAGACTTGATGCCACGATTTTTGTGATTTTGATTTCTTCAATTCACTTGTGGTATGTTTCATCTTCGATTTCCGTTTTTCCTTTCTTATGACACTAGTGTTTGATGATTTCTGGTAGCAGATTGACTTTAAACAGTAGTTGAGTTTACTGGGAACGATGATTCGTCAACTGTTTGATATCAGATGTTAAGCTTTACTTTCAGTTGGGGGAGTTTGAATGTGTAGTGTTTGTATTAGGGATTACATTATTTCTTCCACCAATGAAATGTATATGCATAGTTCTCATCGAACTTCATGATCCCGAGTTTAGCACACTGGCTGTTGATATATTTGCTAGTTGCAAGTCTATTTTCCATTACATCTAATCCGCCTCTATGCCGTTTTCATCCAGTTTTTTAATCATCCAATTTTCTGCATATGATAAAAAGGGTGGTGCTCTAAAGGAAGCAAACGTTGTAAATTAGCGTGTTATGAAGTAATGATTTCTTTCAGCAGTATTAGAGATTACAAAGTTTTGATGCCCATTGGACTTTGAACAGTAGTGATACTGATTAGTTAGTTTGCTTGATTTGACATAGATAGAGATATATTGATTTGGGTATTTGATAAACTGTGATTGGATTTGATTTGATTCGTTAGTTTATGTGTTGCTTTGATTGGAGTTGATTTGAATTGCTTTTGAATCAATTGTGTGTTTAGCTGCTTACGCGTAAATGAAGTTGCGATAAGATCATCGAAGTCAGTTTTATTAACAGTCTTCTTGTTCAAAACGTTTCAGATGGTTAAAATGATAATTCTCTATCGTACAAATTATTCGTTCATAACACTTAGCAACAATGTCTTTTCATTCAACAGCAATTTAAGACAGAGCATCTGAATCACTCAGACGGTGTATTCATTTGGCACCTATTCATTCAATTTTATCAAATAAGCTCATTGCTTAGATGAACTGCTTTGCGTCAGCCAATTTAAACATCAAAAGGTATTTCATATCTCTATAACTATATATTAACTTCAGATTGACCTGTGGGGTTAGCTCAACTTGGCAATGGCTTGGGCATTTGGGGATTCTTCTCAGAGGTCACCGGTCCGAGTCCTGCAAGGCCATTGGGGATTTTCCTGGCCTTTCGCCAGGGCTCCTGGGACTAGTCAAGGTGCATGCAAGCTGACCCGGACAGAGGCGAACCTAGAACTTTTTTTCAAGTGGTGGCACCATTTGACTCTAAAAAACAAGGATATGAATATTTTTCACAAAATCACTATTGGTCTATTGGTTAGTTCATTGCTTTTCATATGTGAGGTTCTGTGTTCAAGTCTTTTATTGCAATTTTTTCAGAAACATGACAAATTTGAAATTAAAATCTAAAAACAAAGGAAAATGACACAAAAAGGATTCGAACCCGGATCTGGGGTGAGAAAAAAGCCATGCAAACAAACTCTACCAAGGGAAACTTGTGTCACCATTGTAGTTTCAAAATATATGCGGTTGCACAAAACAAAATGATACGGTAGCACCTCTCACGACCCTATAATTTTTTACAGTACAACGAAGGAACAAAGCGATGGCCCGTGCCTCTGTATCTATTAAAGTGGTTCCAGGACCCGTGGTTAACAAAAAAACTTCAGATTCCCCATCGCTATAAATAATGCTATAAAGTCCGGTTTTTGTTTGCTGTAGTTGCTGCTATTTGCTAAATTTGTTTTATAGTCTGAAATTCAATGATTTTGTACACTATATTTGTGATTGATGTTTCTTTTATTCTTGAATCATGGGAGCAAAGTCTTATAACAAATAAAACTGGAAGAGGAGGAAACAGTAGCTGTACAGTGCCAGGGTTTGCACGATCACGCGATTGCGCCCGAAATGCTCAATGTTTACATATAAGGTCTTGTTTGGCCAATGGAAATGGTGGTGTTAAACAGGAGACTCATGGCATCGGAAAAAGAGATGGGGTGATAATTGTTGATCATGGGTCGCGTCGAAAAGAGTCCAATCTTATGCTAAGTAAGTGAATTTAGTAGTTTTCATCATGTTACAAAAAAATGAGCAGAATCCTCCATCAGTTTCTGGGATAGATATACGCTTTGATTTATGATGTTAGACAAATTAATTTTTTATTTTCAAAGTTAACGCCACTTCAACAAGGTGAGCTTATTTCAAACTTAGGTTGTTCATTCAATATTTGAGATCTAAATGTGAAAGTGTAGCTCTCTTTATGAATGGAGGGGGTGTGATTTTATATCCACTATGCTAACACAAATTTTTTCATGGGTTTATTGAATGTTGAATTGTGGCAATGTTTGCAGATGAGTTTGTGGCAATGTTTGCAGAGAAAACTGGGCACTCAATTGTAGAGCCTGCTCATATGGTACTTTTTTCAACCTAATAGTCTTGAGATACTTATTTCTTATATGATAACATTAATATCTGTCCTTGGAGGAGTACCTTATCGTTCTTATATTGACCACCTCTGTTAAATAAGCTCGATGTAGACTGCAAATATTCAAAACAATGACTCCATCACTCCATTGCCTATGATGTTTCAGTTTCATTTCACGGTGAATTTGAAATTGAAATTTGTTGTTGAATTGCCTTTTTTGCCCTGTTTAAATATATGAAACAAGTTATATATAATATTTATATACCACAAATACTCACGCACACTCCTAACTTTTGGTGACGATTGAACCTTGACCTCCAGGGAGGCTAGGATTTACCAGTAACCCGGATGCCGTTCTTATTTCTCATTTAGTCTCTAGGGACACTTTTAGCATTGGTGTTACATGACATTTTAGAAATCAGGGCCAGCTGAGCGAGCCTTCCTTAGACCTGGACTCACCTTGTTTTTTGAAAAGTCGTTTGAGGCAGGGGCGAAGCTAGAAATTAAGTATGGGGGTGGGGGGTGCAATCATCTGAGATCGTACTTGGTTGAGAAATAACAGCAATAAATATTGTATTTAAACAACTAAACAGAATCTTGTAATTTGAAAATAAAGTAAACGAATAAATTCTTTTAAAATACAAAAAACTTACATCTCATACTAATACATGAGATGTACTAAAATCAATGCCAATGTAAAACGTTGTCTTTATAATAAATAAAAAATCATTGCAATCCAAATTAACACATAAGAAAAAAATTAAAATAAATGTAAACCATCAATTTCCGGGCCAGAAAATCAGTGTTGATGTATTAAAGAAAGTACTTCATCTGTCCTGAAATAAATGTTCACGTTTCTATTTATGTTTGTCCAAAAAATAAATGTCTAGTTTCAAAATAGATAACCGAATTCTCAAATTTGTCATTATTAATGCACAAATGTTTAAGAGTCGTGAAAAAAGATAAATTAATTAACCATAAATTTGTAATTTGGTCAACTGAAATATGTAATAGTTATGTATACTAAAAAATGGGTGTCATTTCCATTGTGGAAACATATTTTGGAACGTAGCAAGTAACAAGTAAATAATAATTTTGAGCTATACTCTAATAATTGATAAAAGTCGTTTATTATTAGAAAAATAATTAATACTTAAAACTCATCCCGCATTAGAAAATAAGTTTGATAGAAATGGTTAGTATTGCACCAATGATTACAAAGAGTTCGGAATGGGTTCTTAAATAAAACTACAACTCTACACATAAATGAGTTGCACAGTAGACAATAAAATAATACGTATTTTTTTTTTTTTTTTTGTGGTTTGTTAATGTTTGAGTTTGTTGGGAAGGCTGCTATGTTGAGTGTGTTGGGGGAGGCTCCTATTCAATTTTTAAGTGGTTCAGCTATTGTTTATTTTTTGCTTTAATGACTGTGCCAAGATGGAGTTGGGGGAGGCTTGGCACCAGCCAGCCTTCCTACTCCCTCCACCGTTACATTAAGGGATAAATGCTTTCACTTACGATTTTTATTCTGCTCACTTGAAACCAACGGATATTCCTAAAAGTTTCTTTCAATATAAACAGGAGCTGGCCAAACCATCAATACAAGATGCTTTTCATTCCTGTGTCCAACAAGGTGCAAATCGTGTAATTATAAGCCCTTTTTTCCTCTTCCCAGGGCGACACTGGCACCAGGTATTGTAAATCTGTTTTCTTAATGGTTTTCATCTGCAAGACTTGAAAAGTTGAAATTAGGATTAAAAGGTAGAACGCATGATGAAAACTTGTTTTTGCAGGACATCCCATCCTTAAGTGCTGAAGCTGCAAAAGACTTTCCGGGCGTGTCATATATGATAACTGCTCCTCTCGGACTACATCCACTTCTTGTGGTACGAAATAGCTTCATATATGTTTTTGTTACAAACCGATGATCAAATGCTAAGATCTTCTATTAAAATGGAATGTATACAAAGGGTTTCTCAGAGTTAGAGAGACTGAGAGCTCTCCAAAGACTGTTGCTGATCTCAATTTCACACAAAACTAATCGATACCGCTCAAACCCCAACCCCTTTATTTATACCCGATAGCCTGCATTAACAACTTGCACTATTGCACTAGCTACTTGTACCTTTCATTTAACATTGATCCTGCCTACTAGTATTGACTATTTGACCCAGGGTACAATAGTTTCATGATAATATGTTTACTTTATCTTTCTCTGGAAGGCACAAATCATCCACATAAGTGTTACTGAAAACACTTGCTGAAAGTTTTGATCTTTTGTGGTTAATCTTAGAGTTCTCTTGTCCTTTCAAACTTGTATCTATTTCCATGATTTCAGAATTTAATTTGGCATTTGTTTGTTTTTATACTTGATATAAATATTCTATGTTTCGTTCTATATATATCTAGTAATATCTCAAACAGTAAGGATAAAATAGCCATTTATATCATTTAGACAGTTTATCAGCACAAAAAACAACCATTTAGCTTAATCCATGTAGGCAGTTTAATCCATATAGACAACTTAATCTATACAGACCTTAACGGAAAAACAACTGAACAACCCCTTAGTCTTACACAAGGTCACACCCTCAATACATATTTCCATTAGCCAACCCATGTATCACTTCAAATCTTCATTCTCGTTAATTGATAGTTACAAGGTTTTTCAGTCGCTGTCATATTGATATTCTTTTCTTCTCTTTCTTGTAACAGGATGTAGTGGATGACAGAATTAAACATTGCTTAAGCCATGTTGCTGGAGATGCGGACGAGTGTGCAGTTTGTGCAGGAACAGGAAAATGTCATCTTTATTGATTTATTTAGCTGTCGGTACTATGAAAATGTTACAGTGAAAAATTGTAAACCTCTACAAAAAGTTTCGGGTAGATTAAAATGTTCATTTACATCATCACTCAATAATCTCCGATGGCATCAAAGTAAATAGAAGGTTCATTATGATTCCCTTAATTTGTGCTTTATTATTCGCTTCAAATGTGTCTTCTTTGCTGTCACTGGTCTTCTTAATGGCAGATTTCACAAAATAAGCGACAATGCCATCAATGTAGATGCTCTTGTTGACAGACTTCAGAAGGATTTTGATACATGAGAAACAAGAAGAATACCCGATGATAGGAAGCAAAAAAAGGTAAATGTAAAATTTTATTTATATGAGTTTTCTTGCTCCTTTTGCTTTGAGTTTGGTTGTTTTTCCATTAAGGATTAAGTTTTCTGTATTGATTGAGCTGCCTGTATGGAAGCTAAATTGCTGACATATTTGTTGTGCTGAATATACTGTCTGAATTAAATTAAATGACCATTTTACCCTTATTGTTTGCCTTTTTTTCTTTGAACTCATGATTTTTATAATATGATTCTTGAATGACCATGTTCATTATCCCATCTTTTCTTTCTCTCGTTAAACTCATGCTGTTGGAATATGCATTTTGGATCATCTTGAACTAGCATCAAGATTCGTCAAATGTTGGTTGAGTATTTATTTGCCAGCAATTTCTGCTTTGCTTCAGAAAGAACATTTAACGAACATTTTACGCGTCTTTCTTTTGGTTACTGCCATATATGAGAAGCCTTGATTAGACATTGTTTAAAATATTCTTTTTCTTAACCTTTCTGTTTCTCTTCTTTTCAACCAACATTGCTTGTTTTCTTATATGCATTGAGTGTGATATACTATGCATCAACGAGGATGCGTTTGGTATGTGGGACAGTACGTGACAAAACAGAGCAGACCAAGAACTTGTCATCCCACGTGTCAGGACATGATTGAGGGTCTGTTTACTTGCAACTTGATGAGCTTAATGGTCTGAACGGCTGTTAAGACATATAGGAGGGTTTCTTTACAGTAATCATTACGCCAAAATGGCTATATGGAAATAATCCACCTCACTTGTCCTCGTTAAGCCACCTCAAACAAATTAATACTAGAAGTCCAACACCCATTCTTAGCCTCCCTCAAACTCATCAGTCTTCTGTTCTCAGACATTCACTTTATTTACACAGACAACTTAACCCATACAGGGCTCAATGGAAAAAAAAAGAGTGAACAGCCCCTGAGTGGGCCACACCAAAATAGGTGGAACAAAAATCAGGAAGATGGGACAAGATAGGTGAATTACTAAACTACCCATGTCATACTAAAACCTTAAAACCTTCTACAATTCTTTCACCTACCTGAGTCAGCCTCACAGATTTAATCGTGCCCAGTCTCGTAAAGTACACCCTTAAGGTGTGTTTGTTATTTAGATAGGACGGGACAAAACATATAAAGTTACAATTTACCCATAATGACTAATTAATAAAAATATATTTATATATTTTTATTAATTTATAATTTATTAAATTGTAATAAATAAATATCTTTTATAACAAAATATCTCATCAGAAAGTTTTTGTCAAGACGATCAAAATGACACCAAAATAAAAAGTTCATTTAGTTTCTAATTTTTATTTTATGCCTTTTCTATATAGAAATCGTATAAAAAAACATTTTGGGACAATAAAGTGGAATTTTTAAAGAGCATAAAGTACAATAAATAAAATTTAAAGAATGAATAAAATGTAAAGAGGGAGTGAGGCATATTTGATGTTTTAGAAGAGAATTAGGTTTTATTTTAAAGTTATATTGGTAAAATATAAGTCTGTTCCACCTTGTTCTATAGGGTGGGGGTGGAACACGCCTGGTCCTATCTGTTCATGTCTGTTCCACATACAAGTCCTGCCAAACATGGAACAATGATCCCTATTTTGTATGTCTTGTGTACCAAATGCACCCTCGATGACTATACGAACTCAAAAGAGCTAACAAATAATCATGATGAACATGTTGATTTTGTAGACTAAGGACTGTTGGAATATATTTACATTTAAATCAGCAGTAACCTACTCCTGGAACTTGCTGTTTACTACTATATTACATGATATTCATTTAAGTATCTAGCTGTTCTGTTTTTTGGTGGCAAGTATTGGTTTTTTGTAGTTGTCGAATCGAGACTTCTGTTCAGGAAGGTACTTCTTTTTTCGCCACGATGCCCTTCATCCACTCCCAAAATCCAGAAAATCTCTCCATTTTCAGTTTTAAGCTCGCACTTTCTCGAGCCTCTGCTTGTGCTGCTGTTTCTTGTTCAACATCATGTCTTGCTGTAAATTTCACATCATTCATGTTGGATGCAAGTTAATGTTAATATTGATGCAAATTAATTACTCCCTCCGTCTCAAAATAAATGTTCAGGCACACAGTTTTAAAAATAGAGGGAGTAATGAATTCCTTCATCTTATAATCAAGGATATCATTTGGGAAGTGGACACTTGTTTTGGGACAAACTGAAATGTAAATATGAGTAAATTCTGATTTTCGTCTCTGTGGTTTGTTAATTTCGTCCCTGTGGTAAAAATTGCCCTTTTTGTCCTTATGGTTTGAAAATGGTAATGAATCATAAGGACCGAAACAACAATAGATTGTAAATCATAAGGACGGAAATAGTAATGAATTACAAACCATAGGGAAGAAAACCGTAATTTCTAAACCACAAGGATGGACATTGCAATTTTTAGCAAACCACATAGGTGAAAATCGTAATTTATTTTTATAAATGTAAATATCTATTTTGGGACGAAGGGAGTACCGTGATTTCGTTGTGATTCAGCTTGTTTTTGCTTTAGCTGCTTCTCGAAGGTCTTGGCTGCCATGAATACGTTTGCAGGTCTTTCCCATCCTTGTCCGAATACGCCATACCCTTTTTTCTCTTGTGGCTTATTAAGGTACTCGAGCACGGCTATCTCGTCCCTCTCCACCCAATGGATGCAGTTCAACGGGCATGATTGGACTGCTATCTGTAACAGGCAAGTTTTAAACAAGTATCTATATTTCTATTTTAGTTTGTCCTTAAGTGTCTGTTTGTTAGCAGCTTAATGGGACTCAATAACTATTTGGCAGTGGCTTAATGATATAGAAAGTGACTTATCCAGTAAGCTTCTAAATGAAAGCTTTATGGAGAAGGCCAAGTTTTTCCAAAACCTGCCCTTTTCAGTTAAAAAACATGCTACTTCTATTTATGAAAAAACACTCCTAAACAAAAACCTTCCCAACTTATATAGACAGATTAATCTACACAGACAACTTTATCCATACATGACTTAATGGAAAACCAACCAAACAGCCCCCAAGTGTTTACTTTCCATTGTTACCCTTAATAGTGAGAGAAAGAAATTCATAACTTCCTCTATTATTAAGGGTAAAATTGTCATTTTGCTAATTAAAGAGGGTAACAATTACGTATTTCTAAAACTGTCTTTTTCAATGTGAACGTTATTTTTGGACAGAAGGAGTATAAGATTAGTTCTTTGTGTACCTCGATGCTAGTGTCATCATCTCCAAACTGCACATTGACTCGGGCACATCCGATAGTCTCGTCCATTACGAATGTATTACTGGCATTGTGCACACATTCTCTGCAGCCTGTGACAATACCGCATCCTATCTATAAAACCGAACAAAACAAACCCAATATTTCCCACCTGGTGATGGGACTGGGATAGACATAGACCTGTTCTCTATCCCACGGAGTAGAGGGGTTGTTTCCAACATCCCAACTATCATAGCTGTGTGTATGTATGTATGGATATGTGTATATATATAGTGGTTCAACATAAAACCCCCTAAAAAATGAAAAACTGCTAAACACTCTGGTAACCATTCATGTGTATGATATGCACATATGCATACAAGTATTTGAAATGTTTCTATGCACATGTGCATTTATGCATATGGGCATTTTGGACAAATTCCTTACAAATTACTTGTATGCACATGTGCATACTGACCAGATGAATGTTTACCAGGGATTCCTCAATTTTTCATTTTTTTATAGTTTTCCCTTGAACTTGCCTATATATATATATAATTGTAGATATCTTGAGAACCTGATAACTAGTTATTAATGCTTTATTTATGGGCATGGTATTAAGTAATTTTTTAGAGTAAATCTTGACCTATGCAAGCTTTTTCGTCGACAAAGAGCGCTTGGGGTCGAAGGGGTCCATTCCACGAGCTGTAACCCATATTCAACGCATCTCCTCCAAACCCGACTCGTACATGGCCAATAGAAGCATCATAATTTTTTCTTAGTTCGTCCTTCATTAGTACGGTATATGCCTCGTTCAGCAATAGTGTATGCTCATGACCCTGAAACATGACATTTGACTTCGGTGAGAATATATGGAATCCCCACCAGATTGTTTCCAAACTAGCCAATGAGAATTCCAACATATAACAAGAAGAAATAGTCCAAGTTTAGCCGAGGTGGGACCCCACGGTGCATTTGGTAAACACAACGGACGAGAGTCGGGTAATCCGATGCAAAAATTGTGCAAGGTTCGGTTTTTAAATTTGACATGGGTAGTTTAGTAATTTACCAATCTTGTCTCTGTCTCCTTGATTTTTGTTCTACCTGTTTTGGTGGGATAAAAAATGCATTTTTGTCTCACTCAGTCATGTCCTATCCCAATGAACAGGTTTTTTTTATCCCGTGTCTCGTGTACCAAAATCACCTCAGCATATCGATATCTCCCAAACTTGGCCATTTCACAAAGTTTTATTAGTTTCATAGGTAATAAATATGCATTTGAAGATATATATATATATATATATATATATATATAGAGAGAGAGAGAGAGAGAGAGAGAGAGAGAGAGAGATTTAGACCTGGTGGCCTGCAATATCTGGGTGATATTTCTTTTGTAATTTTCTGTAGGACTCTTTTATTTTCGGAGGATTGGAGTCAACAGAAATCCCAAGCAACTCGTAATAATTCTGGCTCTTTGTTCTTCGTATTTCACCAGGATTTTGCATACATCTACATTTCGACCTCCATCTTGATTGGCAGCAACAAAAAACCCGAATTCAGAAATCAGACTGAACGGATGCGAATTAGGTAAGCATGGTGAATGAATTCCAGTAGGTTGGAGTTTTAATTTGACATGGATAATTTAGTAATTTACTCCCACCATAATCTTTATTCCACTTATTTTGTTACGACCGGAAAAAAAACACAGTTTTTGTGCGGTTCTGTCTCACGACAACAGGTTTTTTTTTACGTTGATCCCGCCCCATCCCACATACTAAAATGCAAGGTATTCCTTAAATTTGTCTTGTGGGATTTGATGGTAAACAGGGGAAGACCTACTTAGGAGATTACAGTGGCGCAGGCCACCACTTCATCATCCATCATACTCCCTTAATCCCAAAATAAATATCTACCGTGAAACAGACACAATTTTAGAAATGTGTAATCATTACACTTTAACAAGAGGACAATTTTACCCTTGATTATCGAGAAAGATAAGATTTTCTCCGCCTCTTAATTAAGGGTAGAATGAGAAAGTAAACATTTATTTTTTAAAGTGGATAATTATTTTAATACAAACATAAATAGTAATATACATACTTATTTTAGGACAGAGGGGGTATGTTTTTGAAGGGTGCTACTGTAATGTTTGGTCGTGTGTCCCAATATTGAAATTAAGCTATTGACCGAAGTATCATCTGGTTGAGTCGGTCATTGTCGCTAAAATAAGGTCTCTTGTTTGTGAGGCCACAGGTCCGAGTCCTCGCTTCAATAGATTTTTAGCTTTAAAATTTTGGTTTCCATACATATTTTGAAAAAAATCGTGTAAAGCAGCAGACACGAGACTCGAACCTTTGACCAACCGAACCTTGTGGACTTAACTCAACTGACAATAAGGTTTAGGTCTTTGAAGAACCTTTTCAGCGTGAGGTCATCGGTTTGAGTCCTGCAAAACCATTGTAGATTTTTCTAGCTGTTCTCTAGGACCACTAATAAGTCTAGGTGCACGCAAGCTAACTCGGACACGAAAAACGAACCCTTGACCAACCAACTAATATCCTTATATTCACATGGAAAAAGTTGATTTCTTTTGCATCTATCAAACGGTTGCCACCGTTTGAAAATATTTCTGAGCCTGCCGTTGATCGTAAGTTAAGATTTCTAGCACGCCCGGCGCTTTGTGCTTGCACGACGCTATCAAGAGCGCCTAGGCAAGCCGGGCCAAACCAAGCACGTCTGGTGTCTTGTGCCTGCACGACGCTATTAAGCACGCCTAGGCAAGCCGGATTAAGCCAAGCCGAAATCCGGCTCCAGAGAGTGAATATTTATGTTTTGAATTTTGTAAATAATGAAAAGAATTTTGAAGGCACCTGGAGATGGGGTGGTTTGGATGATCAAGTTTGCTGCGGTGGTGGACAGTGGTTGTCGGTGGATTAAGCACCTCCGGCAGCCGGAAAATTGCAAAAGCCGCCATGTCTCCGGTTTATCTGTAAGTATATATTTTTTTCTGAAGGAAGTGTATGGTTTTTATTATTATGGCTGAATGAGAATATAAATATTCAGCATGAAGATATTTTGTTTGATGCACTTTTTCTTGACGTGGATTTCAAGATTATCTTCTGAAATACCAAAAGAGAAAAAACCACATACACATAATTAAATGAATATTTTATATTGAATTATGACGTAAATATTCTTAAAGTCTTTGTAGATGTGATTGTAGGTTGAGTTCACGTGAGACCAGACTGTTTTCATGAGATAAGTTTTTAAACTTGAAACTTCACAACAAAACGCTGTGAATGTAAAAAAGCCGAATTTTCACAGCAAAAACACTGTAAAGATTACCTTCACATCATTAGCGTAGAAACCTCTTTTTTCTTTTTAATAAAAACCAATCCTTACACTAGAGAGGTGATCATTAGCGGGCTTGAGTTGGGGCTAACTTGTTTTTTTGTCCAATGGGTCTAATATTGTAAACTCTAGTTTTTTTTTTTTTTTTACTTTGACAACTTGCTCTTGCCCGCTCTATAAACGGGCCGGGTTTTCCCATGGGATAACATGCATAAAAAAATGTAACTCTTGTATATCTATAAACATGATAAATAACAATTAATTAACAAATGTGGAACCAAAAAGCAAAAGAAAAACACCGTTATAATCAAAATTTTAACCAAGTGACACATGGATCTCAACAAGTGGAGAAAGAAATGAAAAACAAAATTCAGACTTTCATAAAATCAATAATGCATTTCTATTTTTTTATGTATAACATTAATATTCACATTAAAAGGTAAACATACAACCCTTTAACCTTTTGAGTTTTGAAGAATAATCAAAGGATCCCGTCTTATAACTTTAATAATTTAATTTTAGAACATACTAGTATAATTTTTATTAATTATAAAAAAATATTAATTATAAAATATAAACGGGCTGGACAGGTCCATCCATATATATTTTTACATTGTCCATGTCCGCTCGTTAATTTTAACGAACTAACCTGAACTTGTCCATTTTCTTGATAATAGTTCCAAGTCCATATTTCTAGTGGACCAGATAGGCTGGATTTAACGGGTCGTCGTACCCATGTACAACTAGGGCTATAAACGAACCGAACGAACACGAACGGAAGCTTGTTAAAAAGTAAATTTAAGTTTGAAAATGACAGAGAATGAATTTCCATTTTCCCCGTTTAATCTGGAATCAAAATTTAGGCTTCTGAAAAAATAAACTTATTATACTATATATATAAAACCAAACAGTTTCTTTTATTTTTATTCCTATTGATTACTGTTTAATATCTCTAACAAAAGTATTTAACAAAATTACAAAAGTAAGGTTCTCAACTAAACTATCTTAAAAGATCTATAATTTTAAATATGCTAATTTTAAGAATATACTTTTAAATGACATATCAAAATATCTTTCAAATTGTTTATCTTTGAATAAAAAATTTCAGCTACAAAAAATCTGTAAACATTTGTGTTCTATAAGGATGTTACCTGATTGGTTTGAGCTTAAACTTCAAAAATAAAAAGTGTTTGAAGGTCACAGGTTTAAATCCAAAGAGAAATAAAAATCTTTTTGTGGCTATGGAGGTTCAAATTCAGTGACTATGGATTACCCGCAAAACAAATGGTCAGGGACGGACTGACTTTAGTGGTATAGGAGGCACGTGTCACCGTATTATTCCTCCGTCGAACGGTAAAAAATTTAGGTTCGTAAACGGTATAACCGTATTAATATATTGTGTGTCACCGTATGTATTTTGAAACTATAATGAAAACAAGCTTTATTTATTAGAGTTGATTTGTAAGGTTTTTATTCCACCCCATATCCGAGTTCGAATCGTGTTAGTTTCATTTTCTTAGTCAAATTCAATACAATTTCATCTCATCACTCATCATATCAGCATGGTAACTGGTTAATGCTTCAACCAGTTACTCACACACTTAAATATTTAAAATTTTACATCTTAAATACTAAAATAAAAAATTTGAAAATACGTTACCCAAAATAAAAATCAAGTTAAAAATACATGCAATTTTTCGATTAAAAAACAAATAAACTCCTATCAACCTATGTAAATAGATTAATTCTGAAACACAGCTCCCATTCGGGGTCCTCTTTCTGTGACTCAATCTGCTGAAGCTGCAAATGACTATCGCGCCAACACGATATTCGACTTCTGCGTTTCAAAATGGCGACCATCTTCAAAACCCTTTCTGTTATCAAAAATCCTGTAAAAAGCTTCGTTGGTTTTATTGAATCAAGCGTTTCCGTCTTAAAATTCTGCACCAAACAACGTTTGATCGCAGAAGGCGGAATTCTTCATGGCCATTTCTACAAATTGGGCATTGCGTCAAATAGACATGTATCAATCAAATTACTTATCATGTATTTAGATTTCAGAAAATCAGCCGAAGTTGACCAATTACTTAAAGATTACGATGGGTTTGATATGATTGTTCATAATTGTTTGATATCTGCTAATGTTGATTGGGGGAACGTAGATGATGCCCGCAAACTGTTCGATGAAATGCCTGAAAGAAATGAGGTTTCTTGGACTGCTTTAATTTCTGGGTATTTGAAGTGTGGTAGGGTGGATGAATCGATGGAGTTATTTCGAAGAAATCCGTTTCAGAATGTGATTTCTTGGACAGCTGCGATTAGTGGTTTATTGTTGAATGGAATGCATTCGAAATCGGCGGAGTTGTTCTTGGAAATGTTGAGATCTGGGGTAACACCGAATGTTGTTACGTTTGTTTCGATCATTAGAGCTTGTGCCGAAATGGGGAAATTTGAATGGGGGATCGCTGTTTTCGGTTTGGCCGTTAAAGTTGGGTTTGCGGATGATGTTTCGGTTTGTAATTCATTGATTACATTTAGTTTGCGATTGCGTAAAATGGAAATGGCGGCCAATATTTTCGAGAGAATGGGGGAAAAAGACGTTATTTCTTGGACCGCGATTTTGGGAATGTATGTTGAAATGGGAGATTTGCAAGAAGCTCGGAAGGTGTTCGATGAAATGCCTGAAAGAAATGAAGTTTCTTGGAGTGCTATGATCTCGAGGTACAGTCAGCAAGGTTATGCAGAAGAGGCTTTCGAGCTTTTTCGCCAAATGGTCGAAAAAGGGATTAGCCCGAACTCGTCTTGTCTTTCAAGCACTATTAACGGACTAGCGAATGTTAAGGTGTTGCAGGTGGGCAGAAACGTTCACGCCCATGTTGTGAAAATAGGAATGGCTAACAACGTTTTTGTTAGCAGCTCGCTAATCGACTTATATGGTTCATGTGGAAAAACTAGCGACGGGCGTCTAGTGTTCGATACGGTTCCCGATAAAAACGTCGTTCTTTGGAACACGATGATTAGTGCCTATAGCTTGGATGGGCAATTAGAAGAAGCCAATAAGTTATTTGATCAAATACCCGTTAAAAGTATCGGCTCGTGGAATTCGATGGTTTCGGGTTACTTACGAAACGAACAACACGATAAAGTTTTCGAAGTTTTTAACGATATGATGTTATCGGGCCAAAAACCTGATATATCCACGTTTTCGACCGTCTTATGCGCTTGTGCAAACCTAGCTTCATTAGCGAAGGGCATGGATCTCCATGGAAAGACGTTCAAGCTCGGATTCCAACACGACGTTTTTGTCGGCACTGCTCTCGTCGATATGTACGCAAAATCGGGCGATATCCAGAATGCTAAGAAGGTGTTCGATAAAATGCCTGAGAAAAACGAGGTTTCTTGGACAGCTATGATCCAAGGGCTAGCCGAAAACGGTTTCGCAAAAGAAAGCCTCGAACTATTCGAAGAGATGGAAAACACAACGTTTATAAAACCAAACGAGCTCATTCTTTTAGCGATTTTATTCGCTTGTTCTCATTGCGGGATCGTTGACAAAGGCCTCAACTACTTCAAATCAATGGAGGTCTCGTATAACCTAAAACCAAACGAACGACACTACACGTGCATCGTTGATTTGTTATCCCGAGCGGGTCGGGTTCGTGAGGCGGAAGCGTTGATGATGACGATGCCGTGCGAACCGGAAGTGAACGCGTGGGCGGCTCTTTTGAGCGGCTGTAAAACGTATGGCGAAGATGAGGTGGCAGAAAGAACGGCGGTGAAGATCCGGGATGTGGCGGAGAAGAAATCCGGCGGGTACGTTTTGTTATCGAACGTTTACGCGTTGGCCGGAAAATGGCCGGAAGTTATGGAAACCAGAAAACTGATGAAGGAGAGGGGATTGAAGAAAAATGGTGGTTGTAGTTGGATTGAAGTGAAAAATGAGTTGAATTTGTTTTATTCTCAAGATGGAAGTCGTATAGATTCAAATGAGATTTATGGAGTTTTAGAACTATTGAAGTCAAATATGGTGATTCAAATACAATAAATCTCCATTTTTATTATATTTAAAAGAATTGATTCAATTAGTTTATCAGTTATTTTTATCAAACATGATCAGTTTATCAGCTAACTTATCAGTTAACAGTTAAATTTTCAGTTAACAGTCAGCTTATTAACTAATCAGTATTATATTAAGACACATTTAAAACTTTAACATAGGGGGTTTTGAATACAATAGGCGTCTGTTTTTTATATTTTCAAAGATTCAGTTCGACATAAAAAAGGTTGAAAAAACTATTTTATTCATTAACTTTTATCGGACATAATATTTTATCAGTTAACCTAATAAGTTAGCTTTTAAGCTATATTACTAAAGAGTGGTATGTATTGCATTGAAGAGTATTTCAAAGATGTAAAATTTGAACGATGAGGTTTTTTTTGGGCAAATTGCATGAAAAAATAACATGGATTCTTATTTTGAGTAATGCACTTTCAAAACTTTCATTTTAGTACCTAAGGGGGTGTTTGGGTTTGCTGATTTGAAACAACTTATACTTTTCTACAAAAGTACTTGTCAACTTATTATTAGTTCAAAATGGTTTAACTTATTCAAAAACTTCTTATTACCGGTTTGACACTGGTATAAATTGTTTATCCAAACACTCAAAAGTGCTTATTACCGGTGCCACACCAGAATAAGTCAATAAGTTGTTTTTATAAATAATCCCAAACACCCCCCTAAGATGTAAAGTTTTAAACATTTAAGCAACCGGTTGATGTCACGAGTGATGTGGTATCCAACTCAGTAATATTTGCTGGCATAGATATCTTAACCTTAGTTTTTATGTATTGTGGTTTATCAAAAGAAAGAGTTAATGCTTTAACCAGTTACCTAGATACTTAAATGGTTAAAACTTTACATCTTAGATAATAAAATAAAAGTTTTGAAAATAAATTACCCTAAAATAAGATCAAATTAAAGTACATTTTTATTATTATTATTATAGTCGCTTCTAATTTATAGAAGTTTCTAGAAAAAACAGAGTTACATATCGTTGCAAAGGTTTGAAAAATCTATCGAACAGAGACAAAATCCATAGAGATCTTTTTGGTCTTTTATGATTTAGATTGGGTAAAGGATGAAAAAAGACTCCAAAAATTAACAGAATTTCTAACAGCCGTTAAATAAAAGGACCAAATCCAGACGTTTTTAAAAATTAAGATGATTATCTTGTAATTTCGAAAATGTAAGGACCAAAAAGTTACTTTTGACAAACCACATGGACCAAATTTGTAGTTTATTATTCTACTAAATTATTGTATTAGTTATATAATCTATTTTATTTTATTATATACACACACTATTTAAAGGTTTTATTGAATTAAATTAAAATCAATATATAATTAATCATAAATGATTAATTTATATATTATAAGATACATAAACAAGGAATTGTAACAAAATTAAATTAAAGAGATTGATAATTTAACCACATGCATGATTCTACAAAACCTGTTAGGAGAACGATCCATTTGGCCTATCGGGATTTCCATCGATCGGCTTCTCGAAACATCCGTTTTCCCGATCCGATGCGATCCGTCTTTCTTCTCAGCCCATAAAAACCGATCACGAAATTCATTCTAATACAAACAGTTAGCTACAACTAACATGAAACATAACTCCAAGAAAACCTATGACGGCAATTCGTATAATCCAATGTAATTTCGGCAAAACTTTGAAGACTGGTTGTTTTTTATGAAACTGACCGGAAATGACGATATTGTCCTTCATGATCAACGACTGATCCTCGGCCCATCTCAAAAGAATGAAGGGAATAATATAACCCGACACTCAAAAAGTCGCTAAAAATCGTCGTGTATGATTGACATTACGGGAATGCCCTTGCTGTTAAAGCTTGTACATAGGGCTTGTACCTCATCGCCTGCTTCAAAGTCCTGTTTACCGTTACCCTGCAATACGAAACGTAAGGTTAAAACTGCAATTTTCAATATAGAAACATGTTTTTATTTTAGTCAAAGTCGATAAAATGAACCGATAACAGAGTTGATTGCCAAAACAATCAAACCAAACTAACTCAGTAAGGTATCGGGATATGTGTCAGGGAAAAAGGTTAATCAAACAAGGAAACACAAAGCGAAGTACCGATAAATACTGGTACGGGAAGAAAAATTCACACACAAATCTCAGGGAAATCGGCCAAAATAGCCAATATCCTCAACCAAAATCACTTTTTAGCCGCTTTGCATCGAGTTCCCATTTTAGGCAAAGTTTACGCAAATGCATACACATTTGCATAAAAGCCTATTTTCAAATTTAAAGAAACGACAAAAATAGTCTTTTCGCAAATGGGGATCCTTTTTTCTTTTTCTAAAATCTGAAAATAGGCTTTATGCAAATGTGCAAGACATTTGCTAAAACTCCGGCTAAAATAGGAATTTGATTGATAAAAATGGCTAAAAAGTGAAGTTGGTTGGGGAGATTTGGCTATTTTGGTCCATTTCCCAAATCTCGAGAGAGGTAAAGGTCAGAGACAAGGTACGGAGACCTTGCCTCTAGGGCTGGCAATGGGAAGGGTAAACCCGTTACCCACTATGTTTCGACCGGTTGGATAAGGATATAGTAAAGGAAATTTTATCCATTTAACAACTAATATATCAACTGTTTATCCGACATTTTATTGAGTCAGGTATGGATAAACGATTTTTCGTTATCCATTTACACGTTACCCGTTAAAACATTTCTCGTTATCCACTGCCTCTGCCCCAAGGTATAGAGAGGCTGTTTCCGACGATTTCTATCCGGCTAAATACACCCCTACATATTGCTAAATGTGCCCCTATCTTTTCTAATGTTCTCCTCGCACACATCAAAATCAAAACTTAGTTTTTACATTTTAAACGCATGATTTGACTTGGTCCGACATAAATAGGGGTCCATATAGCAACACTCAGCAAGTACACAGAAAAAAGTATCAGGGACAGATGTCAGGAAAACAGGTTAATCAAACAAGGAAACACAAACAAATTCTGTACCGGAAGAAAAACTATCTTCAGAATTTGATCGGAGCATGTAATTTAGATGATAATATGGAGGATAATGCAAATGACGAAAAAACCAACTCATAAGATCGTAGTGACACATACCTCGAATCGGTACATCCCGTTGACTCCAGCGCCCAAGTCAAGGACTAACCCTCGTGCACGGACTTGAAGGACCTTTGCCGTTACCTTCATTCCAAGCTTGAGCTTTTTAGCGTCAATTGGACCGTCAACCCTAGATTTTTTAACTTTTAAACAATCTACAGCATCTGCTATGGTTTCAGTTGTACGTTTATCCTCCTCTTTGTCTTCATCAGAACTTGTATAGTCAGAAACAATATCCATTCTTTTTTCTGTTAGTAAGCGCGGTTTCGTCATTCTACCTTTTTTAGATGATAACGAGCCAGAAACAGAGGAAACAAAGTCAAGCTCATCTTTTTGGGTTTTTAAGGTTTTGGGCTTTTGAGAAGAATTTGATTTCGAAGCTCGTGGGGGTTTGCTGTTATTTTTAAGACTTGAGCTTAAATCATCTTCTTTTTCCTCATAAGCTCGTGGGAGTTTGCTGTTATTTTTAAGCTTTGAGCTTAAACCGGCTGTTTTTTCCTCCTCGTCACATTCCACAGCGCTGCGAATCAAGATAGGTGAGATTGAAGAATAAGATGACTTTGAGTTTGACCCAGTACTCGTATCTATGTCTGCCCGTAAATCTTTGACAACATGGTTTTCTTCTTGTTTCAGTGAATCGTTGGCAGGTGTGCAACTATCGGGATTTTGTTTTGAAAGGTCCAAAGATCCTTCAACCACATCAATCGTTTTACGTTTCTTGGGTTGAGGTAAAGTGGCTTTTAGAGAGAGTTTAATGTTACCACGGAGATCCTGCCCAATACACATTAAAGAAAGTTTTTGCCCGACTGATATAACGTCCGAAACTTTTGATACCTGAAAAATACATCAACGAGTAAAAAGACAAGTTTCATGCAAGTAAAATCATAAATAGATCCATGTTACTTCCCCCAGTCCAAAAATAAGTGTTCATATTTCTATTTTAGTTTGCCCCAAAATAAGCGTCCACTTGCAAAAGTAAGTGTTTACTTTCCAATTCTGTTATTAAGGGTAAGAGTGTCATTTAGTTAATTAAAAAGTCCAATAATCATACATTTCTAAAACTGTGAGACGTTTTCGTTGTGGGCAGAGTACATGCCCAAAATAAGTGACAACATTTCTATTACAATTTACCTCAAAGTAAATGTCCTCTTTCAAAATACTTTCCAAGTCTAGCCTTAATTGTAAGATGGAGAGATTCATTACTCCCTCTATCATTAAAAAGTAAAATTGTCATTTAGTTAATTAAATAGTCCAATAATTACACATCTCTAAAATTGTGTGCCTTTTTCATTGTCGACGTTTATTTTGGGAGGGAGTACTACATGCCAAGTGATTGGGGAGAAACACATAATTGTGTTCGTGGCCACCAAGTGATTGGGCAATAAGAAACAAAAACAATCAGGATGACACTAACCGGTTCATGTGACAATTCAGAAACGTGTAAGAGACCTTGTTGGCCACCATTAAACTCCACAAAAGCCCCATACTCTTTTATTGAACTCACAATTCCTTTGTAAACACCTCCTACTTCAATTGCTCGCCCGATTATTAAATCAACCTGAGAATTGTAGAAGCAAACAGGTGGGTCAGGGTCAGTATAATGAGAGGTTGATCCAGAAAGATTTCAAGCAGGGGCACAAAATAATTACCATAATATGTAATAAAACAAATCTTAATTATAAACTGTACGGTTTCATTGAAAATGGCATACAAGTGGTTTTTTGCACTCACTAACCACCACCCGCCTCTAAATAAAACACACCCTTCTCAAAGCCTTGCCCACTTTCATCTTTTAAATAGCTTCAAGCCTTCACTTACCTTAAATACTAATGGTGTACCTATGTGATGCAACAGCGTGAACTTGAGTATAGTGTAAAAACATGAGAAATTGTGTACAACATCATCTTTTTTCATATAAATATCAATAACATAAACCTGAATCCCTGACCAAACTAAAGGCTTCAATGGTAGTACATCATGCATGATAGTTTGTAATTCATAGTTTTATCAATTCTATGCTTAGAAAAGCAATACACAAGGCTTCAATGGTAGTATATATATATACACAGAGAGGCTGTGAGAATGAGGAGGCAGGAATAAGTACAAATTTTTGGAAGACAAATTTTGAAAAGCAAGAATTGAAAGACAAAAGCTGAATCACTTGTATGCCATGCTTCCCATGATGTAATTAAAAAAATTCTGCTTTTGTGCATAAAAAATAGTACTTTATGCTTTGAGGGTTGTTTTTAAGAGTTTTTACTCAAAATCATATTAATGTAATATAGATAGTTTATATTGTTGCATGAAAATGCCAATATGATCATATCTCATGGCAACAGTCGCAATGAGTAAAGTATACGTATGCTGAAGAGGTCAATGGGAGAGAATATATAAGAAATCAGTCATTTTATGCATTAAGGCTGAAAGAATGAAGTACCTTTTCTTGCACTTTTTCCATTACGGATTGATTCTTGGCAACTATAGTTAGTGTTCCATCACTCACAGACATCCGAGCACCTGGAGGGAGCATACATCAATTATTGATACAGAAAGCCATAGTCAATCTAGACAAGAGAGTTAAAAAATATCATGATGACTAGAAAAACTTTGAAATCATACAGAATTCATACAGCTTGAATACAAAAGAGTCATGCATGTACTTAGCAGCCCGAAGTGCTAGAAAGTCAAAAGAATAACTGAAAATGTAAGCAAATTGTAGTGTTATGTATTGACCAAAGAATTATTTCATTATTCACATATAAATGAGGAAGCATGTATGTTTTACTTTAAGGTCTGTACACACAATTGATCTTTAGTATATGATTATCATAGGAACCTGTGAGAATATGTGGAACCCCCAGATCAAACTCCAAAGAATTATTTCATTATTCACATATAAATGAGGAAGCATGTATGTTTTACTTTAAGGTCTATACACACAATTGATCTTTAGTATATGATTATCATAGGAACCTGTGAGAATATGTGGAACCCCCAGATCACACTCCAAAAGAGCCCTTGAGAAGAAGGGGGGGATTCCAACATATATACAAGAGAAATGGTTCAAGTCTAGCCAATGTGGGACTCCAACACTCCCCCTCCAACGAGGCTAGATAGACATTGATTGTCCCAGAGTGTCGAGAGGAGGCTAGCCAGAGTTTCCGGTCCCTAGAGTGGCAGACTTTGGCTCCGATACCATGTGAGAATATGTGGAACCCCAGATGACTCCAAAAGATCCCTTGAGGAGAAAGGGGAGGTTCCAACATATATATAGGAGAAATGGTCCAAGTCTAGCCAATGTGGGACTCTAACAGAATCCAAATATATATGCAACACCAAGTATTCTTAAAACTGTCACACGGTAAAAGTGTCTTTACTACAGAAGAGACATTAATTCCTACCCAGATAACTTGTATATCCTAAGAAGTAATTATTTGCATTGATATGTATATATATACACACACACACACATTCTGAAGCTAAAATATACCTGTCTCTTCTTCAATTTTCATCTTCAAGGCACCAAGTGGTCCAATCAAGCGGCGTAGGTCATCATTGCTATATTTTAAGGTAACTTCAAGACAGCATATTATTAGTTGATATGACAACTGAATGACTGATAAGAATTAAGCATGAGAGTAAGGATCCTACCTAATCGAGGAGAATTTCTTCCTTCCTGAGAACGTGCTGCATTTATTTCTTGCTCCATACGGTTGAGGATTTGCAGTCGACCTTTATATGCAGGTCCCAGTGACTCGCAAACGATGTCAAGAGGAATTCCAGCAGGTTTTATGTCTAACTGAATTGCTGTAATCCCATTTCGGGTTCCTGCAATTTTGAAATCCATGTCTCCAAGATGATCTTCAAGACCCTAAAGATGAACACAACATCGTTATTAAGAGGTCAAAAGGGTTTGTTCCGTCCCCAAATAGGTGTTCCCCTTGAGAATGGTACTCGAAGCAGGATAAATATGGTCTATTCAAATGTCACTTGGATTTTTGTAATTCAATATACGTCCTTCCTGATTTAACTATTATATATAGAAGAAATGCGAGCATGTTAAGTTCATGAGATAATTAGAAGGGACAAATGACAAGAGCTAATCATATTAAGGATTAATTATACACAATAAGGATCGCAAAACACATACAATATAGAGTACACAACAACATTTGCATTGAGACATTTAGGGCCTGTTTGTTAGAAGCTTAATGAGCTTAATGGAACTCACAGAACATGACTGCTTGGTAGTGGCTTAATGATATAGAAAGTGGCCTATTCAGTAAGCTTCTAGGGGAGCTTTATGCAAAAAGCCAAGTTTTTAGTCAAACATGCCCCTACAATTGAGAAATGGCTCCTTCCATCTATGAAAAAACCCTCCCAAACAAAAACCTTCCCAATCTATACCGACAGATTAATCATACAGACAGCTTTATCCACACAGGACTTAATGAAAAACCAACCAAACAGCCTCTAAAAGGCTACAGATTCGGCCAGAATGGAACATGGTATGATAAATGCTTACCAAAATATCAGTTAGTATACGATACTCGTTAACAGCGCCAGTTGATGAATCAACTTCAGTAACGAGGCCCACTGACAGACCCGCAACATGTTCTCGTAAAGGGATGCCAGCATCCATTAAAGCCATACTGCCTACATCAATAAAGCAAAAGAGGAAATCCCATCATGGCCCACTACATGATATATAGAAACAAAGTGAACATAGATCAGAATTACTTAAAACAGCAACTAAAATCGAAGACTGTAAAAGAATCATGCATGCTCATTCAAGTACCAGCCTAATATGGAATGACATTTTCAGACACTGGTGGAAAATGCAAGGAATGGAAACTTTATGACCAACACATCATAGAGCTAACTTCCCAAGCATTAGCGAATATTCTAAAAGACTTGGAGAAACGAATAACAAAGAATTTGATTATTATAGTGGGTCTGCGTACCTCCACAGACGGTTGCCATCGATGTCGAGCCATCGGAGCCCATGACTTCCGAATTAACACGGACAGCATATGGAAAGTCAAGTTCAGGAGGCAATACAGCAAGAAGAGCTTTCTCAGCAAGAGTGCCTACAAAAAGATTCAAAAGGCCCAGCAAGTTACAACATATCTTATGCTATTTGGTTCACTAACTTTCAGAAACATAGTGTCTTAAAGAGATCTGAAGCTGTTTAATATATAATGACTCACAAGAGATGCCTTAACATCCATCTCAAAATAATATAAGGACGTATTAAGACGAAAAGGAAGAAAATAACAGCCTGCATTCCATGGTTGCAAGAAGAATTTAATTTCGTTTTAACATGTTCTCTGGGTAATAATCAACCCAACGGGTGATAACAAAAAGGATTGATCTACATAATAACTAATGTGTAGGAGAAACACTCAACTTACCATGTCCAACTTCACGTCGGTTCAAGCCAGTGCGCTTCCCCACTTCATTAATACAGTAAGGTGGAAAACTGTAATGAAGCATAAATCGCTTGGTTGGAGGACCCACAATAGAATCCAAACGTTGAGCATCACCAGGTGCACCAAGGGTAACAGTACATAGAACCTGAACAAAAACATTAAATTTTATGCCCATAGATGACTTGCCAGATCCATATAGATGAGCATGCAAAGTTCAGGATCCAAATATGGCATTTGTTGATAATAACCTGTGTATCTCCACGTGAAAAGAGGGCTGATCCATGCAATCCAGGCAAGCTACCGGCTTCACAATACAGGGGCCTGACCTCATCAAGACGCCTTCCGTCAAGCCTAAACCCTTCATTAATGATTCTTTTGCGTACAACCTGATAAATTATTCTTTAAGACATCTCAACAGCCAAAGTACAAAATCATAGAAGTAAACCTAAAAATTTCTGAACAAAATACTGAAAGCAAGGCCATAAGAGACTTAACCCCTTCCATGAAACCATGATTTCCCTAAAAAAATCTGAATTCCAAAAGCAAAAAGTTGGAAGCTATATACATTCAAATATATCATGTTGGAAGCTATATTCATTCAAATATATCATGTCGTTTATCCCCAAAACAAAAGCAAGTGCATGCATATGGATCATGGATGTGATACAATTCTTAAAATCATTCCACACAGGAATGCAGAAAACCCACCCACCTCCCAGACATACACAGACTCGCAGAAACACTCAACACGTATCTACCACAAAGAGCCAAGGAGGAATTAGACAGATCACTAGTTTCCCTGATAAAAGATTATCTAGAAGGGAGCTTTAGAAATAGGAACTGTTAGACATCAATGGCACCTGCTTCCGGACAGTATCAACTGTCTTTGATAGAACTTTTAAGCTTTCTTCATCACCTTCTTCCTCTAGTACCACCCTCACATCTTGTGCAATCTTATCCAAGGCCTCTCCACGTTCAAACTGCATGCAGTCGAAAGAAAATTTAATTAGAAAAAGTATAGATGCTTGACAGAGAATATCCAAACATTCATACAAAAAGATATCATACTATATCAATTTTGGCCATAAATTAAAGCCAGGTCAACTAGGTTTGCATATGGGAGGAGTTGCATCTGAATAATGAATAGGATGAAAGTGACACTTTGGAAACCAGCATATGGCCCAGAAGTAATTTGAGGGTGTGGCAAAAGTGATTAAGAGACTCAAATGACAAATGACCACTTAACACTTCCAATGCATTAAATTAAAAAAAAAACACAATATTGTACGAAAATACTCCCCCGATCCTTTCTTCAAGAGCACTTATAATTGTCCTTTTAATGAAAATGCTTCAAAATATGATGGAGGTTGTATATTAGCCACTTCAACATATGATCTCATTTGACTTAATGCACTTACAAAGATAACAATATTATGATTTGCCTTTCAGCAGCTTTATTAGCTTGCACTCTTTTGTTAGTTGCACTTATAGTTGGTAATGTTTTGCTTTGAATTCTTCACTTTAGCAATATTATTTTTGGAACCAGTGCTACACAAGTAAATTGTCCATATACCTTTCCATAGGCAGGATCTGTAAAAACAGCTTCAATGGGCGCTTCAGACAAACTGCGGATCTTGTCTATTGTTCTTTCTGACACCAAGGACAATTTATATTCCTTCTTCTGTTTTCCTGCTTTGGTAGCAAGTCTCAGCTGAGGCTCGATGAATTTAACTGCCTGAACAATCAAAGCCTCTTCATTTACACTCTGACAAGTACTTGCTGATTCTCTGGAAATAACAGCCAGGCTTTATGACATACCTCAGGATGAGCAAATCTAAATGCTGCTTCAAGGTCCCTTTCAGAAATCTCATGTGCTTGGACATCTAACATCAACGTCTTATCTTTTGTGCAGGCATATACAAGGTTGAGATCACTTAGATTAAGCTGTGTCAAATCCACCAATAAAAAATTAGACATAGCACATTGTGTAGTAAGCAATACAGTCAACGAGGCCAGGCAATCCACTCCATGATATAATAAGAGTAACAGTAAGTCTCATCATCCATGCAAATATAAAACTGTATATAAGAAACACATAAATTTTAAGTCAGCTAGATGTTCCTAAATAAGTTAGGCGAGATACAAGTAAAGGCTAATGAACTTCGGGATATAGGATTAGAACTTTGACTGATCCCTAGGGTCCAAAAAGCATATATGCCAGATCTCCTATTATTGTTGATACTCGCACAATCATATGCAACAGTTATGATAGTTGAATGGGACTATGACATCCCTCGCACTTGTTTTAAGGTCGAACTACAAAAAAAAAAGGCTACATACATGTATGAATAGATTGATAGATGGTTTGTGGATGCCAAAGCCCAAAAGAAAGAAAAAGATGGTTCCTGTCATATCAACAAACTCTTACATGAAATGCTGCACTCTTAATATTACAAAAGGTTCCAAAAGAATACCTAATCTTTTCAGAGAAATTGCAGAATGATATGTTAAGAGTTACTTTGTAAATTACTCCCTCTAAAACATAAGTCCCAAAATTCAACCAAAATAATAAGTTGCAGAGTGAAATGAAAGTGAAAAAACCAGGGAAACACAGCAAGGGGAAGGTTCCCGAGCGGGTAGAGAGAGAGAGAGTGGAGCACAAGAAGAAGAGAGGAGAAAAAAAGATTACTACCTCATCCATGCTTGGATTTACAACAAGATGCCCGTCGATCCTCCCTACACGTACCATTCCAATGGGACCACCCCATGGTATATCTGATAACATAAGAGCAGCAGAAGTGGCATTAGCTGCCATTACATCTGGATCCTGCTTCCCATCAGCAGAAAGCACACTAGCCATCACCTATAGAAACCCACCAACCTTGACAGAGAGTACAACCAAATGCTACAAAGAGGGAGAGAACTGAAAAAGGAATGTTGAACAAGCTTTTATATCACACATACCTGGACCTCATGGTAAAATCCGGCTGGAAAAAGTGGCCGTATAGGCCGATCAATTAGACGCCCACAAAGAAGTTCTCGTTCTTTTGGAGCACCCTCCCTTCGCATATATGTGCCTGGAATTTGTCCTTGAGCAAAATGTTTCTCTTGATAATCGACCTGACCCCATGACATCATCAGAAAATCCAAATGGAAGACTCATAATGATAGATGGCAGTCACAATCTTTCTCAACACAAACATGCAAGAGAGACCTGTATACCCTCAGGGGTATCGGTCTTATTTTTCATAGTTCTGAATTTTTAGATTAATACCAAGACCTACCATAATAATTTACACTGCTGCCACCTCAACTCAAGGATAGACCAATAACATTACAACTCGCACATGAGCATGTCACAAACTACACAGATTCTTCTTCCTGGTAAGATTGATAACTCTCAAGTATATCTTGAGCTAAATTTAAACACTGATCTTGATTCATCAATTCCAAGACTTTGGAAACAGCCATAAAATCAAAACTCGCGTTGCCTCACTCTATCTGTATGATCAACCATCCTATATGATATATTCCTCTATCATTAATCAATAATCTTTTGCCAGCACATGAACTGATAAATTCTTCGTACTTTAATTGCAAATAGAAGGTCAAAATTTCTAACTCTTAGTGTATGATTCAAGTAGACCAACAAGCTGAAACAGAACATAACAAATAATACTATAGCATATATAGAGAGGGATCAAGCGATTTGAGGTCCTATCAACAGTGAGTAGCATTTCAAGTGGTTTATACATATCCATGCACACACGTGTGTGTGTGTAACATTATCACCTACGAAGGTTGCAATTCTATAGGAAAATCCAACCTAAAATAATGAAGCTGTTTCTTCTCCTTGCTTCTGTATTTGTTTATTGTTTTGTTGTGTACTAATCAATGTTGAATTTCCCCAAACCAAACAAATTCTTCATATATAGTTCAAAATGTGACCAAAAAAGAAAATGTTATAGCTTCATAGTGCAGGACGTACGTACAGTAAGAGGCAAGAAATCGCGGACACCGTCGCCTTTAGCTGAGCAAACTGTGGAGAGCACTTTAGTGTCCTCCATGCCTAATACAACCGCACCATTGGCGAACCGCGCGATCTTCCCCGTTTCTAACGCAATTAGGCGTGATCCAATTTCGAATTCTTCTTTGAAGGTTTCAAGGACTTTAGTTCTGGAAACCGGAATTTCAGAATCCGCCGGCGAAGTCGAAGTCGACGTAGTAAAGCTGCGGCGGGCGGTGGTAATGGTACGATTGTAGCATAATCTTCGCAATCGGACGCCATATAGTAGAGAAGAAATGAGCTGGTTTTTTCTGGTTATCGCCATCGAAGCCATGGCGAGAGTGAAGCTTCCAGAATAGAGGTTTACTGATAGAGGGTTTAGGGTTTAACAAAATGGGGGATATGCCACCTGCTATTGCTACCATTTTTAAAACAAAAAACATTAAATCATTTTATTATACTTTTTTTTTAGTTTTTAAAATATAGTAACCGATTTTTTTTTCTCTCCTAAAAATTTCATTAAGAGATAGCCTAATTTCATTAGGAGATAGCCTTTAAATTGTTAAGAAGTAAAAAAATCTATTTCTTAATGGTTCTAAAATCATATAAATGATTTTGCATCTTGCGTCTCCCTTAACCATTCAAGAGCCTAAACAATTACCAAACAATTATATTTCACTTTGCACTACATGGGAACCTCTTTATCATTCTATATCAAATCATTCAACAACTACTAAACAGCACCTAAATATGTTAAAATCATAACAAAATTGATAAATTAAAATAAAGTATGTGTTATTTTTATATTTTGTAGTAGAGATTTTTTGCTAACAGCTACGTTCAAACATAAATTTTAGCGCATCTTTAACAGGTATATTGTTTTTTCTTCGTTATTCCAAATTTGGATATTTCTCCATTCTCTCCTTTTTTTTTTCTCTGTTGTAAAAAAAAGTTTAACGTAACTATTGGAACAATTTTTTTCTAAATCTCCAGAATTTCTAAAACAACACAGATGTTGTAGATGCTCAAAGGTTTTCATTGCTCCAACAATGCTAAATTAGAAACTTTAGAGTTTTTTTTCCCCACCAAATATACTAAAATAGAAAAAATAAATATGAGAGATAAAGTCGAAATATTTAAATTTTGAGAAAATATTAAAATCTAAATTCAAAAAAGATTCACTTCTTATTGATTCAAAGTCTGCCTCTTAATGGAACTATTAAGAGTTAAACAAACAACCATTTAGTCAAGCCTCATGTTGTCTTAATATACAAATATACATTAAACACAAAGACAAAATACCTATAGAAGCGAAGACAACTGAAGATTAAGATATGAGTGGTTAACAAGTTAAAAAATAAGAACCGGTTAAGAAAATCTAGCAACGAACAGGTTAAAAAACCTGTTATTTTTAAGCCAATTACAGGATCTGTCAGATTTTTAACTTTTTCTTTTACGTTACCACATATTGACGTCCGTTTGTTCAGTTTTAATTTATAATTTTGTGATTTTAGGGGGTGTATGAAATTGCTTATAAAAACAATTTATTGACTTACTCTGGTGTGACACCAGTAATAAGCACTTTTGAATGTTTGGATAAACAGCTTATAGCCTTATACCATTGCCAAACCAGTAATAATAAGTTTTTGAAAAAGTTTAACCATTCTATCATATAATAATTTGATAAAAGACTTTTTTTTGTAGAAAAAGATAAGTTGTTTCAAATAAGCAATCCCAAACACCCCCTTATTAGACGATCTAGTAAGTCATTTGAACTCGTTTACCTTAAGCTTGATAGGCGACCTCAAACACACACCAAGGGGCCATTTACCTAAATGCTTACCCGATAAGTGCTTAACGTTACGAGTCTAACATTATAATTTATTTTATTGGGTAAGATTGTAGTACGTCAAAACGTATCCTATGTAACAATTTACCTGGTAAGCACTTGCCCGGGTAAGAGTCGTTACCCTCACTTACCGAGTAAAACTCTCCATTCTTATCATCGCTCTTACCGGGTAAGATTCTTGACTCTTGCCACGTTCATCCGGTGAGGAAAATTACCCGGTAAATACTTACCAGGTAAGCGTTTAGTAAACGGCCCCTAAAACTCGTTTAAGTTAACATGTCAAGCTCCATAACACTAATGTTTCCAAACCGAACTCGAATAACCTGCAAATCAACTCGGTTAGGTAAGATGTATGCAAAACTGACATTTACTTTAGAGAGCAGAACAGTTGTTTCCGTAAAGGCACCTGACCGCAATATAACACCCATGCAAAATGGTGTGCATATGACAACATGAGCCTTATAACTTATCTTTTGAGTTGCAAAATTTTTGATCAAAACCAAAAGATCCAACTAGTGATGATAACTTGATCCATCACTTTTTATCCTAATATTCATAGGTTTCGGGCTACTTTTCACAACCCGGGGATCGGGAATTGGGTCGTCAAAGCCTCGACTCTCTTTTGCAGATCCGAAATTTGGTCTGTGTAACCGAAATCCGAAGCAGCTACAAACTTCATGAAATCTTGGAGCTTTGACCCAGAGACGGCCTGTTTGACCTCACGTGTCAGCTGCACCCCTTCGTGAATGAAATCCGCGATATAAACGAATTCCTTTTCGGTGAAACCACGAGTTGTCATGGCCGGTGAGCCGATGCGAATGCCGCCGGGCACAAGTGCACTTTTGTCACCTATGACAATCAAATCAAAACGATACGAGTATGAGAATACTTTGGAATTCCAAGCCCTATTGGCTCCGTGTTTTTTCTAACCAAGGGCAAATTTGGAAAGTAAAGTAAACCAAATCAGACAAACCCAGTATATCCCATAAGAAAGTAGTGTTTGGGAAGGGTAAAATGTACGCATACCTTTACCCCTTTCTCAAAAGAGATAAGAAGATGGTTTCCGAGAAGAGACCTCCAACAAAAGAATTGGAAAGTAAAGTGCTTCCTCCATTCAAAAATAAGTGTCCACATTTCTATTTTAGTTTGCCCCAAAATAAGTTTCCACGTCAAAATAACAAGTGTCTATTTTCCCATTTTGCCCCTCTATTATGTGATGAGAAAATTTCTCTATTATTATTGGTAGAAGTGTCCATTAGTCAATTAAAAAGGATAATAATTACACATTCCTAAAACTGTGTGGCATTTTCATTGTGGCTATCTATTTTGAGATGGACAAAGTACACCAAATTAAACAAATCAGACAAACCCAATATATCCCATCTATGGGCCAGTTCTATTAGGAACCTAAAATTGATTAGAAACCAGAGAACCACCCACGACGCGACACATGGCATATTCATCAGGAATATGGACGTGTTATTCATTAGAAATGTTGTAACGCATTCATCATGATGAATATTCATCCCGAAGTGGGACACATGGCACATTGTGGACGGTTCCCGATTCCTGATTAATTTTAGGAACTTCCCTCTCCCACCTGGGGTTAGGATTTGGGAGGGGTAAAGATGTACGTAGACCTCAATACCTTACCCCTTGTCTCAAGACACAAAGAGACGATTTCCAAAAATACCTCTTAGCAGCAAATTTTGAGAGTAAACATAAAAAATAGACCTAAATTATACCTGGTACCGAGTTCTTGTTCAATGTGATAGAAGCCATGTCAAGAATTTTCTCAACCCTAGCACCATCAAGACCCTGCATCAAAAGAGACCAAAAGCCGCTAAATTTTCAAAAAAGCTACCGGGTAACCAATCACTTGGTCTTGGTCAATCAAGGTGTGTTTGGTACTGGACAAAACAAAACAAGAATCACTGGTCCACGTTTGAAACAACGTTTATGTGGAGCAAACAAGAGCATAATGGAACAAAGCATGTTCCACCCCCACCCCATAGAACAAAGCATGTTCCACCCCCACCCCATGGAACAAGGCGGAAAAAGCCTATATTTTACCAATATAGCATCAAAGTAAAACCTAATTCTTTTCTAAAACATCAAATACGTCTCCATCTTTCCATTTTATCCATTCTTAAAATTTTATTTATTGTATTTTATTCTCTTTAAACTTTCATTTTACCGTTCTCAAAATATTATTTTTATCAGTTCCTATATTTTGGCAAATTTATGTAATTTATTAAATATTAATAACAAAAAAATAATATAGAAGTATAAAATAAAAATTGGAAAATACATGAACTTCATATTTTGGTGTCATTTTAACTGTCTTCACGAAAAATTTCAAATGATATATTTTATTACAAAAAATATTTCTTTTATTATAATTTAATGAATTACATAAACTAATCAAAATATAGAAAAAGTTATAAACAACTTATTAGGGGTAAATTAGCCATTTTACCAGTCCGGTCCTGTCTTATAAATGCTGAACAATTATTCTGTCATGTGTTGTTTTGTCCTGTCTGGATACCAAACACACCCTCCAAGTCGAACCACATTTCAAAAAGCTACTGGGCTTGGGTGGACCACTAAACCGTTATCCAAGTGAACCAATTGAACCATGGGATCGAGTCAACCAGTTTTAAGCAGGTCTTTGGGAGCATGATTGTATGGTTTTTAACCACTAAGATGTTAACGTGTTATTAAGTACGGAAATACTCACCAATGGCCTGAGATCCACAAGAACCAAATGGTTATCACTCCCTCCTGAAACCAGTGTGTATCCTAGCTCCATCAATCGTTTAGCCAGAGCTCGACAATTTGAAACCACCTGCAAGAATGCTATGTTAGACACGTTCAGAAAATTGCATTTTTTTTCTCTCTTTATTTTGGTAACAATAGGCATCCGGGCCAACTTGTTTGCACCTTGATTAATGGAGCCCTGAAGATAATAGCTTGGGAAATCCTTAGTGACCCCAAGGAGACTCGAACACACACCAAAGGTTAGAACTAATGGTGTAAACAATTCGAGCTTTTAACAAGCTACTCGAGTTCAAGCTCATTTATCTCAAGCTCGAGCATAATAATTGTCGAGCTCGAGTCGATCTCGAACACAAAATAAAACTTGTTTAACTTAACAAACTGAGCTTCATAACACAAATGTTCGACTCAGCTCGTTCAAAAACTCGATTGAAATTTTCGAGTCAAATCCTTTCGAGCTAAGATGCTCACATGTCATAAATCATACAATAAAAATATAAAAATCATCGATCACGAGTTCGAGCCCATAACCGAGCATTGAGCCTGCCAGCCTGGTATTATTTTTTCAAGCTGAGCTCGAATAACCTACTACTCAACTTTACTCGTTTAGACCCCTAGTCAAAAGGTTGCATCTTGTGATGCTAACAAAATGCGATGAAAAAAACCTGGTTTTGGTAAGCTTTAAATTCAGGAGACTGAGCATGCTTCAGGCAAACTGCAAGTCCTCCTATTGTATGGTTATGTGGACCACCCTGTTAAGATATAAATATTTCAAAAAATATACAAAAAAGATCAAAGAATGATGGCCAAAAAGTTGGAACAAAAGGAAAGGCATGGAATCGGGAATTAACCTGCAACCCTGGGAAAACAGCATTATTGATGGCAGATTCTAATTCAAGGCCCAAAACAGGATCTTTCTTGAAGAATATCATGCCGCCTCTAGGTCCTCTGAGAGACTGGAAAGAGAATCTCATCAGATTGTAGAATCTCATTTTAGGCTATGTTTAGCAAAGTAGCTTATAAACAAGTCATGTTTCATACTCCCTCCGTCCTAAAATAAGTGTACATATTTATATTTTAGTTTGTCCCAAAATAAGGGGTTGTTTACCTAAATGCTTACCCGATAAGTGTTTATCGATATGAGTTAACACTATAATTTATTTTGATGTGTAAGATTTTAGTACATCAAAATGTATCGAATGCAACAACTTACCTGGTAAGTGCTTACCTGGTAAGAGTCGTCATCTTCACTTACCCGGTAAGACTTTTCATCCTTCTCATCGCTATTGCCCAGTAAGATTTTTTACCCTTGTCATGTTCATCCGATGAGAAAATTCATCAGGTAAGCACTTACCAAGTAAGCATTTAATAAACGGCCCCTAAGTGTTTACTTTCAGAAGCAAGTGTCTACTTTCAAATTCTACCCTTAATTATGAAAGAAAAATTTATTACTCTCTATTATCAACAGTAAAATGTCATTTATATAATTTAAAAGTGTAATAATTACATACTTCTAAAATTGCGTGTCTTTTTCATTGTGGACATTTATTTTGGGACGGAGCACGTAAAAACAAGTTAGAGCATCTCCAACAGATTCTTTAAAATAATGAAAATGGAGTTTTAGTTTTCTATTTTGCTCCAACATATACTCTACATTGTTCTCTAAAATAGAGAAAACATAAGAAAACTCAGAGTTTTGAGAATTCTCTAAAACGTGATGTGAGGAAAGAGAAATGGGTTTTTTATTCATTCCCACCAATGAGATTGAATCATTATATAAAAAAAATTAATAAGCGTATTGAAATGATAAAATTATAGAATATTTTTTTAATAATATAATTAATGTTGAAATATCTAAAATAGAGAATCTGTAGGAGTAGAATGTAATCTTTTTAGAGATAATTTTTAATTATCTATTTTAGAGAAATTATAATAATATCTGTTGGAGATGCTCTTCATAAGTTAGATGACAATATAAAATGACAGAAAAAACATGTTGAAAATTAATTCGAGAAAATACAAGGGACAGGTATACTTAAAAAAATTATAAAAAGTGAACATTGCTTATTAAGTAGCTTTTCAAGTAGCTGGCTTATAAGCTAGGTTAAGGTTAAACAAACGAGGCATTTTCAATAAGCTAAAAAAATAAGCCAGCTTATTGTTGCCAAACGAGGCTTTAAGAGAAGGATAATGGTATGCTACATGATATTATTGTCTAACGATGTTGCTTGACAAAAAGAAAGGTGTACTTAATCCTGTCAATAGCATTATATAATTAAAACTACCTTTTTTATTCGCTTGAATAATAATATTACCTTGTGTGTTGTGGTTGTCACAATATCACAATATTCAAAAGGATTGCCAACCACAGAAGCAGCAACAAGTCCACTAATATGAGCCATATCCATCATGAGAAAAGCACCAACAGCATCTGCAATCTTTTGAAGTGCAACCATCATATGTCATTAGCAGTCGAGCAGAGGGAAAAAGTTGGGCATTTTGGTCAATTTTGAAGTATCAAGTGACATCCAAAAGGGAATCGAAAAGTTATACCTTTCTCATACGAGGATAGTCAAAATCTCGGGGATAAGCACTAGCACCAGCAATTATAAGTTTTGGACGAAATAAGTTAGCAGTTTTCTCTAGCATATCATAATCAACTAGGCCTGTAAAGAACCAAAGGGTGAACATTTATATCAGCCATATTAACATATATATATAGATAGATAGATAGAGAGAGAGAGAGACTCAGGTTCCCGGGAGAACAAAAAAAATGGAAAACTAAGGAACACCCTAATAACCATTCATTTGTCTATTAAGCACATGTGCATTAAAGTAAGTAAAAATGTTTCCTGGTGCATAGAGTTTCTATGCATGTGTGGCTTTTATGCACATGTGCATACCTGAAAATTTACTTTTATACACATTGTCCTTCATTTTTTATCGTTGTCGTGACCACAGGGCTTTCATGGCTGAGATCATTAGTTTGCACATGTGCATACCAGACAATGGTTATTAGGGTGTTCCTCAATTTTCCATTTCTTTGTGGTTTTCCACATGAAACCCAACCCTATATATACACCACCTTTTTTGTAGGGAAAGAAAGATAGACCTTAGTACCTGTAGATTCATCAAGACGATAAGGCATAGATTCAAAATATATGGATGTTCCTGAAACCCGTCGCTTGGGAGTCATGAATCCATGAGACAAGTGTCCACCATGCGGTAAGTCCAGTCCCTGAATCAAATAAAGGTAACATTTAGGGGACGTTTACCAACAAAAATTTGGGTAAACGCTAACGAGGCAAGAGTTCGGTCTGGGTAAGTGCAGGCTGAAAATGGTTGTTTACCAAGTATTTCGTATTGAGTGCTTAAGATATAAACAATTTGATTAAGCACTCTCTGACTCGGCCAGTGACATATTGGTGGCTGACTTGGTCAGCGCCTCAGTCAGTCAGAAGTGTAGGTAAACATCATCATATCTTACCAAGTAAGAAACACTCAGCACTAAATAAACATTCCCTAAAATGCACATTAATGCAATCTAACATAGCCAATTTGAATTCCTCAAAACAGAAGCTAATATACAAACTCACCATTATGCGGTCATGAGGACTAAGAATAGCCGTATAAACCTCAAAATTAGCAGGTGAACCAGATAATGGTTGAACATTAACGCCCCACTTCTTTTCATCCAAGTGAAATGCAGCCAAAGCCCTCTTTTGACAAAGAGTTTCCAGTTCATCAATGTGCTCGTTTCCACCGTAGTATCTGCAAACATATAGCAAAAACAATATGAAAATTAGATCAACAAAGTTATCAGCTACCATTGGCGTATACAGAGCATATTCCACCTTTTGCCAGGAAGTCCTTCAGAATATTTGTTGGTAAGGCAAGAACCAACTGCTTCCATAACAGCTCGGGACGTGAAGTTCTCTGACGCAATAAGCTCCAAGCTTCTAAACTGACGTTGCTTCTCATTGCCTATTATTGCACTAACTTCAGGATCAACATCACTCAGTTCATGATCTACAAAGCCGCTTCCATCACCTATGGAAGTAAAACATTTCCTGTGACTACAAATTTCTTATAGTAAATCACAGTTTTGGTCCCTGAACTTCATTCATTATATAAAAAGGCATGTGATTTGCACTTTGTCATGGTATTGGTCCCTGGACCAACCGGCGAGGGATCATTGTTCAAGACTGATTGCGTACAACTTTTTATCTTTTGCAAACATTTATCATCAACTGTAAAGACAATACCACCAAAAAGAAAGGGTTGGGGAGATAGCAAATTGCTAACTATCACAGACTCAATCTGGTATTAAAGAACTTAAACACAACTGCTTCCTCCTCTAAGGGATATAACCATATACCCACTTACTGCTAGATATAGATAGATACTCTCCATAAACATTGATATCTTTGAAAATACAGAAACATAGAGGAAAGTTCAAATGAGAACCATAAATGTTTTGAAACCCCGAAACCAACTATTTCATGTGTTATTCATGATGAATAACCCTATTATTCATCATGAATATCATTCATGATATCATCATGTATTTTCATTATGAATAACTCTCATCAAGAATATCTATCACAACATTCAACATGAATGGTTGGTTCTCAAGTTCTCAAAATATTTACGGTTCTCATTTGAATCTGCCCCTACAAACATTTTCCAGCAAACTCTCACACTTGTTATCATTCATAACATGCTCTATCAATAGATGGCATAGATTACGTTAGTGTCATACTAAAAGGTGTAAGAATCTCCAACTAGTTTACCTCCTCCTTTAGGAACTGGGACGGAAACATAAGAGCTCGGTGGCTTCCCGGTAATTAAGCTACCTTCAATTTGAGATGATCTACATGGCCTAAGTGATCCAAGATTCACCTGACGTAGAAATCCACCAACACCATGTCCTTTTGGAAGGAACGTAGATTCCTTAATCCATACAGGCTGTTGAAGTGAACCCATGATAGCTCCAGTGCAAGTATGCATACTGCTCAACACAAATCCATAACAAATCACAACATTAGAAGGATTAACTAGATTCAAATAACTATATAGCATCCTAAAGCATATGTAGAATGGAATAAATAGAAATACCCATTACCAATCTATACAATATTATGGCCCTATCGATCTAATGACACAAAATGCAGAAGTGTAAACCACATCCTACATGTTCATATGATTGCAAATCCTAAAATCCTAATCTAATTATATTTCACCACACCCTTTATCCAATCTCCAACTGCAGAAACACTAGCAGATTAGATTATCAAAATTAAGCAACAATAAATTTCAAATTAGAAGCTTCAAAAATAAGCAAATTCAACAAAAAGAACAAGTAAAGCCTCCAAATCCAATACTAACATCTCATTCCCCTACACAATTACACAAATTCTTAGAATCCCATTTACAAATAAAGAAGTATAGACACGATTTCATTCTAATGCTAATATACAGAGGCATAATCATGTTACAGAAGAACACCAGTACGTACCGTTGGAGCAAACAAACAAACAAATAAAGCAAGCATTTCTACAGAAATTATAGCCAGAAAAACGCAAAAACCCCAAAGATTGCTTCAATTATAATTCAGAGAAGTGTATTCATACAAGGCATATATGTACGCATGTATACATACATGTTATCGAATCGATATTCACTTTGATAAAACGACCGGACTCCATCTCGACATATGAATAATCCTAGTTTTCAAGGATTCATGAATTAAAAGAAAATGATGCGCACAGACTCCGATTCTTATCTGCCTATTGTCATTGAAATGAAAATTTGATGAACTTGATTAATAGTGAAATAACAGATAATACACGTCTCATTTGTTGCCAAAAAACCACAGAAACCATTCAAAGCCTTTTTTACAGCACCACGACTGAATTTGCATCCCTTTTAGAAACACCAACGAAACCACAAACTTTAAAATTGGTTAAGATAAGACACGAACCTGAGAATGAAACAACCGACGCCGGAGATCGGAGCTGCGGGTGGCGAGAGTGATAGGGCAGCAACAGGGATGGAAATCGGCCTAGGGTTTTAGAACGATTAATGGTGGTAAATAGAGCTTGTTTTTATAAGGTGGGAGTGTAACGCAACATTTTATTCCAGTGTTTTCCACATAATTTGAGACAAAGATTCAAAAAATTTGCATCCTTTTACGTTAAAAATAAATAAATAAATAAATATATATATATATATATATATATAGAGGGTGGTTCAAATACTAACTCATTTTTTTGTGTTAACTCTACTAACCAACATCAACCAATCACATTCTTTCTTTACTTTATGTTCAAATGTAACTTATAAATTGAATACAATTGTCATTTTGTAATTTGACCTTTATGTAACTCCCTAATAATTATTTGGGAGTTACAAATCTTTTAAGATCCCTCTAATTGATCATGAGATAATTCCGATGTTCAAAGGTTGTTTGTGTTTATGATTTAGCATCACAAATATAAAACATAATAAATATATCAATCGATGTTTGTATAGTGTTGTAACAATAAATATGTTCATTCACAAATATATCGATTGTTTCATAATATAAAGCATTCATTATAATTAATTAAAACCATAATCTTCTTCCAAACAAATATCTAAATCATAATAAATGAACATTCATCATTTTCATAAATTTATCAATTGATTGTTTGTACAGTTTTGTAACAATAACATGGTTTATGTTTGAAACCTCCTCTCTCTCTCTCTCTCTCTCTCTCTCTCTATATATATATATAGGGGTTGGTTCAAATGTTAACCAAGATTATTGTGTTAACTTTGTTAACCAATCTTGGACATTTGATTCTTATAATAAACGGTTGTGATTAATCATGATAAAAAATTAATTTTTTAAATTTAAAATTTCAAAAAACATATGTGAACAAAGGGGAAAAAAGTATTTAGGTAATTTTTTTATGTAACTCACATATCATTAATTGAGAGTTACAAAATCAAAAAATCTCATTATTTTTGTTAATGTAAGAACCATGTGAACACACACACACAAACATATGAACCATTGTGTCAAATACGAACAAAAATTGATATATATATATATATATATATATATGAACTTGGACTGCATAGCATTTGTAAACACAATATGAACATAATAAGAATAGCTGCTACACGAAATGAAATAAATAAATAAAACAAGTACGAACACAATATGAACAGTTTGTGAACAATAGTTCATTCATTATAAACACATTCAGGAGCGAACCAATGTTGAGATATGCAGTTAGTGTACATATGAACACAATATGAACACTTGTGAACAATAATTCATTCATTATGAACGCATTCAGGAGCGAGCAAATGTCGAGATATGCAATTAGTGTACATATGAACACAATATGAACAACTTGTGAACAATAGTTCATTCATAATGGACATATTCATGAGCGAGCCAATGTTGAGATACACAGCTAGTGTACATATGAACACAATATGAACACTTGTGAATAATAGTTCTTTCATTATGAACAATGAATTTATCCATAATAGCTTGAACGATACCGAAACTTTACTACCGGGTCTCTTCTACTATTCACAAATTCAAAAGCATTATAGATAGAAAATAAACATTATAAAAAAAAACAAGAAGTTAACAACAATTATGAGATATTTTGATTTTGTAACTCCCAATTAATGATAACTAAAATTATATATTTACCTTTGTCATTAAATCATGAGATGGATATGAACTTAGATAAAAGATGGATTTTCATTGGTTGAGCTTGGTTAACAAAGTTAACATAATAATCTTGGTTAACATTTGAACCAAGCTCTTTTTTTTTCTCTCTCTTTCTCTCTCTCTCTATATATATATATATATATATACACACACACACACACACACATACATGCCGTGAACCAGGAGACAAATGAGAGAGCAACACGTGTTTTTGGTGTTTACATTCAGTATAAATAACGAAGGTGAAATTCATGAACTATTCATGATGAATGATACAACATTCTTAATGAAATAATACACGATTATGATCTATGTTAAATTGATTCACTATTTATGATGAATAATACACATTCATCATAAATGATACATTATTCATGATGAATAACCAAAAGGAAGGCAGGAGACACGCGTCGTACTCTCCGTTGTACCCTGATTCACAACCAAATTTCGGTTTTCAATTGAACTCGCCCCCCCCCCACACACACACACATATATATATATATATATATATGTGTGTGTGTGTGTGTGTGTGTGTGTATACAGTGGAGGGGGATATCCGGGAAAAAATCCCTGAAAAAGCGAAGAACCAATCCAAAACATTTGAAAACGATAGCTTTTATAACCATAACTTTTTCCAAAAAAAAAAACCCTATTTCTTAAATCGAAAATTGGCGAAATAAGCCACAAGGGTGGTTTCTAATTGGTTTGAGTTTGGGTCCAAAGATCAAAAGTACCGAGAGGCCCCAAGTTCAAATCCAAGGATGAATAAAAATCCCCTTATGGCTACGGAGGTTCAAATGCGGTGATTCCGGGTTATCTGCAAAGCAGGTGGTCGCCCTGAGATTAGTCGGCTCGCATAGCGGGTTGGATATCCAGGTTAATAAAAAAAAGTGGTGAAAATCAAATTACACCAAAAAGAAACAATTATTGCAACATGCATATTGATATACTGATAGATATGAAACAAACACATTCTCAACACAAAAACTTCAAAACTATTATTATTTATCAAACACAAACAAATGATGGAAATGACAAGATACATACGCTAAATATTTATTTGAACATATATGTTAAACCAATCGAACTATACCCAACACACGAGCGTATGTTATGAAACGTAGATAACGTTCATTGTAAACAGCTGTCGATGTATAAACAAATACGAAACTAATCGTTATCTCGAATTTAGACTGTAAAAACTCTACATTTTTCGGACCCAAAAAATAGTACAACTTTCATCCCCCATGAGGATTAAAACAATTGCTTTCTTTTGTATGATTCATATAAAAAGAAGAGTAAACTTTCAATTTTGAAATTGATCTTTGAAGTTCAGTAAGAAGTCTGAAAGTAAGACATGAACTTTGATAAGTCTAGAAATCATCTTTGTGGTTTTCATTTTACTCTAAAAGTAGTCCCAGAACTACAAGGATGGTGTCTGATTGGTTTGAGCTTGGTTCCAAATGTCAAAAGTGTCTGGAGGTCTCAGGTTCAAATCAAAAGAGAAACAAAAATCTGCTTATGGCTACGGAGATTCAAATACGGAGGCAATTTTTATTTTTCATCAAAAAAATTTAATTTTCTTTGAAATAATAACATGATTTTTATTTTATATGTTGCATTTTATTTTATTTTATTAATAAATTTTCTCCCTTAATCTAAAATTTTGTTATTTTTAGAAGAAAATATAAAAGAAAATTTTATGTTTTTTATAGAGAAAATTAAAGATTTTGATGAAAAGACTAAAATACCCCTCGCTCTAACGAAGAAAAAAAACATAGTTAATGACCAGTGACTACTTTCGGAGCAAAATGAAAACCACAAAGACGATTTTTAGACTTATTGAAGTACATGTCCCACTTTCAAGACTTTTCACTAGACCTCAAGAACCAAAATTGAAGTTTACTCTAAAAAGAATTGTAGAATCATATGTATGTATACAACAATGCGATATCAACCGAAAAAAAGGGTCGCAATTGTTTCTAGGCGTTACGGGCCACGAGCGTGACGTTGAACGAGTGCGTTCCCAAGAAAACGTCATCTCAAACATTGATACGATTGATGAAACCATCGAGACAATGTGTAATGTTTGAGTTTCACAACCAAATAGAAGATGCTATAGCACGGAAGATGCAATAATGCAACGATCAAATACCTACACAACATTTTGGAGAACGAAGTTGCGTTAGATTAACTTGAAAACAAATCAGTTTCCAATTTTTTTGTAACTGTGGGTGTCTGGGCCAGCTTGCGTGCACCTCGATTAATCCCATAGATATAACAGTCAGAAAAAAAATCCCTACTGGCCCTTAGAGCATCTCCCAACAGATTATCCACAGTAGAGCCGGAGATTTTGTTCTCTATTTTGCTCCAACAGATTCTCTATATTGTTATCTAAAATAGAGAAAACTCCAAGTTCAGATAATTTTCTAAAACTTAATGTGACCAATGAGATTGAGTTATTATTATTATTTTATCTAAAATATTTTTTTTAAATTATTGAGATGATAAATTTATGGAATATTTTAATAATATAATTAATGTTAAAATCTCTAAAACAGAGCATATGTTGGAGTTAGAATTTTTCTTTTTAAAAGATTTTAACTTTTTCTTCTCTACTTCAGATCCAGTTGGAGATGCTCTTAGAGTTTGGTGCACGGATGATGAGAAAGACTAGACTCGACGGACAAAAGTGAGGCAGGCGGGAGAAAGAACTGTGAAAGGTTTTAGGGTTTTAATTTGACATGGGTATTTTCGTAATTCACATTTGTTCCACCTTTTTTGGTGGGTCCCACTCAGTCCCATTGTGTCACACTCTAATCTCACACCAAACATGGGACAACAAGTTTTCGTTCTGTTTTGTCTCGTCATGTTCCGCATACCAAACACACTCTGAGTAGACTCAAACAGGAATTGAAGATAACAACCGACAAAATTCTCAGTGGCCCTGAGGAAACTCGCCCAAGGCTCGGCCTTTATCGATGAGGGTTGGGGGAGAGTATAATAGATGTAGAGCTTGTTTTGAGAATACATACCACAATGGAGCATATTCCATAGATAAGTCGAGAAATGGGTACGGCCACCTGGAATACAAACGAGTTATGGGCATAAGAAAGATAAAGATTCACTGCAACAAGATCGGTTTTAAAAGACTTCAAATTGCAACTGAATGTTTTTGGAAGGGTGTCACAGGCTATGTCCAGACTAATACAAACAAATTGTGACTGCAAGACATTAGCCCTAATAAATTCAGTGGCCACAATTGTTGTGGACACCTGAAATTGGACCTAGGGCAGACGTCCACCACATCCCCTTAGGCCTCAACCACTATGCCACAACCATTGTGGTTAAATACGTCGAAATGTTCCAACAGATTGTTTTACTTGCCTTTAGTTTATAGGACCAAACAATTGTTTGTCATATATAAAAGTGTTACAAATAGGACAAACACTTTTGGACGTTCTAACAAATTTTTTAGGACACTTTTGAAATAAAGTATCTTATTACTCTTTTTCTGATAATATTTGAAAAAGAGAAATTTATAAAAATAACCATTTTACACAACCCTTTGCCACAAAATAACCACATTTTAGAGGTTTTGCCAAAATAATGGGCGATCCCCTTAAAAAAGTAAAAAAAAAAAATTCTTCAAAAGTCGAGATTACTGTTCACCTCGTTGACCGTGTTTGACCTCGCCCGAGGGCGATCCATACTATTCACGGGGGCGATCCGTACTGTTCACCCGTGAATTTTTTTTTTCGAATTTTTTTTAAATTGAAGTTGTATTTTTTTAACTTTTTTAAAACCAAATTTCATGAGGAAAAGATTTAAAAATAAATCTTTATAATTATGGAGATGCAAAAATTAATTTTCATGGGAAAWCAGATATAATATCTGATTGACGAAATTTGACCTCTATTTTTATACAACAATTAAGGGGTGTTTTTAATAAAAATGGAAAAATACATAAAGTGTCTTTTTACATATTTAATTTTAAATTTCGCAATTTACCGGGGTCGATCCGGGTAAAAAAAAAAAAATTGATTTTTTTCACTATAAATACCAACCTCCTAATTCATAATTTTTCACACATTCCCTTCCATTTCTTTTCTCATATATTTTACTCTCACAACCCCTAACCCATTATATCTGATTTCCGAAACACAAAACAGAGAAAATTAATTTTTGCGTCTCCATAATTAGATTTATTTTTAAATCTTTTCCTCATGAAATTTGGTTTTAAAAAAGTTAAAAAAATACAACTTCAATTTAACAAAAAAATAAAAAAAAATTCATGGGTGAACAGTACGGATCGCCCCCGGGCGAGGTCAAACACGGTCAACGAGGTGAACGGTAATCTCGACTTTTGAAGATTTTTTTTTTTTTTACTTTTTTAAGGGGATCGCCCCCATTATGTACGGGGGCGATCCGGGTGGTTATTTTGGCAAAACCTCTAAAATGTGGTTATTTTGCGGCAAAGGGTTGTGTAAAACGGTTATTTTTATAAATTTCCCTTTGAAAAAATGTCATGTAAAAACAAGTATCCTATAAAAAGCTAACTTGGAATATTTTATTTCAAAAGTGTCCTAAAAAACTTGTTAAAATGTCCAAATTCATCGTAAAATCCTACTGAAACACCCTTTATATCAGAAATGCAACTATTTGGTCATATAAACTTAAGTCCTATAATACAGTTTATTAAGACATTTAGACATATATGGCATCCTATGAAGCCGATTTTGTTGTAGAAATTTTATGTATGAAATGTGAATAAAATAACATGAAGACAACATACCAAGTTGCGACAAACGCATGGAGAATCCACTCGAAGCACACGTAAAAACCGGTGAATAATAGAAAGTATGAAATCCGGAACCAAGGGAAGCTCTGAAAGATGGTTTTTCATACGTTTTTATAGTTCATAGAACGCTCATTTAAAAGCAATTGAAAGTTAAAACACGTAAAGACATAATGAATCAAGTTACCAAGCTATTCAAGGCCGTGTCCCCGAGGAGCAAAACGAGATTAAGCGAATGTGCCAAAACCGTCAACTGGTATAAGAGGAAAAAACGAATTTGAAACTGTAAGAAAAACCCTGAAACAAGGGTCATGATCATAAATAACCACATGAGGGAAAAAGTTTAACTTTTTAGACACCTCCAAACTTTTTTCTCACAAAATAGTCAAGAAACGACAAATCAACTCCGCAAGGCACTTTTCCTTGGGGATTATGACATTTTCTGATGCACCCAGATGAAAAGTGGGCCCACCACAAAAATAAACCGAGACACCGTAGCTTGCAGCACTGCAAGGACATGCGTTGACGCACAAAAAGCAAGTCAAAGCCACAACTTGCGCCTTGCGGCACTGTAAGAAAAAGTATCTTGCGACGTCGGCTTGCAGTTTCTTGGCTATTTTGTGAGAAAAAATAAAATGGTGGCTATGATATATATCTTTTTTAGCGAGGCGGCTAATTAAGATAATAACCCCTTACACAAATATGTCCACACAAATATACAAAGCAAATGTGGTCGAGTTCTCTGATTTATGTTCATTTGGGGTGCGTTTAGTACACTGGAAAGGACATGATAGAAAAGGGATCACTGTTCTATCTTCCATGTTTAACAAGATTTTTATATAGAACAAAGTGGAACAGACATGTTCCACCCCACCCCATGGAACAAAGTGGAACAGACATGTTCCACCCCCACCCCCACCCCATGGAACAAGGTGGAACATGTATTGTACCAATATAAACTCAAAATAAAATCTAATTCTCTTCTAAAACATCAAATACGCCTCCCTCTTCACATTTTATCCATTATTTAAATTTTATTTATTGTATTTTATGCTCTTTAAAATTTCACTAAATCATCCTTAAATGTTTATTTTTTATACGGTTTCTATTTTGATTAATTTATTATTAATAATAATAAATAATATAGAAAAGGTATAAAATAATAATTGAAAACTACATAAACATTTTACATCGTCTTGACAAAAACTTCTAATTAAATATTTTGTTATAAAAAATATTTATTTTATTATAATTTAATAAATTAATCAAGATATGTAAACAACACATCGGGTTTAAATGGTCATTTTATCTTTTCTGTCCTATTGAGATCCGTCTTACCAAACGCTTAATAGTTGTTATGTCATGTGTCCTGTCTAGATACTAAACGCACCCATTGAAGATATTACATTGTATCTAAGATGTATTCAATCATCAAGGCAAATGAACAAAAATGATGAACAAATTGTAATATAAGGTAAGTGTAAGTACTCACGAAGCCCATTTCGTAACCTTTGATCGTAAGGAATGGAACGAACACGGTCCAGTAAACAATATCTGTCAAAATCGCCGCCCCTGCAACCGTCTGTGTGCAACAAACAAGTGAATCGTCGTCATAAGCATTAAGCATGCAATCGCTCGGAAGGAATTGTGAAATTTTTTAGCTTAATTTCTGTAACAAGGTCTAGGCATAGAAAACGAGAAGTGCATGAATTCTTCAACAGAAACAGCCAAACTAAACAAACTCAATATATCCCACCTGGAGGTGGGGTGTGGGGAGGTTATATTCCAAAGAGTAGAGCGACTATTTTCGTCAAAACTTCAAGGAAAATAACCAAACCGAGCCAAACTATATCCCACTTGGAGGTGGGGTCTAGGGAGAGTAAGGGCATGTTTGTTAACAGCTTAATGAGCTTAAAAAGACTCACAACTTATTCGGTTAGCTATACTATACATGACTGTTTGGTAGCGGTTTGATGGTATCAAAAGTGGCTTATTCAGTAAACTTTATGCAGAAAACCAAGTTTTTTCCCCAACCTGCCACTCCCAATTAAAAAACACGCTCCTTCCATTTATGAAAAAAAAACCCTTCTAAACAAAAACCTCTAATCTATACAGACAGATAAATCCACACAGTCCACTTTATCCATACAGGACTTAGTGAAAAACCAACCAAACAACTCCTAAGATGTATGCGGACCAAAACCTCTACCCAAAGAGTAGTAGAGGGTTGTTTTCATGAAAACTTCAAGGGAAATAACCGACCCAAACTAACCCAATATATCCCACCGGGAGGTGTGGTCCGGGGAGGTTAGGACGTAAGCAGACTTGATTTCTATTCCAAAAGAGTATAGCGGTTATTTATGTGAAGACTTCAACGGAAATAACTTGGACAAATCGAAATATATACCTGGAAAACGATTTGAAAAATGTAGCCCCAAAATGCAGCAGTTTGCAAGAAATGACTTTTCCGACTAATATTCTCCTCATGGGTGAGCGGCAATAAGAAATCTTGTTCCTCACCCACATCAGACGTCTTGTGTTGCCTGAAACATCCATAAGCTGATAGCAGCGATCCAAACTGCAAACAAACTTCAAGACATTTATAAGAACAACTGTATCAAAATCAATGAAGAAAAGAAACAGTCAAAAGAATTATTTGCAATTTTTGATGATTGCATTCGAGAAATGAGGGTTGAGATAAAGCGAGGAACATACCGCGAAATAGAAGGTAACCAAAGTTAAAGTCCACCTATACAAAAACAACAGAAACGTGAAGTTAGAGGAATACCAAAGATTCAAGCACTCAAACTTTATCTTATCCGTGTTTCCCTCTTCGTCACACTTTAACTCTATCCATCTTTCCCTCTTCGTCACACTTTTCACAATCTAGGGGTCTTTATTCAAACAACCGTTTTACTCCTTGGGATACAGGACATGTCTGCCTACATCTTACCCTCTCTACACCCTATAAGATCCCACATCGGCTGGGGAAGGGAACAAAGGTTGCCTTAGAAGAAACTGGACACCTCCTCTATCAGAAGCGTTTTAAAACCATTAGTCCAGGTGATATACAGTACGGTTAGCCTGGGTTGTTACAGACCCCACCTCCAGGTGGGATATATTGTGTTTGTTTGGTTTAGTTTATTGGTTAACACAATCATGATTATTAGTTATAGGTCGAAAATTATGATAATTGGCTAGTAATGGACCATGAAACCTGTATATATATGTAGGAACCTCCAATCTTTCTATAAGGGATCTTTTAGAGAGAGATTCAAAGGTGTTCCACATATCCTCACATGGGTCTACCACATCTAGGGGACATCGTCTAGCCTCCATTTGAATGGGCATGTTAGAGTCCCACATTGGCTAGATATATGCAGAAACATCCCCTCTCTAGAGAGCTCTTTTAGACAAAGATTCAGAGGGGTTCCACGTATCCTAACACATATCATGCATTTGTATCAAGAAAGATAGAAACCACAAGGGTTGTGGCGTATGGTTGAGTCCCGGGTGGATGAGGTGGAATATCCCAACTGCCATGGGTTCAATTCCAGGCGTCCACAACGGTTATGGCCATTGAGTTTATCAGGGTTGATGTCTTACAATCGCAATTTGCCGGGATTAGTCTGGGCACAGGACACCCTTCCAGAAAAAGATAGAAAAGAGCTTACTGAGTATAATAGAAAAATAAGTCGGTCCCATGAGTGACAACATCGGAAATGGAAGCCGATAGAAGCAAACAAAAAGAAATGATCCGGAAAACCAATAACCACACGGGGTGTATTGCCTTTACACATGGCGTCCATGCTTCATGATCGTAAAGAGACCACTCTTTTTCTTGTTGGGTCTCCTCTTTATAACTGTTTGAATCTCCCAAACCTTCGTACTTCCAAATTAGATACGACGCTATAATCATGGGAGTCAAGACCCATATTATGCATAGCAAGAACTTCCAATTCAACCAATAACTTAGGCTAGTGGTATCACCGGCCAAAAGAAGCTCCATCCTGTTAAAACCACATGAAGGTACATTCAAAGTCATATAATGCTCAAGACTCGAGAGCTCACGGGAACTTTATTTGGGCAAACAATTGATTACGGGCAACCCCAACCGGCCCCACACGGAACCCGCCACCAAGAACACCAACGTGAGGGGGCATATTTTTTGGCTCATTTAGCAGTGGGGCTAGCGGGGGCCTGATCCAACCTGGGACCTATCGTGTATTTGGTCAAACCCGGCCCTTTTTATTTGGTAACATTATTGAATGCAAAAATAGCGGAGAATAGAGAAAGCTTGTACATTAGTCCAAAGTCTTGATAATTAACTGAACCAAACCAAATAAGGAGGGATGGAAACGGGACAGATATTGGGCGGATAATGCATCCCCCGTTCCTGACTAATCCCTGACAGGTTTGGGGAACCCGTTGGGTATCCATTTCGTAAAAAACAATTAAAAAACAATGTATCTTAAAATAGAAATAATGAAGAATTGTCACTGCATCAATTACCAATATTGAAAATCAAATATATGTCATATAATACACACACACACACATATGCATATATTTAAAAAGATTAAAATTATTTAGGGTCGAATTAGGTGCGGGTAGTACCATCCCCAACCCTGCTTTAGGTTTGTTTTTAGATGCAAATATGAAAAACTCCAAGTTGGATGAATAAGACAACAGTTTAGATCAAATAACGGATTCCTTATCTATAATTGTATAAATAATCCATCCTGAATACATTTCCATTATAGTACAAGGATTAAGGTTTTCAACGCCATCCTAACTTAGGGGCCATTTACCAAATCCAAACGGGGGTAAGCGCTTACTGGGTGACTTACCTTACCGGGGGAGCATGGCAAGGGCTAAAAATCTTACCCGGTAAGAGGTACGACAAGGACCAAGAATCTTACCTAGAAAGCAAGGGAGAAGACGCTTACAGACAATCCATTTTTATGGCTAAGAATGCTACTCGATAAGGTAAGTGAGAGTGGTGACTCTTGCTGGTAAGCACTAACCCGGTAAGCATTTGGTAAACCTCCCTTAGATAACTTAAGATCTTACTTTCTCATATTAGAAATGAAACCACACTGATAAAGTTGTAATCATTACTCACTCATCCACCATCACTTCTACCTTATACCTACCCATAACTTATACCTTCTGCTACCTTGCAACAGAAGGCGATATGTCACATAAATTCATTTCCTTCTCTTAGGGGATGCTTAGTTTAATGGAATGGTTTTGAGGGATCTGGATTTCGTAAAAGGATTTGAAATTGGAGGAATTTAGATTTGGAAGTATTCGGAATCTTTGGTGTGTTTGTTTTGTACATATCTTTATAAATAATTTACAAAAAAAAATTATAAATAATTATAAAAATAACTAAATTACCTTTTTATTAATTGATTATTACAAGACAAAGACAAATATTTTTAACATATTTTAAAACATTATTACGTACTAATCATACGAAATCCTCTGAAATACCAACCACACACGTGGGATTTCAAGATCCTATGTTTGTGGGATTGCAAATGAAATCTCCCAGGAAATCCTTCAATCCAAACATGGGATTGAAATAAAATTCAATTCCAAACCCCTCAAATTCCAATCCAATCCTGCAAACCAAACGGGAGCTTAGTTTATTGAAGTTCATTTAAGCATGCTTCTGTAACATGGGCGGACCTAGTTAGGTGCCATGAGTGGCACGTGCCACCATATCGTTTCTCCACAGAAGGGTAAAAAATTTAGGTTTCGTGAACGGTGCAACCTTATTAATTTGTTGTGTGCCACCGTATGTATTTTGAAACTACAATGAGAACAAGTTTTATTTGGTAAAGTTGGTTTGCAAGGCTTTTATTCCACCCCACACCCAAGTACAAATCATGTTAGTGTCATTTTCTTAGTCAAACGGTGCCACCATTTGAAAAAAATTCCGTATATTTGTTTCTTATAGTCAAATGGTGCCACCGTTTGAAAAAAATTCTATATTTTTTTTCTTATGGTCAAATGGTGCCACCGTTTAAAAAAAATTCTGGGTCCGTCTCTGTTCTGTAAGCTGCGCAATTATTACACATTTACACCATTATCTTGGTTCTAGTAGTCACTCATGGTTCTCTAATAGAAACTTAAAAGGGAAGTCATTTGCAAGATTCTAGCAGCTTGCTAATATTTGAGAAAATGGTAGAGGTAACTTTCCATACTTTTCCTTTAAATGCTTTGTTGTAAGAATCGGGTTGGACACCTATAGTTGTCGGAGATGAGATGAAAAACCGACTTCTCTTTAAATTTCTAGCAGCTACATATCAAAATTAACAAATCCCTTCATATTATGTTTCTTGATTGATAGAGATCAAGAACTGCCCTCCATCTGTTTATTTTAAAACCTTTGTAAGTATTTAACTACTTCTAATTAATGATCTGGGTCTGTTTAAAACCTTGAAAATTATTGCTTAATTTATCAAACTCATAAGCTGTTGTCCCACTCCATGATTCCCCTAAAAGTACATCTTAAATGCCAATTATCAACTCAAAAACAAGTCATGCAAACTCAATCTGAGCCCAAACTAACGAAAATATGGAAGATTGAAAAATCAAACTATGTTACGTATACCCACAAGAACGAAAATTTCAAGAAACAAACCCAAATGGCAGAAAAGAAAAATCTAACGATAAACATATACCACATTGCATATAAAAGAACAACAAAACTTTCAGAGTTTTAAACAAACCCAGATGAGATCATTAATTAGAAGTAGTTGAATACTTACAGAGGAATTTAAACAAACAGATGGTGGGCAGTTCTTGCTCTCGATCAATCAAGCAACATAATATGTAGGGATTTGTTGATTTTGATAAGTAGCTGCTAGAAATTCAAAGAAAAGTTGGTTTTTTCATCTCCTCCGACAACGATAGGCGTCGAACACGACGAAGGAGATTCAGAAACTTTGAGCGAAATGCCGTATCTGAATGATCCTTTCATGTAATCTTTATATATTGACCACGTTGATTAACGTGTGTGGCAATTTCCTAACTTCCCCATAGTCAATTTGTAAATATTTTAATATATTTCATTTTTATTTTAAATTTTTTACCCCTGAACTATTCGTTAATCTACATTTTTAGTCCCTTTACTATTTTATATATTTTTTCTGTCCCAAAATCAGTGTCAACGTGTCTGTCTGTTTTAATTTGTCTCAAAATAATTGTCATTTTTCAAAAGTAAATATGTTTACTTTCTTGTTCTATCCTTAATAATTGGATGAAGAAAATTTATGTTTATATTATTCAAGGTAAAAGTGCCATTTACTTAGGGGTTGTTTGTTTACCTCTTAATAGTTTTATTAAGAGGCAACATCTGAATTGTTAAGAGATGAATCTTGTTTGACAAAAAAAATTTTTGTCTCTTAATGGTTCTAAAACCATCTGAATTATTTTGTATCATGTGTCTCCCTTAACCATTCAACGCCATAATTTCATTGTAAACGATTAACAAATAATTATATTTAATTTTGCATTATATCATGATAACCAATCTTAATCATCATGCACCAAATCATTCAACAACTGACAAACAGTTCCCTCCCTTTTACTTAACCATGGGGAGCCCCTAGTAGTTTACTGGACAAATTGAGTTTCAATCGCTGATCACGATATTGATACATATAGCTTGCCCTTATACCTTATGGTGTAATTCACAGTGCTAGCAGATCAGAAGTACGAAAGTGAGCGAGAACTTTGTCACCCCCTCGTCACTTAAAACTTTTATCAGGGTTATAATAGAAAAATATGTTTTTACCAATAAATCTTAAAGACGATGATCATTCAAATCAATCGTTAAGGGATTTCCACTTGAGGGTCACGCTAGCAAGCTCAAGCTAACTGGCAACCACAAAGACAACGTTAAAGTGATATTTGTTTTTTAAGAGGTGCTGAAATCTGAAGTCTGATTTCACTTCTGATTTATAAGAGGTGGTCTTGAAGTCTGAAATCTAAATCAATAAGATTGTTTGCTTTTATGTCTGAAGTCTGATATTTGAATCAGTAAAACTAGTGCAAAAATATAAAAGATAAATATTTTTTTTACAAAAGTTAAAAGATAATTAGTTTTTGCTAACAAATCTCTTTCATCCCTCAAAATATTAACCACATGATACAGGACAGATTATGATTAAGAGGTATTAAATGATACACTTACAACTTAAAATTCCAGTGGATATTTAGAGTTTTTAAGCTCTTACTTTAAAAATAAAACAAACAAACTTATTATCTAAATGTCTGAACGAATCAGACTTCAGAGGTATTAAGAGGTAATTTAAAAAAAACAAATAGACCTTCTATCAAAAGCTCTTAAACTTTTAAATTCCAATTAAAAAATAAATAAAATGAACGTGAAAAGATATTAAAGGAACAAATGACGAATTTACGAAAATGCACCTCATTTAGTAGTAACCAAAATATTAAGAAATGTCAATTCGAAGCAAATGAATTGCAAAATATTTATTAAACAAAGACTGCATATTAAGAAATAATAGAGGGTCAAATTTGTAATATTCCGGATAAATTATTTTATAATTTAATTATAAATAAAAAATAATAAAATTATTAATTGTTTATTTTCTTAAACAAGGTGAAGGACCCCGACGAATGAGCAGGTGTTGTCGGCTATTTTCCATTTGCATTTTTAAATACAAAAATTGTATATTAAATTCACAACAGAAAAAACATGTTTTTTTAAACACATTATTTTATTGTAAAATGTAAATGAATAAAAGGTTCGATATGTAAGATATAGACTTAGGACTGTCTACCATACACTTATCCGGTAAACGTTTATCGGTAAAATTTAACATTGCCACTTACTTACCGGGTAAAACTTTTGTCCACCAAAACAACATTGTATGCAACAATTTACCCAGTAAGCGTTTATCATGGTAAGAGTCGTCGCCCTCACTTATCGGGTAAGACTCTCGGTCTTTTTCTCTCTCTTACCGGGTAAGATTTTTGGTCCTTACCATATTCATCCGGTAAGGTAATGTGACTAGGTAAACACTTACTTGGATAAGCGTTTGATAAACGACCCCTTAGGCTAATACAAAGATAAAGCAGGGCCCCAATTAAGGATGGTGATTTCCCAGATTTGATGAGGAACCTAGTTCATCTGACCTAAATGAGGATGGAGATTCTCCACTAAAACTGGTCCTGAGGCCGGGGGCTGTTACTCAAACTGGGTTGGGGCAAGGATCCCCAATAAACTCAAACTAACGGATATTTTTCGTGGGATTTGATTGGGGATAGGATGTTAATCCCCGTATCCGCCGGAGACCGGGGCTGGGGGCTGTTACTAAAAACCGAGGCCAGGGATTACAAAGCCCGCCCCGTTGACATGCCTACCCTCAACGATAACTACTCGAAGAATGGAACTGAAACACAAAAGGTGAAGCAAAGAGGGCGACCCTCCACCTTTGCCTTCGGATCAAATTGCAGTTGATCAAATTACCGACAACTTAGTCTAAGGGGCAGACTTTTATTAAAGCTCAAGTGGGTCCTTGTACACCCGCTTACTTTTTTTTTAGATATGAAAGGTGCATCCGTTAAACTTTAAGGGAGGTAGCCCCAAATACTAAAAAAATACAAAGAACATCAACCAAAAAACCGAAAGAAAAATACATCGGAATCAACCAAAAAACTTAAAAAATCACTCGAAACAGTAGAATTTTCAACAAAAAATCATAGGACGACTTTACAAGCCCTTGATCCATCTTAAAGTTGCACCAACTCAGTAAAAATCATGAGTCTCTCGTTGTCTTAATCCATACAAAACTTAATAAAAAAAACGGACCAATACTTGTGCTCTTAACAACAACACACATATGATTAATCCAAAAAACTTGACCAAGTGTTTGCAAAAGTAGCAATCAAACAAACCCCAAAAATCCCATAAAATACAACAAAAGCTCATCAAAATTTGTTAGATGATAAGGCAGTTCATCATCATGTTTAGTAATTCCAATAAAAAGCACAACAAATTACCGAAACCCGAAAACCGCCAAGTGAACTACCAGCAGAACATGTCCAGAAACTCCCTCTCCGCGTTCGGATCAAATTGCAGTTGATCAACCAAATCAAACTCAAAATCATTCTGATCGAACACCATCTCAGGCTTATAACCGATCACAGAATCAGACCAGAAGCTCGTTTCGGATTGATGATGGATTGAGTCAAAAACCGAGCTTTCTGGCTGCTCTAATGGAGCAGTTGTGGTATCAGCCACCGGAGGTTCTTGTTGGATGTTGATTTGATCATCGGAAGACGATGAAGTGAGACTGGTGATGTAGTCTTTCAGGAGGGAGGGGTATTTGATGTTTTTGTTATTATTCATTGATAACTGCCTTCTTTTGGTTGCATTCCAATGGTTCTTGATGCTGTTTTCGCTCCTTTCGGGAAACATTCTCGCAATATACGCCCATTTGTTTCCGAATTGTTTGTGCAATTCAATCAGTAGCTTGTCATCTTCCTCAGACCATGCATTTTTCTGCAAAAAAGGGAGATGTTACTAACAGTTTTTGAAGTATATAATATATATACAGGGGTTTAATCATTTGAGAACTCTGAAATTTGTGAGACGCGTAAAAACTTCTACCTTAAGGTTTTGTTTCACATGATCTTTTTCCATTTAATTATCGTATTTAATGTATTGATCAACATATATTTGTTTCACAATATTTTGTTTTACATGTACTCGGTTAACAATTTGAACCTTTTTGGCTAGTCTATGAAACAAAAATTACACGTAAAAAAGTTTCACATTATGAACTGAATACATACGAGACACACATTGTGAAACAAATATATGTTAATCAATACATTAAATACTGTACTTAGATGAAAAAAAGATCATATGAAACAAAACCTTAAGGTAGAAGTTCTCACGGATCTCACAAAATTTGAAGTTCTCAAATGATTAAGCCCATATATATATATATACACACACACACACCCATATATATATATATACACACACACACCCCCACCCATATATATACACACACACATATACGGGTTGGGTCCCGGTGAGAATGCGAGTTACCATGAGAAGGGTAAATAAGATCTTCATCCTTGGATCAATGCTAATTGAAGAGAACTACTAGATCAACATTAATGAGATACACTAGATCAATTCCCTTCTAAAGCGCAATTCATGGGTTGGTTTGAGATTAAAAGTGATCAAGGGTCCAAATCCCTACTTACACTTTTCACTTTAACTCATATTCTCACACGACCTTTTGTCACACAAACACACACACACACACACACACACATATATATATATATATATATATATATATATATATATGTGTGTGTGTGGGGGGGGGGGCGAAACTCACATACACTCCTCACCTTTGGTTAGACTTGAACCCATAACCTTTAACCAAGCCGGGATATACCAGTAAACCAGGGATATTGACCCTTTTAAGTTACCAACACTTGTGAGGTACATTTGTCCATGATACTCCTCACTTTTGGTGGTGAGGTTTGAAACCCGACGTCTAAGGAGGCTCGGATCCACCGGTAACCCAGATACCATTGGGTCAATGACCCTTTTAAGTTACTAACGCTTATGAGCAAGATAGTGTCATTGACTGATTTACCTCATGCGGTTTTTTGTGCAAAGTAACCATTCAGTAGTTCAGTGAGCCGGAAATTAGGTTAGCAGAATCCTATGTTAGACCAGGAGTGTAGTTTTTCTTGACTTGTCTATGTTTTCTTGTACCTACTTCTACTTATATGTTGTAGTTGACTTCTAATTTATACGTTGTTTCTTGTTTCAGGTCTCTTCGGTATCTTCACCTTTTGCTTTTCCATATATTTCTTTGGGGTAACTTTCTTTCTGTTCCACTCACTTATCACAGCCCGGTGGTCTTCACAGAAACAACCACTCTACTCTTTGACAACAATAAAGGTCAGGTCTGCATGAATCCCACCCCTCTAGACTCCACCTTCGGGTGGGATATTAAAGATTTTGGAACAGGAGAAAAGTATTTCTCTATTGAATTGTATCCCAACCGAGAACCAGAAAGAAGTTTAAATACACAGCAGCTACCTATAAACTCGGGAAAAACAGAATTCAGATAAGCACACTTTAAGCTGATCTATAAAATAATAATAATAGGAAGCTTAACCTAACAACTTAACCATGTGAATAATCCAATGCTTATTGGATTTCCACAGATATACCGGGATCGTTTCATTTGGTTTGGTTTAACCTTCCAATAGCATCGATAGAAGGTTAAGCCAAACCAAAAGCAATTAAGGGGCTGTTAACTTAATTCACATCGTAATTCATATGCATCAAGGTGAAGTGATTACGAGGTTAGATTGAGATTAATTTGATAACAATATTCAAATGAAAATAGTGAGGGTGAGGAAAAAGGGGCGGACCCACATGGAATGATACATTGGCACAGCCGCAGCTTCATGGTTCCGTAAGGGGGAAAATTACGTTTTTGAAGGGTGCGACCGTATTAATTTGTTGGATGCCACCGTATAGTTTTTGAAACTGAAATATTAGCACAAGACTTCAATGGCTAAGATGGTAAATGCTCATGCCTATGTACAAAGGGCCCAGGCTCGAGTCCCGCTGTTGTCAAATTTGTTGTTTTTTAGCTTAAATTTTGGTGTTTTTTTAAATACCTCTTGTGTTTTTTAAAATATATGTAGACTAGACTCCAACATGGGTATCTTCTATGTAAGGACAAGGAACCAACCACCAGATCTATACTAATAGTGTGAAGAAAAAAAAATAGATAGTTTTTATAGCCAAATTGTGTCACCACTTGAAAAAAGTTATGGGTCCGCCTCTATAAGGAACCATATGTTTGTATGTGAGAATAATAGTGTTGAATGTGAACGAAGCACCAAGAAAGATGAAATAGGTAAGCTTTAGGCCCATATGGTATAACTAGGAAACAACTGAATAACCCCTTAAGCAAAATATAAGGTAATAATATTATGGTTCACTAGGTTATTTGAGCAAAATAGTTGATTACCGGCAACCCCTGACCGGCCACACAGAGAACCCACCCCCTAGGAACCACATGTGAGGAGGCATTTCAGAGCTGACTCAGCGGCTAAGGCTAGCGGAGGGGTTTAAGCCCATCTCCTGCAGGATTAGAACTTGAATCTGTTGTGTATTTGAGCAAAGTCGTGTCGCCCCTTTGCCAACCGAGCTACATGCCACAAGGGCTGTTCACTAGGCTATTAATGTTACAATCATGACTATTAAAATATTAGATGAATGTAGAATGAGTACCTTGGACAGGATCTAATAGAAAAAAAAAATAGAAGATGTTCAATATTATACGACTGATCAAGGGAGGGAAAGAAAGCTCTTAAATGCACATAAATTTGGTTAATGATATGCATGATGATTTAGTAACAAGGACAAAAGCTTGTGATGATAAGGCAAATGTTTCCATAGGATTACAGCAGCAAGTAGTATTGAGGGGTTGGGTTCCGGTGAGAATAGAAGTTATGGTGAGAAGGGATCCCCACCCTTGGATCAATCCTAATTGAAGATCAACATAGATGCACAAAAAGACCCAAAGCCCAACCCCGGAACAAAAATTCCCGAGCCTTGGCCCAAGACATAATTTAAAGCTCGAGTAGGCCAACATTTTACCAATGCCCCGTTAAAGCCTGGCCAGATAATCCTATCAGGACCTCTTTCAACGCCAAAGCCCGCCCGGCAGGCACGGGCTTTTTTTTGGTTTACTGAAAACGGGCTTGAAAAGCCCGGGCGTAGTGCATCTCCAGGCTGGACTAGAAAAGGATACATGACATGCAACGTTAGGTGGCGTTGAGAGGGAAACCAAATATGTGGTAAGCTCCTGACAAAAAGCAGGTAGGAAGGATAGTCTTTTGTATGTGATTAATAATTACATAAGGATGAAGATATTGATCAAATATGTGGTAACCCTTAACCCTAAATGAAGACAAGCTTCAAGAGTCTTGTGTGACAAGAAAGTCCTAATGTATCTATAGAACACCTTAAAATACACTGGTTAAAAGAGGAGACTTGTACCAAAAAGAGATAGTTAGGAGACGTACAGGTTGGCCGATAATGACATGGAGCAAGTTATGAAAAGAGATGCAAGTGTGTGGGATATACCAGAGGGATTAGCCGTAACTAGGATGCGTGGAAAGATGTTGTCCTGGAACCCTAAGGAGGTTCATTTCTTTAAAGACTTGGGATCAAGTGAGTCCAACATGTTTTCATGAGACCCGTCATATCACAAAATAACACCAAACCTTCACAATAAAACACCATGAAGGTACAAAAAGACACCGAACCTTGACAGCAAAAACATTGTGAAGAACCACAAGGGTTGTGGCGTAGTGGTAGAGGCCCAGGGAGATGTGGAATATCCCATCTGTCCCGGGTTCAATTCCAGTCATCCACAACACTTGTGGTCACCGAGTTTATCAGGATTGATGTCTTATAGTCGCAAGTTGCCGGGATTAGTCGGGGCACAGCCCGGGACAACCCTCCAAAGAAAAACACTGTGAAGGCTTCTTTTTGTACCTTCACAGTGTTTTCATTATGAAGATTCAGTGTGTTTTTGTGCCTTCACAACCGGTCCCACATATACAAGCGGGCCTCACGAGAACCCAACCTTCCTTCAAATGTTTATTGAGTTCCAGCTATAGCCTATCCCAACTATTAAGATTAAAAAAGGATTACCGTTGATGATGTGCAACAAAAATGTAGAACAATAGAAGGGAAAAATAAATAACCAACGTTATAAATAGTTAACTATGACGTGGAAGCAATACCATGATATTTGGCCTCAAATAGTTTAGCCATCTATCTCTGCATTGCTTCCCAGCCCTCAGAGGGAACTTTTCAGCAATACATGCCCAGTTCCTATCTCCGTGCTGCTTCACCAGCTGCACCAGCAACCTGAAAAATAGAGATTTTCTTCACGAAAACTGGGAGAAAAAGAAAGATGTAAAATTGGAACACAAAAAACGAAAGAAACGACATCTAAACGTCAAATATACAGGATAACGAAATTTACATGTCTTCTTCATTACTCCATTGGCGTCTAGCAGGTAATTTCTCCCACCAGACTTTTTTTACTCTCCCTTTGGTTTGCGCATTATTCTTGTTTCTATTATTACCCTTTGCTTTTTTGTGAATCTCCCCAGAGCCTACGCAGGAAACCTCGACAGAATTTTCCAATGGCATTTGAAGATTGACTGTCTGATTAATTTTGGGTTGATTCATCGGTGGTTCCAACAAACCTTTTGACGGGCAGTTCAAAATTCCTGTACTCTCACAGCCATGCTTGAATGCACTTTTATCATTCAACTCGCAAGGACTTGAAGCAAATGAAGAGATCCAATCTTTCAAGAAACTATGGGCCGAAGAAGCTTGATATGAATCGAGTGCATCATGGGATTGAGTAGGGGCCCCACGACACAGATTTTGTGGAGCCTCCTGATTTGTAAACTGCAGAGAGTTAGAAATTTTGGGATACGGCTGATTTGATGGAGATTCTATAAAAGCACAACTACCCATTTTTGGTTCAGATGAATTCTTACTGAACAGATTCAGGCTGGGACCAAATTTCTCTAAGTAATTTGTGGAGGAAATGAGGATAGTGCCTATAGTGAGGTTAGAAACGGTATCCTTCTAACGGCGGCTGGTTGGTACTAAAGGGTTATGAAGTGAATAGATTTGTGGCCGTCGATTGACAATGTAATCCAACGATCAAAATACATAGTTAATAATTCCGTATTAGCTTCTTTTCCTTGTATGGTCAAATGGGAGGCCAATGATGCAATGATTGGGTCGTCAAAAAGATCGTCATGCAGATAATTGGAGTGGAGAAGCGGGATGAAATGGTTGCCGGGATGGAATCTTGTATAAAACTTTAATCATGTAGATTTTCTATTATGTTCCGAAGATCTCAAGTCATTACTCACCTTGATACTGTAAGCAACACAAACCATATGCTAATAAATTAGCCTGAAGTTCTCAATGAGTGTCGCACCGACCTTCCTTTTTGAAAGGTTGATCACCAGCAAACTCGACAGGCCCAACATGTGAGGAGGCATTTCAGAGCTGAATCAGTGGCTGAGGCTAGCGGAGAGGTTCAAGCCCTTCTGCTGGTTTCGAACTTGAACCTTTTGTGTGTTTGAGCAAAGTCGCTCTGCCCCTTTGCAAACTGAGCTACACGCCCAGGGTAAAATTCTTGGGTATTAATAAATCAAGCTTTTGACACCGCATAAATGATGGACTTGGTCAAGAATTTACTCACAGCTACTTCACTACCAGACCAACTATCCGACTCAGAGAGATCATCAAGAGAGCTCTCATCATAGATCGCAACACAATTGATTCTTAAAATTAAGAGTCAAAATATTACTTAAAAGTGATTCTTAGACATCCAAATTCTTAATCCATGGCTGTTTTTACCGATATCTAAAGAAACCAATCTCAATTTCTGTGAAAGGATCACGCAATAACTACTTGTACCTACTGCTTTCAAAATTTGAATATTACCCCAAAATCACAATCGAAGAAAAGAAAACCATACCTATTAACCTTGAGATGCAGGTTGAGGCTGAATGTCTTCATCGATTTTGAAAGCTGGCTATGATTCGCCCAAATTGGTTGATACATCAATGGCTTCTCCATGGTGTGATTTGTAGACGAGATAAACCACTGCTTGAGTCACCAAAAGAAGCGGGAATGTGATTAGTAGCAGAACAAAACATAAAATTCCGATCATCAACTTCCATGAAATAAACGAAATCGCTAACGCCAAACTCCTTTCCCCCTTCATCAGATCCATCGATTTGATCATCGATTCGCGTCCCTGGAAGTTTTCCAGAAGGGAGATCACGCAAAAGCGAGTTGCTAAACGGTAATCAAATACAAAAACCCCAAAATGTAAGGAATGCATATAGCGATTACAACGAAATCCAAGGTGATATTCAGTAACAAAAGTACAACCGTAATGTAGGAGCATACAGAGAAAAATGAATCTGAGTCGATTCCATACCTATAGTACCATTTTCATGGTTTTACAGTAAGTGACGTCGAGTCCGGTGTAGACGATGATGGTTGTTATAGCGTTTTGAAGAGCAAATAGTAGAGCCAATCAACGTCGACTTTATCTCGTTCCATTTTGGGAAATAATCGATTGGAGATGTCCATTTCAGCGACGAACATGATTGATCGAGGAGAAGGATTAGAGTGAGAATGATTTGGGCGAAGATTGTCTTCCATTTGAGGATTGCTGTGAAGGATTGAGTGATGATTCCAACTAATCCGATGAACTTCTATGATCCATGGCGGGGTTTTCAGGTTTTAGCAAGGTCTAGGTGACGTGAGTTGTGTGTCGTGGGGCCTCAAGCCGTAAGAGTAGCCACGAAGGCGAATTCAAAGTTCCATTAATGTTTACAAATTTTCACTTGTATGACACTGTATTTTCTTTGTTTTATGAAAAATGTATTATAGTATATATTTTTATTTTTTTACAAAGAGTATTACATTGTGTATCTTGTATATATATTTGGGTATCAGTGTAAATATCGTTTGCAGGTATCACAATGTGTATCTTATGTTCACATAAGGTTCATTGGAATAAGATTCGCCGAATAAGATTTATCGAAGAGATGAAAGAGAAGAGATGAGAGAAGATATTTATAAAATCTCTAAAATATTCTTAATTAATATTTTAAGTTAAATTACCAAAACACGCACACACAATAAGGATACTCGTGTAATGCAATGATAAAGGACCAAGTGGACCAAGCCTATATAACCAATAATAACCGGTCCTTGTCAGTCACACATTTTGGGCTACGAACCAATTATCATAACTAGAATAAGCAAATACACAACTATCTTTTTGGTAATTGTGGGTTTTTAGGTCAACTTACACACACCGACTAATCCTTTGGACAGCCACAAATAGCCTGGAGTCATCGCAAATGAACCTCCATGACCACAACAGTTTTGCCAACACTTGGATTCGACCAGGGATAGATATAAAACCAGACTGTTTTCATGAGAACCAAACCACCAAAATAACACTAAACCCGTGCACAACAAAACATTGTGCAAGTAACCTTCACAATGTTTTTGCCGTGAAGATTCAGATTTTTTTTTTTAGTTTTGCTTTGAAGTTTCAAATATTATTTTGTAGTATCACAAGTCTCACGAAAACAGATTGGTCTAAATACATTATAAGCATCTAAAACAAATTGGAGAGAAAAGTCAATAATTTTTTGGTTATTTCTTCCAAATGGTTCAAACTTCAAATAGAACTACCAAATCTAAATCAACACATAAAAAGGGTTCATCAATCTAAGCATCAATCTGAGTTTAGCCCTTTGAAGAATGAATCATTGTTGTTTATTCATGATGCATTTAACTAGATCAAGGATACGAAAATAATCGTAAAATAGCGACGATTGTTCGCCTTCGAGTCCGTCTCGGCTAACCCTGTTACTGCCCGCGAGATTATTGCACGGACTGCCACCGACAATGAGATCAAACCCGCCAAACGAACCCATGAATTGTTCGAGCCGGTCACCGTTAAGTTGTTGAACGTCGGCCAAGTGAATGAGGTTACCTTTTTGGTTGGTTTGTTCCCACCAACTCCTGACGATGTCTCGATTAGCTTCCGAGATTTCGACCGAGACCACGTTTTTCAGAGGAATCCCGAGTCTGTGGAGAGCAACTTCGGCACCTCCGATGCCCGAGAAGAGAGACAGCAAGTTTAAACCGTTTGGAAACATGTCCTTCAGTGCAGAGAGATGATACGCTACTGTATCTACCTACAAAAGGAGAACATCAAATGTAAAAACCAAACAAACCGAGTATTTCCCATCTCGAGGCGGGGTGGGGTGAGATGTATGCAGACCTGTCCTCTAGAGGACAAATCAAATACAAACGGAAAGGTTACAAACCATATAAACCGATCTCAACCATCCATCTATTCTAACGAATATATGGTTTCATAAATATATCAATTGTTTCCTAATATAAAGCATTGATTATGAACTCTAATCATCTTCTATAAATACTCAAATCATAATAAATTAACCTTCATCATTTCCATAAATATCTTAATTCATTGGTATGTATGGTTTGCAAACTTTCCATGGTTTGTATTTGATTTGTCCTCTCTGTATACATATACGTATACGTATATATAGGGTCAGGTTTATGGGAAAACCGCAAAAAAATGATAATATGAAAAAACACCTTAGTAATCATTCATCTGTACGGTATGACACCCTAGTAATCATTCATCTGTATGGTATGCACATGAGCATACAAATAACGTTTGATATGCACATGTGCATAACATGCACACATGTATAGAAACCAATAAACAACTTCAATTACTTGTATGCACATGTGTACAGATGAATGGTTACCAGGGTGTTCCTCGGTTTTTATTTTTTGGAACATCCCTCTATATATGTATATGTATATACATATGCATATGTATGTATTTTACAATACGGGTACGCGGGATTCCTTCGCAAAACCCGTCCGGGATTAGATAGGATGGGGGCATAAACAGGGTCGGGGAAAGGGGGTGCATTCTCCGCCCACCCGTTTCCGACCCTAATGCCATCATTTTTTATTTGTAACATTTAATATAAAAAACAACAAAAGAATATATTACCTGAAATGAGTTGCCAAGCGATTTGTATCTATCCGTCCTACTTATACCTCCTCCTCTCGTATGGTTTCTCGGAAATCCCAACAACATTTCGAACTCATCGGGCTCCAATGGCGCAAGCTTGTTCTTCCCTACCCATACCAAGTTCCACTTCCGGCATTCCTCGATAACATACTTCTGCACATGCAGTGGTGGATCATCACCCCACTTTTCTAGAGCCTTCCGGATCCTATCCGTCAATTTGGCACTTCCGATAACAGTTTGTAAGCAGTTGAGTTTCGTTCGTTTATCCCATTCCGGCCACCACCTTTTTGTCAACGGTAATGCGTCATTTATAGTCCGCGGAGGAAGAGGAAGAAGCGGGAATCTGTTATGGATCGGGAGATTATGAACGTATCCTCGTTTTCTTGCAGTCGCACAGAAGTACTTAGAGTCAACAAACTCCGGCTGAACGTCATAAAGGAAGCGAGAAATGGTGTCCCAAACTCCTTTTGGAGCTAATGCAACGTTTTCATAGTAGAAAAACGGAGGTCCAATGGCGGCTTCTGGGAGCGTTCTATGAGTTACCACCATAGTATCGGTAGGGACACCAAACCCGATCATCGGGTTCGGAAGACGAAGAACATCGTCCTCTTCGTTTATCAGACCTTTACGCTTCTTTCTTTTCCAAAGTTCAAGCTCGTACAATTTCCTCTTTTTAAGTCCCCCATTTGCGCCAATCGAGATCTTCGGTTTCTGAAATTAGATGCATTACGAGAAAGAAAAAGAGAATATCAGATTAGACCATCTCAAATCACAACACCAAAATTCTATCCATCTACAACTAGGGGTGTAAAAGATTCGAGCTTCTAACAAGCTACTCGAGCCCGAGCTTAATAGTTCTCGAGCTCGAGTTGATCTCGAACACAAAATAGAACTTGTTTCACTTAACGAAGTCGAGCTTCATAACATTGATGTTCGACTCGGCTCGTGCGAAAACTCGACTAAATTTTTCAAGCCAAGAGCCACTCGAGCATACACTTTTTTCAAGCCAAAAATGCTTGTATGTTCATAAATCATACAATAAAAATAAAAAAATTATCGAGCTCGAGCAAATAAACAAGTTAAACGATTGCAAGTTCGAGCCCATAAATGAGCATCGAGCTCAATGATTCAAAAGATATTCGAGCTCGAGCCCTACCCTACATTGAAAAAGTTATTCAAACTCAAGCTTGAATAAACTACTCCTCGACTCAACTCGGCTCGTTTACACCCCTATCATCAACTACACAGCATATATGTCATTTCTCTCCCATCTCAAGCAAAAATGCCGGGATTTTTTTGCCTACCGCTTGTAGTTTCCAAACTGGCAAAATGGCGTTTTTACTGTCGGTTTGGAGATGCCCTTAGGCAGTAAATACGTTAAAAGAAAACAAATTTTCTTTTTTTCCCAAAAAAACAGAAGAATGAAAGAATTGAAGCTGTTTTAGTTTCGGGAACTAAATTATCAGTAAAAACAAACACCTCCTCCTCAAAGAAGACATCTTCCGTCTTTGCCATTTGAGCGGCACCAATAAAATCAGTTAGTTCTGCAATCGTGGCTTCGGGACCTGCAAAAATGGTCAACTAGTAAGAACCTTAAAGGTGCATTTGGTAAGTAGACAGAACAAAAACTTATTTTCCCACGTTGGCGCAACAATTAGATTGAGGGCCTGTTTGTTAGCAGCTTAACAAGCTTAATGGGACTCAAAGCTTATTCAATCAGCTATACATGATTGTTTGGTAGTAGCATAATGATATAGAAAGTAGCTTATTCAGTAAGCTTCTAAGGGGGAGCTTTATGCAGAAACTCAAGTTTTTTTCAAACCTGCCCCTCCCACTATTAATAAACATACCCCTCCCACTATTAATAAACATGCCCCTCCATTTATGAAAAAAACTCTCACAAACAAAAACCTTCTCATTTTAATACAGACAGATTAATCCACAGAGACAGCTTTACCCATACAGAACTTAGGCGTGCTTGTTAGCTGCTTAATGAGCTTCATGGGACTCGAAGCTTATTCGGTCAGCTATACATGACTATTTGGTAGTGACTTAATGATATAGAAAGTGGCTTATTCAGTAAGCTTCAGGGGGGAGCTTTATGCATTAAGCCAAGTTTTTTCCAAACCTGCCCCTCAAAATAGAAAAAACACCGCTCCTTCCTTCTATGAAAAAACTTTCTCAAACAAAAATCTTCTCAATCTATACAGACAGATTAATACACATACAACTTTATCCATACAAGGCTTAATGGAAAACAAACCAAACAACTAGACTGAGACAAACATGATTGAGTGGGACAAAACTGCAATTTTCCCACCAAAATAGGTTGAACAAAAATCAAGAAGATGGGACAAGATAGGTAGATTACTAAACTACCCAACTAAATTAAAACTTGAAAACCTTATTGTTTTTCCCCTTAAAATGCTTGGTCTCACTCTCTATCTCTCTTTATTTATTGTTTTTTAATGTATAATATTTATATACATCAACTGAACAATAAATAAATGCACGCATCCTCCTCACATTTCATGAAGATTGAACCCATGACCTCGTAGAAGGTTGGGGATGGACATACCGATAGGCCAAAGACCCTCATACAAAATTCCGAGTGGCCCTATGGAAACTCGAACAGGTGACCTATAGAGCGGAGCCACAAGGCTATATTGGATTTTTTGCTGGTTTGAGTTTGCCTTCAAGGTTATATTGGATTGCTTGTGGCTGTTGACTTTAGTTTGACTTTGTAATTAGGAAGGCGAAATTAGTATTATAGTTTCACAACAACGGACGATCAGTGGTGAAGAGAAAGAAAAAGAACCAACAATTTTAACATAGGGAAGGCGAGTTGGGATCATGTGAGACCAGCCTATTTACGTGAGACCCATGAAACCACAAAATAACACTGAACCTTCACAGTGTTTTTGCCGTGAAGGTTTGGGTTTTTTTGTACCTTCACGGTGTTTTGCTATGAAGGTTTGGGTTTTTTTGTACCTTCACGGTGTTTTGCTATGAAGGTTCAATGTTATTTTGTGGTCTCACGAAAACAGGTTGGTCTCACGAGAACCCAACTCTATATATATACACATATATAGGGTTAGGTTCCAGTGAGAATGGAATGGAAGTTACGGTAAGAAAGGTAAGAAGGGATCTCCACCCTTGGATCAACCCTAATTGAATCTCAACACTAGTGAGATGCACCGGATCAATTCCCATATCAAGCGCAATTCATGGGGCGGGGGTGAGATTAAAAGTGATCAGAGTTCAGATCCTTACTTACGCTTCTCACCTTAACTTCCATTCTCACATGATTCTTCGTGTCTCTCTCTATATATATACATATGCGTGTGTGTATCAAAATCATATATTTACCGCATCTAGCCACGGCTGCTGAAGCCTCTTCTACCGTATACCCCATATTTGCTAAGGACAATAATGCTTTCTCATGTTCAGGTAACGAACTATCAATTTCCTGCAGGAAATAGATCTCAAATATCAAGGTTTTTAACAATTTTAGAAAGCGATTTAAAATATAATATAATGAAACATGATTAAGCATATATAAAACACGTCAAACATTACTATTCAAATATTTTGCTGGAACGGGTAGTCGTTTCCATGGAAAACACTTATAAACATTTTGAAATTCTCATTCCTTCCCACATACACTAGCTTAGAGATGCACAAATGACCGGTTAACTGATTTTGGACCAGTAAAAACCGAGGACCGGTTAAAAAAGGCCCAGCCCAAGAATCGGTTATAGGCAAAAACCTGTTTTGGTCGTACAACTTGAACCTGGGACCGGTCCTTAACCAGTTAAAAAAACCCGGTCAAGGCCCGAAAAAGCCCAATCAAAACCCAAAAAATTGGGTCAAGTCCCATTCCCACATATAAAAAGAAGCCAAGGAAAAGGGTGATATGACACCAGAACCAATTGCTCTATAAAAAAAGGTTGTCCACACGGAACCCACCCCCTAGGAACCACATGTGAGAAGGCATTTCAGAGGCCGTCTCAGCGGCTGAGGCTAGCGGAGAGGTTCAAGCCCGTCTCCCACGGGATCGAACTTGAACTAGTTGTGTATTTGAGCAAAATCACTCCGCCCCTTGGCCAACTGAGCTACACGCCCAAGGGAAAATTCTTGGGTATTAATAAATCAAGCTTTTCCCACAAAAAACTCCCCCCCTAGGAACCACATGTGAGGAGGCATTTCAATAGCTGACTCAGCAGCTAAGGCTAGTGGAAGGGTTCAAGCCTGTCTCCCACAGGGTTCAAACTTGAACCTCTTGCGTATTTGAGCAAAATCGCTCCGCCCCTTTGCCAACAGAGCTACAGGCCCGAGGGCAAAGTTCTTGGGTAATTATAAATCAAGTTTTTGACACTGCATAAATGACGGATGTGGTCAAGAATTTACTCACGGCTACTTCACTACCGGACCAACTATCCGACTCAGAGATATCGTCAAGAAAGCTCTCATCATAGTCGGAAGACAATTGACCATTATCTACACATTGTTGTTGCTGAGGAGAGTTGAGATGACACGGGTTGAGTTCATCGGGAGAGTCTTCAAGTGCCTGCAATACATCAATAAAACGTTAGTACCCGAAAAAAATAGCAAATTCTTTCATGTAAACTAGACACATTCACTCCGTTTTTCAGGCTTAAACCTTTGAAAAGCCTCTATTTGTCGCCCATTTAGGAAAAAAATTGTGACGAAAGGGGCATTTTGTATAAGCTATTGATTTAAAATCATGGAAGTTGTAGATATCGAGACTAGAATTACATTTTTGGAAATAATGTTAAAAAATGAAACGGGGAAGACCAGGGGTGAACCTATAAAGGCCCGAGCAGGGTCCGATGCAACCCGCTCAACATATTTTCGCAAATAGAATTTTTTTTTGGGTATGAGAGAGACACCCCTAAACTTGGAAGGGTGCTCCGGAATATTAGAAAATACAAGGAACAACAACCCAAAAACCAAAAAAACGGAAATCTCTCGAAATCAACTAAAACCGAAAAAGTCTCAAAATCAACTAACAAATGGAAAAAAGTCTCGAAATCAACCGCCGAAAAATCCCTCAAAATCAACCAAAAAACTCAACAAAAACCATCGAAACAGTGGAATTCGGCTAAAAACAAATCGGGCGACTTTGCGGGCCTTTAATCCACCTTAAAGGTGCACCAGCTCGGCAAAAATCCTGGGTCCCGCCATTGAAGAGCCTGTTTCTGAACGCATATGGTTATGGACATATGCCTTGCTTTCTTAAAAGACGTTTTAGAAATCAATTCCACCACAACGAAATAGAATGCAGTTTACATGCAAAAAAGAACAACAGCTAAAGAACGTGAAAACCGCACTTACCGCGTACGTAAGTAGAGATTCAAGTATCGATTCCGTGTTGGCCTCCCCTACACATATTGAAGAGCAACGTTGTAAGGCATGTTATCTTGGTTAAACTACCATTTAGCTGAAGAATCTATTATGTACCATTTTCTTTAATTGCTTTTACAATCAATTGTTCCGAGAACCCCATCCCTAGAAAATGCTGAAGCAAATTGGGGTTTGAAGGGCCTGCCGATGAGCTCGCCTTGAGATGCAAAAAGATAAAGTTAGTTGTACTCATTTTCTGACTTCTGATAACAGGAAAAGCATAACCACAAATGCAAAATTTACAATATAATAGCCAGAAGAGAGAAACCTAACGAAAACAAGCACCTAGAGCTCCAAACCAACAAATTATGGTGCGAAAACAATTGCTTTTTAGATGCCTTGACTACCGATTAAAACCATATTGATTTCTTATAGATGGGGTGTAAACGATTTGAGGTTTTAGCGAGCTACTCGAGCTTGAGCTTAATAATTCTCAAGCTCGAGTTGATCTCGAACACAAAATAGAACTCGTTTAACTTAACGAGCAGAGCTTTATAACACTAACGTTCTATTCGGCTTGTTCAAAAACTCGATTCGATTTTTTGAGTTGAGCCGAGCCACTCGAGCATACCCTTTTTCGAGCCAAACATGCTCATATATTTATTACTCATACAATAAAAATATAAAATTATCGAGTTCAAGCCGATAAACGAGTTAATCGATCGCAAGTCCGAACCCATAATCGAGCATCAAGCTCGATAACTCAAAAATATTCGAGCTCGAGCCTATTATTAATTTTCTGAGCCCGACTCAGTTAACCTACTACTCTACTCAACTCGTGCCGTTTACACCCCTACTTATAGATCACATAACAAGAAATGAATTTGTGTAAGAATGTCAGGAAAACAAGTGTCATAAGAAGAATTCACCAAGTCTTGAATTGTTTATCTAACAACTCCCAGAGCATTGGCAATCCAATGAGAATCTTAGGTGGTGTTTGGTCCACAGAATGAAATTTGTCAAAGGATTTTAATCAGGTTTGACCATGCGTTTGATTGGCAAGAACTGGAATGGAATCTGTCAAAGGAATTGGAATTTGTATGTTTGGTTCGCTAAATAAAACTTCAAAATTGTAATGAAAGAATGATAAATGACCAAAATTACCCTTTACGACTTTTCATACTTTATTGTTAAATAAACCTTGTTAGTCTCTATAACTTGCATTGCCATCAAAACAAGAATAGTCTTAAGAGACATCAATTACTAGGCTATATCATTTACCTCCCCATTACCAACAATAGATGCATTCCGAGTTACCAAATTTGAACAAGTCGATGGGACTATGTTTTGGATTTCAAGTTCATCTTCGGTATCCCAATCAATATTCTCATAGTCCTCACCAGAGGCATTCCCATCCTATACAAGTGAAATCAAATATAATGAATATATAAAGATATATACTAAAATCAAGTAAAAACAGTATTAACAACAAGCACGGGTTGGGTTCTTGTGAGACCAACAATTTTCATAAGCCCACAAAATAACACTAAACCTTCACAGCAGAAAACTGAAAGTACAAAAAACACCGAACCTTCATAGCAAAAACATTGTGATGGTTTTTAGTGTTATTTTGGGTCTCACGGGTCTCATGAAAACAAGCTGGTCTCACATGATCCCAAGTCCAACAAGCACTATACACGATGGTATAAGAAAGGAAGTACCATTTCTCGATAACCTTTACGCTTGCACAAGTAAAGCTCTCAATCTGTTCAAGAAGAAGATTCCCTACAAAATTAGTGCAACATATACAACAAACTATCATTTTAAAACGTCAAACGCAATGATAGCAATAAGCAAGAGCCCAACAATGCTCTAGATCAATGAACACTATAAGAAATCTTTTTTGCGTTCCTTGTATCACTCGGTGAGATATAATCAAGAAAATAACCGGCATTGTTCATCTCTCTAACACAAGTTCAAGAGATTTCCGACATCTTAGTGTCAACCCATAATCTTTACTTGGTAACCCGCTATCTCTATCTAGCATCTAACATCCAACAACATAATCTTGAGTTCATGTGGTATCCTTCACTTCCATCAATAAAAATCTTAGTTTATCATCATCGTTCTTCCAGAGGCTCGTTAGAGTGCCAGTCAGCTCCCTTCCCTNTTCATGTGGTATCCTTCACTTCCATCAATAAAAATCTTAGTTTATCATCATCGTTCTTCCAGAGGCTCGTTAGAGTGCCAGTCAGCTCCCTTCCCCCAAAAAGGCCGGTAACATAAAATAATTCACATATTTAGAAGTTTCAAAAGTGAAATAATTAAACATCTCAAAAACTTAATATTCCAGCAATTTATGAAAGAAATGTGAAGGGCTTCAAATAAGAGTAATGCAAAATCTTCCAAAACACACACTTTCGGCAAAATCTGCAAGTCTCGAGATTTTTTTTCAAGTGTTCGATTTTTATAAAAACGTCCTTTGGAAGGATTTAACATTCCTCTATAGCAATTATGCAAGTTGCATAATGTCTACCTTTTCTGAATATTATATTGAAAAAAGTGGGTTATGCAAGTAGCATAAGGGCCTGTTTGTTTGCAGCTTAATGAGCTTACTGTGACTTGCATCTTATTCGCTCAGCCATACATGACTGTTCGGTAGTGGCTTGATGATATAAAAAGCGGTTTACTCAATAAGCTTTAGGGGAACTTTATACCGAAAGACAATTTTTTTTTCCAATCCTGCCACTCCCAATTAAAAAAAAATTCCTTCCAAACAAAAACTTTTCCAATCTATACAGACATTTAATCCACACAGAAAATTTTATCCATACAGGACTTAGGAAAACCAACCAAACAGCCTCTTGCCACTTGCATAATCTCGGCTATTTCGGTCTATAAGTTGAAAAGATGGCTATAAAGTGAGGGGGGTTCAAATTGGCTATTTTGGACAAAATCCCCAAATAAATACTACATATTGCTTCAGTAGCAACCAAACATTATGAAGCATCCCTCTTTCTTACAGCGTTTCAAGGGTTAAATGGTGTTAAATTCTGGTTTAAATACATCATTTCATCGTCAAGAGAACAAAGATAAGCACACAGTTTCATCTCTCGAACCCAGAGACGAAGATTTCACAGGAAAAAAAAGCCCTAATCAGATTCAAGTTATCTACTCTAAACCCACCGACAAAACATCAAACACTCGTTTCCCATAAAAATCAGCAAAACCCCCCAAAAGGATCGAACTTCGATGATATCATGTATGTGCACCAACCAACATTGAAACAAAAACAGAGAATTTCAAAGCGATTTCAGCAAAATTTACCCGATTAGCCTAAAACCCTCGACAATTTTGAAGCTAATTTCCAAAATGCACTTCCTGCCATACGAAACAGACCAAAAATTGAAGAAAAAATTAATCAAAACATGTGAACTACAAATTGGGTGAAATTCATCGTCAGCTGGCCATACTAGTTATCAATAATTAAACAAAAGTAAAGATTTATTCAATTGATAGAGGAGAAAGCAAGTAAAAGTTCATTTACACATGTTCCGAAACTTGATTCTTGCCCCTTTCGCCGATTAGGGGGGAGAGAGAGAGAGAGATTCGCAACGGAGCTTCGCCAAGAGCCCCTTTGACGAATTTCTGTCACGGGAGAAGCATAAATTAATGCTTCTTTCTGTAAATTACAAATATAGTCCCTTTGGTTTAGGGAAATTTTGGTTTTAGTACCTTGATTTCAGTAATTATATCAGTAACTCTGTCTTTTTTCATTCTGTTACGGTTTTCGTTTGTGACCCTAACGTCTTTTGGAGGTTGTTTGGTTGGTTTTTCATTAAGTCTCTACATGGATAAAGTTGTTTGCGTTAATTGTTCTTTCTAAATAAATTGGGAAGATTTTTGTTTGAGAGGGTTTTTTCATAGATAGAATGAGCATGTTTTTTAATTGGGATAGACATGTTTGGAGAAAAAAAAACTTGGTTTTTTTGCATAAAACTCGCTCTGTAAGCTTACTGAATAAGGCACTTTATATATCATTAACCCATTATCAAACAGTCATGTATAGCTGACCAGACAAGTTGTTAATAAACATGTCTTAGACTGTGTTTGGTACATGGGATATGACCGGATGGGTCGGGATAAAACTCTGTGTCTCACGTTTGGTGTGGCATGAAACATGACAAAAACTCATTGTTCTATGTTTGACGCGCATGAGACAAGAATTATGGCATTGACAGAGTGGGACAAAAAATACCTTTTCGACAGCAAGTTCTTCTTTGGCCCAGCAGCGCCAATTAAGGTTGAGTACTGTATTTTTGGAAATTCTCCATATTTGCAAATTCAGCATCTCTCTCATACTTTGTCCGTTTTGGGGAACGTTTTGGAGAATCTGTTGGAGGAAAAATATCTGAAATCTCTATTTTAGAGAATCTGTTATATATGCTCTTAATATTTAGATGTTTGATGAAAACACAAGATAAAATATATCTCCTCCTCTTTGTCGGCAATCAACGGTACAGGTACCGAATTGGCACTCTGCCTGAGCAAGCTTATCTTCCCAGTGATGTCCAAGGCAGTGGTGGCTATTGATAGGAGGGTAGAGGCAATAGACGAAGATGAACCATAGGCAACGATGGATCTGTGGGCCAGTTATCGACGATGGGTGTCGAAGAATAAAGGGTACCGTGGGCGGGGGGTTAATTCAGTATTTAGGTTTATTCTTACGATGCTTTGACGCTCTGTAGACGTGTTTTAAATACTTGTATGCTATTCTTAAAAAGTAAAAATTAGTGTGGAGGCACTTAACGACACCTCGTAATAGACGTTAAAGCAAGGGACACAAATTGTAATAAAATAGAAACCAAAGGATGAAACTTGTGTTTTATCAAACTATGTGTACGGTTTTTGTAACTTACTCCAAAATAAAAATCACAATTAAAAAAAAACTAGAAATATTGTCTTGGAAATTACAATATATTTTTAAACGATGTCTAAAAGGCAATGTTTCATATGTCACATGATCTTTAATTCGTATTAATATATAAAGAAAATTTCGAAAATGTAACGTATTTTAACTTGGTTCATATTTTGGGTAATGTATTTTTAAAACTTTCATTTTGATATATAAGATATAAATTTTTAAACATTTAAATATCGGGGTAACCTGTTGAAGCAATAACTTGTACCATGCTGATGTAGCGAGTGATAGAATGAAAGTGGGTCGAATAGCAAATAATACCGAGTTTAATACCACATCACTCGTCACATCAGCATCGTAACCGATTAATGCTTGAACCGGTTACCGGGTTACTTAAATGTTTAAAAATTTACATCTTATGTATCAAAATGAAAGTTATGAAAATACGTTACTCAGAATAAAAATCAAATTAAAGTATGTTATTTTTTTCATGCAATTTGCTTTTTTATATAAGGTCATGATTTAAGATATTGATTGACATGTATATGTTCTAATATATATATATATATATATATATATATATATATATATATATA